GCTTTTAAAATAATATTCATTTCTGCAAAATTTCATCTAAATTTTAAAATACTTGTGAATAATGTCAAGATGGATATTACAATTATAATAAATTGCTTTGTAGCTATTGTGGAAAATCGAAATATACAGACTCCAAAAATTAATGTAATAATGATTGCTAACCTTAGTGTATAATATGTTAAAATAAATCATCATGTCTTCTCTATTAAAATGAAGTAAATTCTAATACTAATGGAAATTTGCCAATTAATCCAAACTAAAATATTTGCCATTATAGTTGTGGTTTGTGTAACGGAAGTGGTTAATCTAATTGCCTAACTTGTAGCTCATAAACAAGAGTTTATGATATCTAATAGCAAACTTGTAATTGTAAAAGTGGTATATTTGATAATGGAGATGCTGAATGTTAGGCAGCTTTTGACTTTTAATAAAACTATGTTTGGATATTATAAACTATTTTTGTAACATTTTTAGTCACCTAATCTGCCTTGATGTTTTCCAGCTAATTTAGGAAAGCAAATTTGAATTTTTATTTTATACAATAATTAATTTTTATAAGTTATGATAATACATTAAATACGTCACTAAACTATGCCTAAATAATGAAATAATTTTAATATTTAAGTTTGGTGACTTTTATACCTATTTCATTAGTTAATGAAAGCAATTCATAAATTACTTAAAAATGCAACTAAATAGTAATTTTATTAATATTTTAGGTTGCAGTTCTTTCAGCTTTTTTTATCTAATATTTTTTGAAATATGAAAAACTAATGTACTTTGATAAGGAAATGCTGTTTAGCTGCAATAGATTAACATCCACCATGAATATAGCATTAATTCTTTAGCTATTAATAAAAGAAATTAAAGATATTTATAAATCAACACTTGTTTTGCTCATAATAGCATCACTATTTTAGCTAATTTTATAAATATTGGTTTTTAGAAAAATCTATTTGGATTATAAAGCGAATTTTTAAATTACTTCACCGTAAAATAATACATTGAATTTATCTTTGATATTTAAATATCCATATATCTCATTTTAAACCAGAGAGCAATACTTTATTTTAAATGCTATCTTAGAAGTAAAAAGAATGATAAATGGTTTAGTGTTTGCATTGTTCAGTTAAAATGGATATGAATATTAAATACTCAGTGGTATTTCTCTATTCATAATAATTATAATCATATACTTAAAACCATTTCATAGCTTATTAGCGAATCTAGAAGCCATAATTATAGAATTTCTAATCTCTTCATGCTTTATTCTTCATCAATTTTACAGTAAAAATATATATTAAAATAATGGTACTCCTTACCTTCTTATTATAATGATTACAATAATCGTTATCTTATTATTTGCTATTATTTAATGGGCAATTTAAGTTTTCTTTTTTATTTTTAAAATAATAAAATCGTATAAATTTAAGTCATCTAATTCAACTACAATCGAGCTCCTTCCTCAATATATTTAAAAAGGTAAAATAATTGTATTTAAATTTAAGATTAAATAATTTTTTTAATAGATAAAATAGATAATATTCTTGCTTCTAAAATGTTTAATTACAAAGTATTTAGAATAAAGAATAGTAACAGAGATTAAATATGATATATACAATTCATAAAATGAATTTCAAGACCTATATAAAAAATATTAATTATGTTTATAATTTATTTATTGCAAATACTACTTTTCTTTGTTTCTTACTACTATTTAAATTGGAAGTCAATTGTGAAAAATTATTTAAATTCTCAAAAGTATTAAATATGTATTTAAACATGGAAAATATAATATTTACAGTGAATTATATCAAAATATAATAAAAATTTAGTTGCCAATTATGAATACTTTTTTAGATTTGATATAAGATATTTTGAATTTCTTGTTACTGATAATTAAAAATTTGAAAGGTAAAAATAATGTTTGTCATGATTAAGAACTCTTAATTAGTTTATTTATAGCATAAGCTAAATTGACACTAGAAGATAGTTAAATAAATGAATATTGATAAAGTATTTTTTAAATAAACTATCTTAAATCATAAAAAATCAAATTTTTATTAATTCTAACATGCCAAAATATGATTTCTTAAAATACATTTAATAAATTAAACAAAACACCCAAGTAAATAAATTTGTTACAGATAAACATTATTTTGATTAAAATAATCTACTCAAATTAATAATTTATATAATTTACAAATACTGCTGATTAGATTATTTTATGAAGTAAAATAATCGATCCATTAATCGAATAAAAGATTCTTTAAAATTTTTTTCATAAGAAAATGATATAGCTTTTTATTTTTTATTTCATCAACTTTTACATCTTTTAAAAGAATAATTTTTTTTCAAAATATCGAATCTAGTTGATATCAATACATGATATAAAATTAAGCCAATTACTTAGCTTTCCATAAATTAAATATTATTATTAGCTTTAATTACACTTAATAAGAATAATAATTTTTAGTTAACATCATAAGACTAATACATGTATAGATATCCTACCAAAAAAATATTATCTTTAATTACATATGCAATAAATAATACAGCTATATTATTAATTACTTAGTTTATAATTCTAATAATTTACTTCTTCTAGAATATTTTTAAATTCAAAATGTATAATATTTATATAAGTAGTTCGTTTTATTTTATTATAAAAATTTAACATTAACAATCAATACGTCACTTATGTTATAATTGAAAAAAGAAATACTTATTATAAATATTATCTCTTAAATATTTATTGTATACTACCATTACTTTCTAAAAATGTATTTTTTAAATATTTATTTATAAGTAGTATATTCGATAAAAAAAATAAATTATATTCTCTAATTTACATTAGTTTTTTTAATGAATATTTAGATATATTATCTCTTAAAAATCTATTTTATACAATAAATATTTTCTAAAAATGTATTTTTTATAATATTTATTTATAAATAGTATTATTGAAAATAAAAATAGTATTCTTCTCTAATTCAGATCAGTTTTTTTAATGAATATTTAGATGGAAAAGCTATATTTTGAATTCTTATTTTTCCTTATAAATATTTTGAGAAAATAAAGTAAATATATGCTTTAAAAAAACTTTGAAGCTACAAATATTGATAAATGTCAGTTTTTTAAAAATGATATTTCAAAAAGACATGAATATTAAATTGAAAAAAAAATACCTATTGTGTTTATATTATCTCTCAATCATTTATTTTATACTATAAATATTTTCTAAAAATTATTATTTATAATATAAATAGTGTTTTATTCTCTAATTCACATCAGTTTTTTTAATGAATATTTAAATGTAATAGCCATATTTTTTATTCTTATTTTTCTTTTCTATATAAATATTTTGAGAAAATAAATTAAATAAATATATGCTTAAACAAAATTTTCAAGGTACAAATATTAATAAATGCCAGTATTTTAAAAAATGATATCTCAAATAAACTTGAACATTAAATTGAAAAAGATACACCTATTAAATTACATTGTTTTAGATATACTAATACTACTACTACTTAGTATAAGTGTATTTATTTCTTAATATTTATTTATAAATAACATTATTGAAAATAAAAATAATTTTCTTCTCCATTTTCTTTTACATTTTTTATATATAAAAAATTTAGATAAAATTGGTTAGAAATTTACTTATTAAAGTTATAATTTAAATACTTATCAAAATCCTAATAATAATTAATTAATAACCAACAAAATCTAATTAAATAATCAGTACATACAAAATATATAAGTGGAAACATAAAATTTCAAGACTTTATAAATTAAATAATAAAAAAATGTATTACTAAATTTTTTTTAATGGAACCCATATGCATCTATGTTAAAAGCTAAGGGACCACAAAATTTATATTAATAATATATATGATTAACAGTGTCCTAATTAGGGGGGGGGGTTTTTCGGCCCAATCGGCTAAACTAAAAGTTTAGCCGATAGTTTTGAATGGAAATTTTTCATTCAAAATGAATGGGTCCCTGCTGTGACCCCCCCCCCCTAAATTTAATCAATCAAAAGATCCCCTAGCTGATTAGTAAAGGTAATTTATTTTTAGTTACTCATTTTTTTAATAAAATATATTAAACTAAAAAAATTAGATCTGATAAACCCAATTTTAAGTAACAATTAAAACTCAAGAAATCCATATTTGGTAAGAAGATAATATGCTTTTTCAATTAAAGAATGAGTTATAATTGATATATTAGCATTTAAATTATGTTAAATTTCATTTATGTTTTAATTTATATTTACGAAAAGAAAAAATATATCAAATAAGCACTTGTGTTTTAAATTTAATTACTTAATTTATTATATAAATGGCTGATTTTTTAATTGTAAAATATGAATTTATATTTTTATCATTTTCAAGTTATAAATTTAGTATTTAAGAATTTAATAGTTAAATTAATAAATGCAAAATTCGTTTATTTTAATAATTTTCACCTTTTTATTAATTTCGTAAAGATAAAAATTAAAATAAATCTTAATAATACTTCTTAAAGCTTCAATAATGATAAATTGTTAGTTTAAAATATATTCGAAAAAAATCTAAAACAAAAAAAGAAATTTTAAAATAATTAATTTCAATAAAAAATAATATTATTCAATAATTCAAATTTAAGTGATAATAATAAAAATATTAACTTAATTATTTTTTTCATAATTTATTTGCAAATAGAATATTTTATTGTTATTCATTATTATTATTAATTTTTTTTTCTTTCTTGATTTTCCAAAATAATCTATCCTTAGCTTATTTAAATTATAAAATACGTATTTTATTTGATTATATTATGTTTATTTTTTAGCATTAACAATTGATATCCGTATATTTAACAACAATATAAATTAAATAATTAGATATATATAAAAGAATACTGCTCTAATAATTTACTCATTCATTTAATTGTCAAATTTAGACTTTATAATCTTTTTTTCCACTAACTCATACTATAAATTGTGTAATTAAATGGGGGGAAATATTATGTAAGTAAATCACATTAGAAGATTACTATAAATTAAACAATTCTATGGCCGAGCTTCAATTTGCTTTTATTTAAGATTAGGTATGTTATGATCTAAAGATTAATTAGATTATTTTTATAATTTTATGAGATAAATGTAAAGTTATTTTTTATTACAATTACCTCTCTAAAAATTTAAAATCAGGCTAAAAGACTTCATTTTGTTATTTTAAAATGAGTTTATATTATTTTCTAATGAAAAACTTTTTAATTTGAGGAAAAAAAATATATTTTTATATTTAAATAAATATAACCATTTGAGTTGAAATAGAATCGTAAATTTTTTTAAAAATAACTAAATTTGTTGCAATTAATTCAATGATATAATTCCACTTTTGAAAATCAAAAAAAATTTGATTTCTGATTTGCAAAAATAATAAAAAATAAAAAAACAATTCAAGAAGAAATTTATTTAGAATTGCTTTAAAATGAATAAAATTTTAATCTTCTCCATAGTTTTAAATTTGCTATTATAATAGACATTTACTTTATAATACATATAATCTAGTTCTTCTTAGTCTGATATAATTGAATTCGCTCGTTACAATTCTACTAATTATTGTGATTAAGTTGACTAAACTGCTAATTTATCCAAAACCTTTTCCTAATAATTCAATAGTGTTCCTTAAATTTTTATTGGAATTCTCTTCTTTGATTTAGATACGACAACTTAAAGAATTGCCTTCAATTTTACAGTAAAAAGTGTTAATTAAAATCAACTCTCTATTCAATTAAATAAATATGGAGTTACATGCATATTTGGAATCAAAATATCATACTTTGCTACAGTAGATCAAGATGTTTAAATATAAAATTATATTCTTATGTTTAATTAGCTTGCTGATATTTAAACATAAAACAATAAGTAATATTAATTTATAATTCCATAGAAATTAGGTTATTAAAGAGGAGTTTAATGTGCAATAACAGGATTTGATTCAATTTACTAAATTCCACCAAGTAGCGATGCTTCTTATTCAGATCGAAACTTATCTACTACAACATAAGTTGATACATCAAACAACTTTTACTATATTTAAATACAAGCTTCTGATTTATCTGTAAATCTTTAAAAAATTTATATAAATTGCATAGAATATTATATCGGGTAAGCAGGAGATTATTCAATGATTCATAACATTTAATAAGAATAAACAACATCATAAATCACAACAAATTAAAATTTTTAAATAAATCTTGATTCGTCTTTTACAGGAAATACAATCACATCATTTTTAGGACTCTAATAATTTGACTTGTCCTAAAATTAAGCTTTAAGATTAGAATATCAAAACTTCAATTTTTAAAGTAAATAATAATCATTTTAAGTAATTACATGGGCTTCGAGCATTATATATTCTTCAACAGCTTTATTCTTTTAACATTAAATGATAGACTGCAAATCTAGCTCTTATTAAATAAACTCAAGCGATTTAAAATAATGTGTTTCAAGGTGTTAAGATGGTTAATATCCAGCTAACTTTCAAACTACTTAAGTGTGTTCTCCTTGTAATCCAATTTGTAAAACTTGCTCAAGTTTAAATGTATGTACTTCTTGCTAATCAAATTAATTTGTAGATTCCTCTACTTAGTCCTGTAGCAACTGCGATACAAACTGCTTAACTTGTTAAAATTCTTCTACATAATGCTTAAGTTGTCCTTAAGGTTGGTTTCTTTACAATTAAAAGTGTTATTCAATTCAACCATAAGGCACTTATTGCGATCAAAATAAAATATGCTAAGATTGTTAAAGATCTTACTAATGCAATTTTTGTGATAATACATTATAAATTTGCATTAGTTGTATTAATTAAAGTTTATATTTTTTAAATGGAGTTTGTTCTAATATATAGCCACCAAACACATATTGCAATTTATAAAATATATGCCAAAAATGTCCAGACTCATGTAATGGATGCGATTTAAATTTAAATTGTACATAGTGCGCAAATCTATAAAATTACTTTTATTTTGGAAAGTGTCTTTAGTAATAACCACAAAATACCTATTGTAGTGTAAATTTTGGTTTTTAAAAATTTTGCTAAAACTGTCATCCTGCTTGTAGTTAATGTTTTGGATAATAATTAGATCAATGTTCGACTTGCTAGTAGGGATATTAATTAGTTGGTTCTTCTTGTTTTTGTTAACAAGGATATGGTTATAGTACTGTTTCTTAATAATGTGAAGCTTGCTAAATTAGTGGATGTATTCAATGTAGTAAGAGTTTAAACTAATGTGAAATGTGTTAAGCTTAATTTTTATTAGACTAAGCATCAGGTAAATGCTACTGCTCTAACCCTTAATAGTATTATTCAACTGAATTATAATCATGCTTTTAAAATAATATTCATTTCTGTAAAGTCTCATCCAAATTTTAAAATACTTGTGAATAATGTCAAGATGGATATTACAATTATAATAAATTACTTTGTAGCTATTGTGGAAAATCGAAATACACAGACTCCTAAAATTAATGCAATAATGACTGCTAACCTTAGTGTATAATATGCTCAAATAAATCAACATGCCTTCTCTTTTAAGATGAAGTAAATTCTAATACTAATGGAAATTTACCAATTAATCCAAACTAAAATATTTGCCATTATAGTTGTGGTTTGTGCAACGGAAGTGGGTAATCAAATTGCCTAACTTGTAGCTCATAAACAAGAGTTTATGATATCTAATAGCAAACATGTAATTGTAAAAGTGGTAGATTAGATAAAGGGGATGCTGAATGTTAGGCAGCTTTTGACTTTTAATAAAACTACATATAGATATTATAAACTATCTTTATAACATTTTTAATAACCTAATCTTCCTTAGTGTTTTCCAATTAATTTAGGAAAGCAAATTTGAATTTTTATTTAATACAATAATTAATTTTTATAAGTTATGATAATACATTAAATACTTCACTAAACTATGCTTAAACGATGAAATAATTTTAATATTTAAGTTTGGTTACTTTTATACCTATTTCATTAGTTAATGAAAGCAATTCATAAATTACTTAAAAATGCAATTAAATAGTAATTTTATTAATATTTTAGGTTGCAGTTCTTTCAGCCTTTTTTATCTAAAATTTTTTGAAATATGAAAAACTAAAGTACTTTAACAAAGAAATACTGTTTAGCTGTAATAGATTAACATCCACCATGAATATAGCATTAATTCTTTAGCTATTAATAAAAGAAATTAAAGATATTTATAAATCAACACTTGTTTTGCTCATAATAGCATCATTATTTTAGCTAATTTTATAAATATTGGTTTTTAGAAAAATATATTTGGATTATAAAGCCAATTTTTAAATTACGTCACCACAAAATAATACATTTAATTTATCTTTGATATTTAAATATCCATATATCTCATTTTAAACCAGAGAGTAATATCTTATTTTAAATGCTATCTTAGAAGTAAAAAGAATGATAAATGGTTTAGTGTTTGCATTTTTCAGTTAAAATGGATATGAATATTAAGTACTCAGTGGTATTTCTCTATTCATAATAATTATAATCATATACTTAAAACCTTTTAATAGCTTATTAGCCAATCTAGAAGCCATAGTTATAGAATTTCTAATCTCTTCTTGCTTCGTTCTTCATTCATTTTACAGTAAAAATATATTTTAAAATAATGATGCTTCTTACCTTCTATGTATAATGATTACAATAACCGTAATCTAATTATTTGCTATTATTTAATGTGCAATTTAAGTTTTCTTTTTCATTTATTAAAAAATAAAATCATGTAAATCTAAATCATCTAATTCAACTACAATCGAGCTCCTTCCTTAATATATTTAAAAAGGTAAAGTAATTGTATTTAAATTTAAGATTAAATAATTTTTTTTAGATAAAATAGATAATATTCTTGCTTCTAAAATGTTTAATTACAAAGTATTTAGAGTAAAAAATAATAACAAAGTTTAAATATGATACATAAAATTCATAAAATGAACTTCAAGACCTAAAAAAAATATATTAATTATGTTTATAATTTATTTATTGCAAATACTACTTTTCTTTGTTTCTTACTACTATTTAAATTGGCAGTTAATTGTGAAAAATTATTTAAGTGAATTATATCAAAATATAATAAAAATTTAGTTGCCTATTATTAATACTATTTTAGATTGAAAAAAGATATTTTGAATTTCTTGTTACTGATAATTAAACATTTGAAAGCTAAAAATAATTTTTGTCTTGATTAAGAACTCTTAATTAGTTTATTTATAACATAAGCTAAATTAACTCAAGAAGATAGTTAAATAAATGAATATGAATAAAATATTTTTTAAATAAACTAGCTTAAATCATAAAAAATCAAATTTTTATAGATTCTAACATGACAAAAACTGATTTCTTAAAATAGATTTAGTAAATAAAACTAAATACACAAGTAAATAAATTTGTTACAGATAAACATTTTTTTGATTAAAATATTCTACTCAAATTAATAATTTATATAATTTATAAATACTACAGATTAGATTACTTTATCAAGTAAAATAATCTATCCTTTGATAGAATAAAAGATACTTTAAATTTTTTTTAACCATAAGAAATTGACATAGTTTTTTAGTTTTTATTTCATCAACTTTTACATCTTTTAAAAAAATAAATTTTTTTCAATAAATCTAATCTAGTTGATATCAATTTATGATATAAAATTTATGCAATTACTTAGTTTTAAATAAATTAAGTATAATTTTTAGCTTTAATTACATTTAATAAGAATAAAAATTTTTAGTTAACATCATAAGATTAATACCAGTATAGATAATCTATCAAAACAATATTTTCTTTAATTACATAAGCAATAAATAATACAGCTAATTACTTAGTCTATAATTCTAATAATTTACTTCTTCTAGAACTTTTTTAAATTCAAAATATACAATATTTAAATAACTAAATAGTTTTATTTTATTGTAACAATTTAACTTTAACAATCAATATGTCACTTTTATTTTATCTTTGAATGTTTCAATAGAATTTTTAAAAATGAAGAATTAAAAAGATTTGGAGATATAATTGAAAAAAGAAATACCTATTATATATATTATCTATTTCAAATTTATTTTATACAACTAATAATTTCTTAAAATGTATTTTTAATCATATTTATTTTAAAGTAGTAAGTAAAATTGATAAAAAAATTAAATTTTCTTATTAAATTCACATCATTTTTTTTAATGAATATTTAGATGTAATATCAATATTTTTAATTCTTATTTTTCTATATAAATATTATGAAAAAATAAAATAAAAATATGCTCAAAAAACTTTGAAGCTACAAATATTAATATGATATCTCAAAAATATTTGAACATATAACTGAAAAAAGAAAAACCTAATATATATATTATCTCTCAAAAATCTATTTTTTATAATAAATATTTTCTAAAAATGTATTTATATTGATTTAATCTGCTGTCATTTTAATAGTATATTTCTTTCAAATCATAATATCGATTTAATGCTTTTTAAATATAATCCATGTAATAAAAAACAATATAAATCATTACCAAATAATATAAATAAAATGCCAAATTTAATCAATCAAAGGATCCCCTAGCTGATTAGTAAAGGTAATTAATTTATTTTTTGTTACTCATTTTTTTATTTAAATTTATTAAATAAAAAAAACTCAATATGATAACTCAATTTTAAGTTACAATTAAAACTCAAGAAATCCATATTTGATAAAAAGATAATATGCTTTTTCAAGTAAAAGAATGGGTTTTATTGATATATTAACATTTAAATTGTGTAAATTTCATTTATGTTTTAATTTAATTTATATTTACAAAAAAAAAATAAGATTTTATTGTTTATTTTTTTATATTAAATTTTCAATTTCAAACAAGCACTTGTGTTTTAAAAGTTAATTGTTTAATTTATTATATCAATGGCTCATTTTTTAATTTCTAAAAATATGAATTTATATTTTTATCATTTTAAAATTTTTATTTTTGTGTTTAGAATTTAATAGTTAACTTAATAAATGTAAAAATATTTTATTTTTATAAATTTAGCCATTTTATTAATTTTGTAAAGTTAAAAATTAAAAAAATATTAATAATATTTTCTTAAAGCTTCAACAATATATTGTTAATTTAAAATATTCTCGAAAGGAATCTAAAATAATAAAAAAAAGTATTAAAATAATTAATTTCTGAAATGATAGAAAATAGTGTTATTCAATAATGCAAATTAAAAATAAAAATCTTTTTAAAGGTATTAATAAAAATATTATCCTAATTATTTTAAATTTATTTTCCAAACAGAATATTTTATAGTTATTCATTCATTATTTGTAAAATTATTTTTTATATCTTGATTTTCTAAAATATATTTGTCTTAACTTATTTATATCATAAAATAAAAATTTTATTCAATGATATTATGTTAATTATCTTTAGTATGAATGATTTATTTCTGTATATGTAACAACAATGTAAATTAAATTAAATAATTAGATATCTTTTAAAGATTACTCTGTTTTAATAACTTTCTCCTTCATTTAATTATCAAATCTAATTTTTTTTTTTCCGATAACTCATTTTATAAATTTTATTTAATTAAAGGGGGAAAATATTAGGCAAGTAAATCTTAGAAGCTTACAATAAATTAAATAATACTATCGTCCAATTTCAATTTACTTTTATTCAAGATTATGTAAATTATAATGTAAGGAGTTAATTAGATTTTATTAATAATTTTTTGAGACAAAAAATCAAACATATTAAGTTATTTTTTATTAACAATAAATACTTCTCTAAAAAAAAGAAACTTCATATTATTTTTTTTTAAATGAGTTTATTTTTTATTCATATGGAAAGTTTTTTAATTTGAGGAAATATATATATAGGATCTTACCTTCATTTGGGGGTACTGATTTTATAGAATATATAGCAAGATGCCATTCAAAAATATGCAAAAGGATAGAAAAATAAAGATAATAATTTACTGCAAAAATTCAAAGTTAGAACTGTATATATTATTTTTTTAAAATAAAAATAGCCAGTCACTTGAATTGAAATAGTAACATATTTTTTTTAAAGAATAATTAGATTTGTTACAACTAATTCAATGATATTATAGCACTTTTGAAAATCAATTATATTAAAATTAATTGAGTTAATTTCTTAAAGAAATTTGATTTCTGATTTACAAAATAAAAAGAAATAAAATAATAATTCAAAAAAAAAATTTATTTAGAATTGCTTTAAAATGAAGAAAATTTTAATCTTATCAATAATTTTAAATTTACTATTATAATAGACATTCACTTAAAAATACATATAATCTAGTTCTTCTTAGTCTGGTTTAATAGAATTCGCTCATTACTATGGTACTACTTATTGTGATTAAGTTGACTAAACTGCTTATTTATCCAATAACTTTTCTTAATAATTCAATAGTGTTCCTTAAATTTTTGTTGGAATTATCTTCTTTGATTTAGATACAACTACTTTAAGAAATGCCTTCCGTTTTACAGTAAAGAGTGTTGATTAAAATCAAGTCTCTATTTAATTAAATAAATATGGACTAACATGTATATTTGGAATCTAAATATAATACTTTGCAATAGTAGATCAAGATGTTTAAATATAAAATTATATTCTTACGTTTAATTAGCTCTCTGATATTTAAACATAAACCAATAAGTAATATTAATTTAAAATTCCATAGAAATTAGGCTATTAAAGAGGAGTTTAATGTGCAATAACAGGATTTGACTCAACTTACTAAACTCCACCAGATATTGATGTTTCTTATTCACATCGAAACTTATCTACAACAACATAAGTTGATTCATCAAACAACTTTTACTAAATATAAATACAAGCTGTTGATTTATCAGTAAATCTTAAAATAATTTATATAAATTGCATAGAATATTATATCGGGTAAGCAGGAGATTACTCAATGATAAATAACATTTAATAAGTGTAAACAACATAATAAATCACTACAAATTAAAATTTTTAAATAAATCTTGATTCTTCTTTTACAGGAAATACAATCACATCATATTTAGGACTCTAATAATTTGACATGTCTTAAAAATATGCTTTAAGATTTGAATATCAAAACTTTAATTTTTAAAGTAATTAATAATCATTTTAAGTAAAAACATGGGGTACAAGTATTTTATATTCTTCAACAGCTCTATTCTTTTAACATTAAATGATAGACTGCTTTTCTAGCTTAAGTTTAATAAATTCAAATGATTTAAAATAATGTGTTTCAAAGTGTTAAGATGGTTAATATGCAGCTAACTTTTAAACTACTTAAGTGTGTTCTCCTTGCAATCCAGTTTGTAAAACTTGCTCAAGTTTAAATGTATGTACTTCTTGCTAATCAAATTAATTTGTAGATCCCTCTACTTAGTCCTGTAGCAGCTGTGATACAAACTGCTTAACTTGTTAAAATTCTTCTACATAATGCTTAAGTTGTCCTTAAGGTTTGTTTCTTTACAATTAAAAGTGTTATTCAATTCAACCATAAGGCACTTATTGCGATCAAAATAAAATATGCTAAGATTGTTAAAGATCTTACTAATGCAATTTTTGTGATAATACATTATAAATTTGCATTAGTTGTATTAATTAAAGTTTATATTTTTTAAATGGAGTTTGTTCTAATATATAGCCACCAAACACATACTGCAATTTATAAAAGATATGCCAAAAATGTCCAGACTCATGTAATGGATGCGATTTAAATTTAAATTGTACATAGTGTGCAAATCCATAAAATTACTTTTATTTTGGAAAGTGTCTTTAGTAATAACCTTAAAATACCTATTGTAGTGTAAATTTTGGTATTTAAAAATTTTGCTAAAACTGTCATCCTGCTTGTAGTTAATGTTTCGGATAATAATTAGATCAATGTTCGGTTTGTTAGTAGGGATATTAATTAGTTGGTTCATCTTGTCTTTGTTAACAAGGATATGGTTATAGTACTGTTTCTTAATAATGTGAAGCTTGCTAAGTTAGTGGATGTATTCAATGTAGTTTGAGTTTAAACTAGTGTGAAGTATGTTAAGAGTAATTTTTATTAGACTAAACAACAGGTAAATGTTACTGCTCAAACCCTTAATAGTATTATTCAACTGAATTATAATAATGCTTTTAAAATAATATTCATTTCTGTAAAGTCTCATCCAAGTTTTAAAATACTTGTGAATAATGTCTAGATGGATATTACAATTTTAATAAATTGCTTTGTAGCTATTGTGGAAAATCGAAATATACAGACTCCCAAAATTAATGTAATAATGACTGCTAACCTTAATGTATAATATGCTCAAATAAATCAACATGCCTTCTCTTTTAAGATGAAGTAAATTCTAATACTAATGGAAATTTGCCAATCAATCCAAACTAAAATATTTGCCATTATAGCTGTGGTTTGTGCAATGGAAGTGAGCAATCTAATTGTCTAACTTGTAGCTCATAAACAAGAATTTATGATATCTAATAGCAAACATGTAATTGTAAAAGTGGTAGATTAGATAATGGAGATGCTGAATGTTAGGCAGCTTTTGATTTTTAATAAAACTATCTTTGGATATTATAAACTATCTTTGTAACATTTTTAATCACCTAATCTTCATTAGTATTTTCCAGTGAATTTAGGAAAGCAAACTTGAATTTTTATTTAATACAATAATTAATTTTTATAAGTTATGATAATACATTAAATACTTCACTAAGCTATACATAAACAATGAAATAATTCTAATATTTAAGTTTGGTTACTTTTATACCTATTTCATTAGTTAATGAAAGCAATTCATAAATTACTTAATAATGCAATTAAATAGTAATTTGGTTAATATTTTAGGTTACAGTTCTTTCGGCCTTTTTTATATCAAACTTTTTGAAATATGAGAAACTCAAGAACTTTGACAAAGAAATACTGTTTAGCTGCAATAGATTAACATCCACTATGAATATAGCATTAATTCTTTAGCTATTAATAAAAGAAATAAATGATATTTATAAATCAACACTTGTTTTGCTCATATTAGCATCATTAATTTAGCTAATTCTATTAATAATTGTGTTTCGAAAAATATATTAAGATTATAAAGGTGATTTTTTATTTAGATCACAATAATAAAATACATAGTAATTAAATTTGATATTTAAATATCCATATATTTCATTTTAAATTAGAAAGCAATATCTTATTTTAAATGCTATCTTAGAAGTAAAAAGAATCACAAATGGTTTAGTGTTCGCATTCTTCAGTTAAAATGGATATGAATATTAAATATTCAGTGGTATTTCTCTATTCATAATAATTATAATCATATACTTAAAACCTTTTAAAAGCTTATTAGCCAATCTAGAAGCCATAATTATAGAATTTCTAATATCTTCTTGCTTTATTCTTCATTAATATTACAGTAAAAATATATATTAAAATAACGATACTCTTTACCTTCTTGTCATAATGATTACAATAATCGTTATCTAATTATTTGCTATTATTTAAAGCACAATTTAAGTTATCTTTTATATTTATTAAAAAATAAAATATCATAAATCTAAGCCATCTAACTCAAATACAATCGAGCTCCTTCCTTAATATATTTAAAAAGGTAAAATAATTGTATTTAAATTTAATATTAAATAATGTTTTTTTTAGATAAAATAGATAATATTCTTGCTTCTAAAATGTTTTATTACAAAGTATTTAGAATAAAAAATAATAATAGAGATTAAATATGATACTATACATACAATTCATAAAATGAATTTCAAGACCTATATAAAATAGATTAATTATATCTATAATTTATTTATTGCAAACACTACTTTTATTTTTTTCTTACTACTATTTAAATTGGCAGACAATTATAAAAAATTATTTAAATTCTCAAAAGTAATTTAATAATTTTATTTAACATCATAAGATTAGTACCAGTTTAAATTCTTTCATTTTCATAGTTTTCATATCCTTCAAATGGTTAAACTTGAACATTAAATTTTCTGTTTTATATATACTATAGCAAAATGCCATTCAAAAATTTAGTGAATTGAGATCACTATTTTTTTGAATGGTTGATGCCTTTGAATATTATTTATATAAAAATAAATAATTTTATAATAGAATTTAATTAATAATATTAATAATTTTAATTTATATCAATCTTTATGATTTTTCTATTAAATTTTTAAATACAGAAATGCGTATTAATTAGACAAAATGGATTATATTCTACTGAATTCACATTTCCATTATCCTATATATATCAGTTTTTTTATGCTTTTTAATTCAAAATATTTAGAGGAATAATATGATAATCAATTTAAATGTGACCTATTTCAGCTAAACGACGAGCCGGAATTTGATTTAATCTATCTTTTTAATAATATTTTTCTTTCTAATCATAATATCGATTTAATGTTTTTTAAATATAATCCTTGTAATAATAATATACAAAAAATATAAATCATTACCAAATAATAAAAATAATATGCTAAATTTAATCAATCAAAAGATCCTCTAGCTGATTAGTAAAGGTAATATATTTTTATTTACTCATTATTTTACTAAAATAAACTTAATTTTAAGTAACAATTAAAACTCAAGAAATCCTTATTTAGTAAGAAGATAATATGCTTTTTCAAGTAAAAAAATGAGTTATTATTGATATATTTGAATTTAAATTATGTTTAATTTAATTTATGTTTTAATTAATATTTTAGAAAAAAAAAATTAAATATTTCAAATATGCACTAGTGTTTTAAAATTTAATTACTTAATTTATTATATTAATTACAGATTTTTTAATTTCTAAAATATGAATTTATATTTTTATCATTTTAAAATTATAAATTCAGTGTTTAAGAATTTAATAGTTAAATTAATAAAAGCAAAATTCGTTTATTTAATTTTAATAATTTTCACCTTTTTATAATTTTATAAAGTAAAAATTAAAATAAATCTTAATAATACTTATTAAAGCTTCAATGATAAATTATTAGTTTAAAATACATTCGAAAGTAATCTAAAATAAAAAAAGAAAATTTAAAATAATTAATTTCAAAAAAATAATATTATTCAATAATTCAATTTTTAAGTTAAAAATTTTATTAAAGGTAAAAATAAAAATATTTTCCTAATTATCCTTTTCATTGAATTTCATTTATTTGCAAATAGAATATTTTATCGTTATCATTATAGTATTAATTATTTTTAATCTCTTGATATTCTAAAAAAAATTATCCTTAGCTTATTTGAATTATAAAATACATATTTTATTTGATTATATTATGTTTATTATTTTTAGTATTAAAAATTTATTTCTGTAGATGTAACAATAATATAAATTAAATGAAATAATTAGAAATATATAAAAGAATACTCAGATATAATAATTTATTCTTCTATTTAATTATCAAATCTATATTTATAATTTTTTTTTTCCACTAACTCATACTCTTAATTGTGTAATTAAATGGGGGGAAATATTAGGTAAGTAAATCACATTAGAAGCTTACTATAAATTAAATAAATCTATGGTCCAACTTCAATTTGCTTTTATTCAAGATTATGTAAGCTATAACATAAGGATTTAATAAGATTATTTATATGCTTTTATAAGACAAGAAGATAAGAAATGCTAAGTTATTTTTATTACAAATACCTCTCTAAAAATTTAAAATTAAGTTAAGCGACTTCATTTTATTATTTTAAAATGAGTTTTTATTTTTTTCGAATGAAAAATATTTAATTTTAAAAAATATATCTATGATTATACTTAAATAAAAATAATCATTTGAGATGAGAATCATAAATTTTTTAAAAAATAATTAAATTTGTTACATTGAATTCAATGATTTATTTATACTTTTGAAAATCAATTATTTTGAAATTGAATTTATTTTCTTGAAAAATTTGATTTCTAATTTACAAAATAAAAAAAATAAAAAACAATTCAAGAAGAAATATATTTAGAATTGCTTTCAAATGAAGAAAATTTTAATCTTCTCCATAGTTTTAAATTTACTTTTATAATACACATTCACTTAAAAATATATATAATCTAGTTCTTCTTAGTCTGGTGTTATGGAATTCGCTCGTTTCTAATCTAATAATTATTGTGCTTAAGTTGACTAAACCGCTAATTTATCCAATAAATTTTCTTAATAATTCAATAGCGTTCCTTAAATATTTATTGGAGTTATCTTCTTTGATTTAGATACAACCACTTTAAGAAATGCCTTCAATTTTACAGTAATAAGTGTTAATTAAAATCAAGTATCAATTTAATTAAATAAATATGGAGGAACATGCATATTTGGAATGAAAATATCATACTTTGCAACAGTAGATCAAGATGTTTAAATATAAAATTATATTCTTACATTTAATCAGCTCTCTGATATTTAAACATAAAACAATAAGTAATATTAATTTACAATTCCTTAGAAATTAGCCTATTAAAGAGGAGTTTAATGTGCTATAACAGGATTTGACTCAACTTACTAAATTTCACCAAGTAGCGATATTTCTTATTTACATCGAAATTTAGCTACTGCAACATAAGTTGATTCATCAAACAACTTTTACTAAATATAAATAGAAGCTCCTGATTTATCAGTAAATCTTAAAATAATTTATATAAATTGCATAGAATATTATATCGATTAAGCAGGAGATTACTCAATGATTCATAACATTTAATAAGTGTAAACAACATAATAAATCACTACAAATTAAAATTTTTAAATAAATCTTGATCCGTCTTTTACAGGAAATACAATCACATCATTTTTAGGACTCTAATAATTTGACTTGTCCTAATATAAAGCTTTAAGATTAGAATATCAAAACTTTAATTTTTAAATTAATTAATTATCTTTTTAAGTGATTACATGGTATTTTAGTATTTTATATTCTTCAACCGCTCTATTCTTTTAACATTAAATGATAGATTGCTAAACTAGCTTCAATAAAATAAATTCAAACGATTTAAAATAATGTGTTTCAAGGTGTTTAGATGGTTAATATGCAGCTAACTTTTAAACTACTTAAGTGTGTTCTCCTTGCAATCCAATTTGTAAAACTTGCTCAAGTTTAAATGTATGTACTTCTTGCTAATCAAATTAATTTGTAGATCCCTCTACTTAGTCCTGTAGCAACTGCGATACAAGCTGTTTAACTTGTTAAAATTCTTCTACATAATGCTTAAGTTGTCCTTAAGGTTTGTTTCTTTACAATTAAAAGTGTTATTCAATTCAACCATAAGGCACTTATTGCGATCAAAATTAAATATGCTAAGATTGTTAAAGATCATACCAATGCAAATTCTGTGATAATACATTATAAATTTGCATAAGTTGTATTAATTAAAGTTTATATTTTTTAAATGGAGTTTGTTCTAATATATAGCCACCAAACACATACTGCAATTTATAAAAGATATGCCAAAAATGTCCTGACTCATGCAATGGATGCGATTTAAATTTAAATTGTACATAGTGTGCGAATCCATAAAATTTCTTTTATTTTGGAAAGTGTCTTTAGTAATAACCTCAAAATACCTATTGTAGTGTAAATTTTGGTTTTTAAAAATTTTGCTAAAACTGTCATCCTGCTTGTAGTTAATGTTTTGGATAATAATTAGATCAATGCTCGGCTTGCTAGTTGGGATATTAATTAGTTGGTTCTTCTTGTCTTTGTTAACAAGGATATGGTTATAGTTCTGTTTCTTAATAATGTGAAGCTTGCTAAATTAGTGGATGTATTCAATGTAGTAAGAGCTTAAACTAATGTGAAATTTGTTAAGATTAACTATTATTAGACTAAGCAACAGGTAAATGCTACTGCTCAAACCCTTAATAGTATTATTAAACTAAATTATAATCATGCTTTTAAAATAATATTCATTTCTGTAAAGTCTCATCCAAGTTTTAAAATACTTGTGAATAATGTCTAGATGGATATTACAATTTTAATAAATTGCTTTGTAGCTATTGTGGAAAATCGAAATATACAGACTCTCAAAATTAATGTAATAATGACTGCTAACCTTAGTGTATAATATGCTCAAATAAATCAACATGCCTTCTCTTTTAAGATGAAGTAAATTCTAATACTAATGGAAATTTACCAATTAATCCAAACTAAAATATTTGCCATTATAGTTGTGGTTTGTGCAACGGAAGTGGGTAATCAAATTGCCTAACTTGTAGCTCATAAACAAGAGTTTATGATATCTAATAGTAAACATGTAATTGTAAAAATGGTAGCTTTGATAAAGGGGATGCTGAATGTTAGGCAGCTTTTGACTTTTAATAAAACTATCTATGGATATTATAAACTATATTTGTAACATTTTTAATCACCTAATCATCCTTAGTATTTTTCAGTTAATTTAGGAAAGCAAATTTGAATTTTAATTTAATACAATAATTAATTTTTATAAGTTATGATAAAACACTAAGTATGTCACTAAACTACGCTTAAACGATGAAATAATTTTAGTATTTAAGTTTGGTTACTTTTATACCTATTTCATTAGTTAATGAAAGCAATTCATAAATTACTTAAAAATGCAACTAAATATTAATTTTATTAATATTTTAGGTTGCAGTTCTTTCAGCCTTTTTTATCTAAAATTTTTTGAAAAACCAAAAACTAAAGTACTTTTACAAAGAAATGCTGTTTAGCTGTAACAGATTAACATCTACCATGAATATAGCATTAATTCTTTAGCTATTAATAAAAGAAATAAAAGATATTTATAAATCAACACTTGTTTTGCTCATAATAGCATCATTAATTTAGCTAATTTTATAAATATTGGTTTTTAGAAAAATCTATTTGGATTATCAAGCCAATTTTTAAATCACGTCACCATAAAATAATGGATAGAATTTATCTTTAATATTTAAATATCCATATATTTCATTTTAAACTAGAGATCAATATCTTATTTTAAATGCTATCTTAGAAGTAAAAAGAATCATAAATGGTTTAATGTTTGCATTGTTTAGTTAAAATGGATATGAATATTAAATACTCAGTGGTATTTCTCTATTCATTATAATTATAATCATATACTTAAAACCTTTTAATAGCTTATTAGCTAATCTAGAAGCCATAATTATAGAATTTCTAATATCTTCTTGCTTTATCCTTCATTAATTTTACAGTAAAAATATATATTAAAATAATGGTACTCCTTACCTTCTTATTATAATGATTATAATAATCGTTATCTAATTATTTGCTATTATTTAATGCGCAATTTAAGTTTTCTTTTTCATTTATTAAAAAATAAAATCATATAAATTTTAGTCATCTAATTCAACTACAATCGAGCTCCTTCCTCAATATATTTAAAAAGGTAAAATAATTGTATTTAAATTTAAGATTAAATAATTTTTTTTATAGATAAAATAGATAATATTCTTGCTTCTAAAATGTTTAATTACAAAGTATTTAGAGTAAAAAATAATAAAATAGTTTAAATATGATACATACAATTCATAAAATGAATTTCAAGACCTATATAAAATAGATTAATTATTTTTATAATATATTTATTGCAAATACTACTTTTCTTTGTTTCTTACTACTATTTAACTTAGCAATCAATTGTGAAAAATTATTTAAATTACCAAAGTAATAAATATGTTTTTAAACATGAAATATATAATAGTTACAATGAATTATATCAAAATATAATAAAAATTTAATTGCAAATTATGAATACTTTTTTAGATTTGATATTAGATATTTTGAATTTCTTGTTACTGATAATTAAAAATTTGAAAAGTAAAAATAATGTTTGTCTTGATTAAAAACTCTTAATTAGTTTATTTATAACATAAGCTTATTGACTTAAGAACATACTTAAATAAATGAATATGAATTGTGTATTTTTTAAATAAACTAGCTTAAATCATAAAAATCAAATTTTTAATAATTCTAGCATGTTAAAATATGATTTGTTAAAATACATTTAGTAAATTAAACAAAACACACAAGTAAATAAATTTGTTACAGATAAACATTTTTTTGATTAAAATAATCTACTTAAATTAATAATTTATATAATTTACAAAAACTACTGATTAGATTATTATATGAAGTAAAATAATATATCCTTTGATAGAATATAAAATTCTTACAATTTTTTCCATAAGAAATTGATAAAGCTTTTTAAATTTTTACAACTTTTCCTTCTTTTAAAAGAATATTTTTTTTCAATAAATCGAATCTATCTAGCTGATATAAATAGAGATATAAAATTTATGTAATTACTTAGCTTTCCATAAATTAAATACTATTTTTAGCTTTAATTACTCTTAATTAATTATTTATTTTTAGTTAAACATCAAAAGACTAATACATATATAGATATTCTATTAAAATTATATTTCTTTAATTACATATGTAATAAATAATACAGCTATATCATTAATTACTTAGTTTATAACTCTAATAATTTACTTCTTCTAGAATTTTTTTAAATTCAAAGTATACAATATTTAAATAAGTAGTTTTATTTTATTGTAACAATTTAACTATAACAATCAATATGTCACTTATATTTCAACTTTTTGCAAACAAATTTAAAAATATTAATTTTTCTAATTTATTCTGTAATATATGATCTATATCTTACTTTATAAGTGTTAAAATTAAGAAAAATTTTTATTGATTATTTGAGTTATTTTTCATGCAAAAAGCTCTCCATATACTAAGTTTAATCGAACACAAATTGCCTTCATAATTTTAACTTTATTTGAGATAAAAAGAATAATTAGAATTCTATTTATATCATATATAATGCTAATTGATATATCTTTATTATTTATTAAACAAATAGTATATTTAAGCCACTTTAAAGCAATCTAGTTAACTAAAAAGTTGCTGTAAAAGAGCTGGTATCCTCTTCACAATTAGTCTAATTTTTAGTTTAAATTTTTTTATTGTCTATAGAGCTGTTAAATTCTAATTAATTAAAGATACTTTCACCACAAATTATGTATAATTTACTCCTTAAATTATCTAAAAAGGTAAATTGAGTTATAATTATTAATAAATAACATTACATTTTTTTAAAGGAAAAATAGTTTTTTTCAATTTAAAATGTTTTTAGAAATTATTTGTTAATCCATATATATTTAACTGTAAAATAAATTTTAAAAGTAATTCAATAACTTCATTTAATTGCATTTCATCTCTGTTAAATAATAATTTTCTAGCTAAATTTTTATTACTATTTCTTTTTATATCAAAAATATCTTTTTCTATTTATAGCAAGATACCATAGTTAAATTTCGTGGTTTGGTTACCACTTATTATGAAATAGATTTTATAGTTATTAATTAAAAAATATGATTTTGATATTTCATAATAGAATTATAATTAATTAATTAATAATTTAATTTATTATAATTTCAAAAATAAATTATTTTCTGTAGTGATTGTTTAGAATTTCTAAATTTTTTTTTAGAAAAAAGAATATTCATTCATTCAAATTTAAGTTAAAAATTTTATAAAAGATAAAAATAAAAATATTATCCTAATTATTTTTTTCATAGAAATAAATTTATTTGTAAAAATAATATTTTATTTTATTCATTATTGTATTAATTAATTTTAATTTCTTGATTTTCTAAAATAAAAATATCCTTAGCTTATTTAAATTATAAAATACATATTTTATTCGATTATATTATGTTTATTATCTTAAGTATTAACATTGATTTCTGTATATTTAACAACAATATAAATTTGATATTTAGATATAAATAAAATAATACTCTAATCTAATAATTTTCTCTTTCATTTAATTATCAATATTCTTTTTCTTTTTTTTCTCCACTAACTCATACTATAAATTGTTTAATTAAATGGGGGAAAATATTAGGTAAATAAATCACATTAGAATCTTATTTTAAATTAGACAAATCTATGGTCCAACTTCAATTTGCTTTTATTTAAGATTAGATATGTTGTGATCTAAGTAAGGATTAATTAGATTATTTTATAATTTTATGAGACAAATTTTAAGTAATCTTTTATTACAAATACCTCTATAAAAATTTAAAATTAAGGAAGGAGACTACATTTTGTTATTTTAAAATGAGTAAACTTTTTAATTTGAGGAAAATGTATATATTATTATATTTAAATAAAAATAACCATTTGAGTTGAAATAGAATCGTAAATTTTTTTAAAAATAACTAAATTTGTTACACTAAATTCAATGATATAATGCCACTTTTGAAAATCAATGATATTGAAATTGAATTAATTTTCTTGAAAAATTTGATTTCTTATTTACAAAATAATAAAAATAAAAAAACAATAAAAGTAGAAATTTATTTAGAATTGCTTTCAAATGAAGAAAATTTTAATCTTCTCCATAGTTTTAAATTTGCTATTATAATAGACATACACTTAATATTACATATAATCTAGTTCTTCTTAATCTGGTGTAATGGAATTTGCTCGTTACGGTTCTGCTATATATTGTTAGAAAGTTGACGAAACTGCTAATTTATCCAATAACTTCTCTTAATAATTCAATAGTGTTCCATAAATATTTATTGGAATTATCTTCTTTGATTTAGGTACAGGTATTTTAAGAGATGCTTTCAATTTTACAGTAAAAAGTGTTAATTAAAATCAAGTCTCCATTTAATTCAATAAATATGGAGAAACATGCTTATTTGGAATGAAAATATAATACTTTGCAACAGTAGATCAAGATGTTAAAATATAAAATTATATTCTTACATTTAATCAGCTCTCTGATATTTAAACATAAAACAATAAGTAATATTAATTTACAATTCCTTAGAAATTAGCCTATTAAAGAGGAGTTTAATGTGCTATAACAGGATTTGACTCAACTTACTAAATTTCACCAAGTAGCGATACTTCTTATTCACATGGAAAATTATCTACTACAACATAAGTTGATTCATCAAACAACTTTTACTATATTTAAATACAAGCTCCTGATTTATCAGTAAATCTTAAAATAATTTATATAAATTGCATGGAATATTATATAGGGTAAACAGGAGACTACTCAATGATAAATAACATTTAATAAGTGTAAACAACATAATATATTACATCTAATTATAATCTTAAAATAAATATTGATCCGTCTTTTACAGGAAATTCTATCACATCATTTTTAGGAATATAATAATTTGACCTGACATAATATCAAGCTTTAAGATTAGAATATCAAAACTTTAATTTTTAAAGTAATTTATACTCATTTTAAGTAAAAACATGGGAAGGGAGTATTATTTATTCTTCAACAGCTCTATTCTTTTAACATTAAATGATAGACTGCAAATCTAGCTTCAATAAAATAAATTCAAACGATTTAAAATAATGTGTTTCAAGGTGTTTAGATGGTTAATATGCAGCAAACTTTTAAACTACTTTCGTGTGTTCTCCTTGCAATCCAATTTGTAAAACTTGCTCAAGTTTAAACGTATGTACTTCTTGCTAATCAAATTAATTTGTAGATCCCTCTACTTAGTCCTGTAGCAACTGCGATACAAGCTGTTTAACTTGTTAAAATTCTTCTACATAATGCCTAAGTTGTCCTTAAGGTTTGTTTCTTTACAATTAAAAGTGTTATTCAATTCAACCATAAGGTACTTATTGCGATCAAAATTAAATATGCTAAGATTGTTAAAGATCATACTAATGTAATTTTTGCGATAATACATTATAAATTTGCATAAGTTGTATTAATTAAAGTTTATATTTTTTAAATGGAGTTTGTTCTAATATATAGCCACCAAACACATACTGCAATTTATAAAAGATATGTCAAAAATGTCCTGACTCATGCAATGGATGCGATTTAAATTTAAATTGTACATAGTGTTCAAATCCATAAAATTTCTTTTATTTTGGAAAGTGTCTTTATTAATAACCTCAAAATACCTATTGTAGTGTAAATAATGGTATTTAAAAATTTTGTTAAAACTGTCATCCTGCTTGTAGTTAATGTTTTGGATAATAATTAGATCAATGCTCGTCTTGCTAGTTGGGATATTAATTAGTTGGTTCTTCTTGTCTTTGTTAACAAGGATATGGTTATAGTTCTGTTTCTTAATAATGTGAAGCTTGCTAAATTAGTGGATGTATTCAATGTAGTAAGAGTTTAAACTAATGTGAAATGTGTTAAGATTAACTATTATTAGACTAAGCAACAGGTAAATGCTACTGCTCTAACCCTTAATAGTATTATTCAACTGAATTATAATCATGCTTTTAAAATAATATTCATTTCTGTAAAGTCTCATCCAAGTTTTAAAATACTTGTGAATAATGTCAAGATGGATATTACAATTATAATAAATTGATTTGTAGCTATTGTGGAAAATCTAAATATACAGACTCTCTAAATTAATGTAATAATGACTGCTAACCTTAGTGTATAATATGCTCAAATAAATCAACATGCCTTCTCTTTTAAGATGAAGTAAATTCTAATACTAATGGAAATTTGCCAATTAATCCAAATTAAAATATTTGCCATTATAGTTGTGGTTTGTGCAACGGAAGTGGGTAATCAAATTGCCTAACTTGTAGCTCATAAACAAGAGTTTATGATATCTAATAGTAAACATGTAATTGTAAAAATGGTAGCTTTGATAAAGGGGATGCTGAATGTTAGGCAGCTTTTGACTTTTAATAAAACTATCTATGGATATTATAAACTATATTTGTAACATTTTTAATAACCTAATCATCCTTAGTATTTTCCAGTTAATTTAGGAAAGCAAATTTGAATTTTTATTTAATACAATAATTAATTTTTATAAGTTATGATAAAACACTAAGTATGTCACTAAACTACGCTTAAACGATGAAATAATTTTAGTATTTAAGTTTGGTTACTTTTATACCTATTTCATTAGTTAATGAAAGCAATTCATAAATTACTTAAAAATGCAGCTAAATAGTAATTTTATTAATATTTTAGGTTGCAGCTCTTTCAGCCTTTTTTATCTAAAATTTTTTGTAATATGAAAAACTAAAGTACTTTGGCAATGAAATACTGTTTAGCTGTAATAGATTAACATCTACCATGAATATAGCATTAATTCTTTAGCTATTAATAAATGAGATAAAAGATATTTATAAATCAACACTTGTTTTGCTCATAATAGCATCATTAATTTAGCTAATTTTATAAATATTGGTTTTTAGAAAAATCTATTTGGATTATAAAGCCAATTTTTAAATTACATCACAATAAAATAATTCATTTAATTAAAATTTGATATTTAAATATCCATATATCTCATTTTAAACCAGAGAACAATATCTTATTTTAAATGCTATCTTAGAAGTAAAAAGAATGATAAATGGTTTAGTGTTTGCATTGTTCAGTTAAAATGGATATTAATATTAAATACTAAGTGGTATTTCTCTATTCATAATAATTATAATCATATACTTAAAACCTTTTTATAGCTTATTAGCGAATCTAGAAACCATAGTTATAGAATTTCTAATATCTTCTTGCTTTGTTCTTCATTCATTTTACAGTAAAAATATATTCTAAAATAATGATGCTTCTTACCTTCTATTTATAATGATTACAATAATCGTTATTTAATTGTTTGCTATTATTTAATGTTCAATTTAAGTTTTCTTTTTTATTTATTAAAAAATAAAATCACATAAATCTAAATCATCTAATTCAACTACAATCGAGCTCCTTCCTTAATATATTTAAAAAGGTAATATAATTGTATTTAAATTTAAGATTAAATAATTTTTTTTATAGATAAAATAGATAATATTCTTGCTTCTAAAATGTTTAATTACAAAGTATTTAGAGTAAAAAATAATAATAAAGTTTAAATATGATACATATAATTCAGAAAATGAATTTCAAGGCCTAAATAAGACATATTAATTATGTTTATAATATATTTATTGCAAATACTATTTTTCATTGTTTCTTACAACTATTTAAATTGGCAGTCATTTGTGAATAATTATTTACATTATTAAAAGTAATAAATATGTATTTAAACATGGAAAATATAATGGTTACAGAGAATTATATCAAAATATAATAAAAATTTAGTAGCCTATTATGAATACTTTTTTAGATTTGATATTAGATATTTTGAATTTCTTATTACTGATAATTAAAAATTTGAAAAGTAAAAATAATGTTGTAATTCTTGATTAAGAACTCTTAATTAGTTTATTTATAACATAAGCTAAATTAACTCAGGAAGATAGTTAAATAAATGAATTAGAATAAAATATTTTTTAAATAACTAGTTTAAATTATATATAATCAAATTTTTATTAATTTTAACATGTAAAAATATGATTTCTTAAAATACATTTAGAAAATAAAACAAAACACACAAGTAAATAAATTTGTTACAGATAAACATTTTTTTGGTTAAAATAATCTACTCAAATTAATAATTTATATAATTTACAAATAATATTTGATAGAATAAAATATTTTTTTAATTTTTTTTTCCATAAGAAATTGACATTATCCTAATTATTTTTTTAATCGAATTAAATTTATTTGCAAGTAGAATATTTTATCATTATTCATTATATTTCTTGATTTTCTAAAATAAATATATCTTTAGCTTTTTTAATATTATAAAATAAATATTTTATTTTATTATATTTAGTATTAACTATTGATTTCTGTATATTTGACTATAATATAAATAAAAATAAATAATTTAATATATATAAAAGAATACTCTTATCTAATAATTTACTCTTTCATTTAATTATCAAATCTAGACATAATAATTTTTTTTTCCACTAACTATTACTTTAAATTGCCTAATTAAAGGTGGGGATTATTAGATAAGTAAATCACGTTAGAAGCTTACTATAAATTAAACAATTCTATGGTCCAACTTCAATTTGATTTTATTTAAGATAAGGTATTTTATGATTTAAGGATTATTAGATTATTTTTATAATTTTATGAGACAAAAAGATTAGAAATCTTTTATTACATATGCCCCTCTAAAAACTTAAAATCAGGTTAAGAGACTTCATTTTGTTATTTTAAAATGATTTTATATTTTTTTCTGATGAAAAACTTTTTAATTTGAGAAAATTTATATATTGTTATATTTAAATAAAAATAATCATTTTAGTTGAAAAAGAATTGTAAATTTATTTAAAAATAACTAAATTGGTTACAATTAATTCAATGGTATAATACCACTTTTGATAGATCAATTATATTGAAATTGAATTAATTTTCTTGAAAAATTTAATTTCTTATTTACAAAATAATAAAAAATAAAAGAACAATTTAAGAAGAAATTTTATTTAGAATTGCTTTAAAATGAAGAAAATTTTAATCTTCTCCATTACTTTAAATTTGCTTTTATAATAGATATTCACTTAAAAATACATATAATCTAATTCTTCCTAGTCTGATGTAATGGAATTTGCTCGTTACGGTTCTACTTAATATTGTGGGAAAGTTGACTAAACTGCTAATTTATCCAATAACTTCTCTTAATAATTCAATAGTGTTCCATAAATATTTATTGGAATTCTCTTCTTTGATTTAGGTACAACTACTTTAAGAAATGCCTTCAATTTTACAGTAAAAAGTGTTAATTAAAATCAAGTCTCCATTTAATTAAATAAATATGGAGAAACATGCATATTCGGAATCAAAATATCATACTTTGCAACAGTAGATCAAGATGTTTAAATATAAAATTATATTCTTACACTTAATCAGCTCTCTGATATTTAAACATAAAACAATAAGTAATATTAATTTAAAATTCCATAGAAATTAGGCTACTAAAGAGGAGTTTAATGTGCAATAACAGGATTTGACTCAATTTACTCAACTCCACCAAGCACCGATACTAATTATTCACATCGAAATTTAGCTACTGCAACATAAGTTGACTCATCAAACAACTTTTACTAAATATAAATAGAAGCTCCTGATTTATCAGTAAATCTTAAAATAATTTATATAAATTGCATAGAATATTATATCTGGTAAGCAGATGATTACTCTATGATTAATAATATTTAATAAGAATAGACAACATAATCAATCACATCAAATTATAATTTTTAAATAAATCTTGATTCGTCTTTTATAGGAAATTCAATCACATCATTTTTAGGACTATAATAATTTGACTTGTCTTAATAAGCGGCTTTAAGATTGGAATATAATCACTTTTTTTTTTTAAATAATTAATATTATTTTTAAGTAAATACATGGAGTTCGAGTATTTTATATTCTTCAAAAGCTCTATTCTTTTAGCATTAAATGATAGACTGCAAATCTAGCTTTAATGAAATAAATTCAAACGATTTAAAAAAATGTGTTTCAAAGTGTTAAGATGGTTAATATGCAGTTCAATTTTAAACTACTTAAGTATGTAGCAACTGTGATCCAAGCTGCCTAACTTGTTAAAATTCCTCTACATAATGCTTAAGTTGTCCTTAAGGTTTGTTTCTTTACAATTAAAAGTGTATTCAATGTTGTAAGAGTTTAAATTAATTGGAAATGTGTTAAACGTAATTTTTATTAGATTAAGCAACAGGTAAATGCTACTGCTCTAACCCTTAATAGTATTATTCAACTGAATTATAATCATGCTTTTAAAATAACATTCATTTCTGTAAAGTCTCATCCAAATTTTAAAATACTTGTGAATAATGTCAAGATGGATATTACAATTATAATAAATTGATTTGTAGCTATTGTGGAAAATCGAAATATACAGACTCCCAAAATTAATGTAATAATGACTGCTAACCTTAGTGTATAATATGCTCAAATAAATCAACATGCCTTCTCTTTTAAGATGAAGTAAATTCTAATACTAATGGAAATTTGCCAATTAATCCAAACTAAAATATTTGCCATTATAGTTGTGGTTAATGCAACGGAAGTGGGTAATCTAATTGCCTAACTTGTAGCTCATAAACAAGAGTTTATGATATCTAATAGCAAACATGCAATTGTAAAAGTGGTAAATTTGATAAAGGGGATGCTGAGTGTTAGACAGCTTTTGACTTTTAATAAAACTATCTTTGGATATTATAAACTATTTTTATAATATTTTTAATCACTCAATCCACCTTGGTGTTTTCCAGTTAATTTAGGAAAGCAAATTTGAATTTTTATTTAATATAATAATTAATTTTTATAAGTTATGATAATACTCTAAGTATGTCACTAAACTATGCCTAAACGATGAAATAATTTTAGTATTTAAGTTTGGTTACTGCTATACCTATATCAATAGTTGATGAAAGCAATTCATAAATAATTTAAGAATGCAATTAAATAGTAATTTTATTAATATTTTAAGTCGCTGCTCTTTCAATTTTTTTTATCTAATATTTTTTGAAATACCAAAAACTAAAGTACTTTGACAAAGAAATACTGTTTAGCTGTAATAGATTAACATCGACAATAAATATAGCATTAATTCTTTAGCTAATAATAAAAGAAATTAAAAATATTTATAAATCAACGCTTGTTTTGCTTGTAATTGCATCATTAGTTTAGCTAATTCTATAAATAATTGTTTTTAGAAAGATCTATTTGGATTATAAAGGCAATTTTTTAATTACATCACAATAAAAGAATACATTGAATTTATCTTTAATATATAAATATCCATACATTTCATTTTAAACAAGAGAATAATATCTTATTTTAAAAGCTATCTTAGAAGTAAAAAGAATTATAAATGCTTTAGTGTTTGCATTGTTCAGTTAATATGGATATTAATATTAAATACTTAGTGGTATTTCTCTATTCATAATAATTATAATCTTATACTTAAAGCCCTTTCATAGCTTACTAGCCAATCTAGAAGCCATAGTTATAGAATTTCTAATATCTTCTTGCTTTCTTCTTCATTCATTTTACAGTAAAAATATATTTTAAAATAATGATGCTTCTTACCTTCTATTTATAATGATTACAATAATTTTTGTCTAATTATTTGCTATTATTTAATGTACAATTTAAATTTTATTTTTCATTTATTAAAAAATAAAATCGTATAAATCTAAATCATCAAATTAAGCTACAATCGAGCTCCTTCCTCAATATATTTAAAAAGGTAAAATAGTTTTTTTAAATTCAAGATTAAATAATTTTTTTTAGATACAATAGATCATATTCTTGCTTCTAAAATGTTTAATTACAAAGTATTTAGAGTAAAAAATAATAACAGACTTTAAATATGATACATACAATTCATAAAATGAATTTCAGGGTAATATAAAATTATTAATTATGTTTATATTTTATTTATATTTATTTGATGTGAATTATGCTTTTATTTGTTTCTTACTGCTATTTAAATTGGCAGTCAAGAGATAAATTATTTAAATTCTAAAAAGTAATAAATATGTATTTATAAAAATGGAAAATATAGGAACTAAAATTAATTATATCAAAATATTATAAAAAATTATTCGCCAAATATGAAAACTAATTTGATATGATATATTTTGAATTTCTTGTTACTGATAATTAAAAATTTGAATGGTAAGAATAATGTTTGTCTTGATTAAGAACTCTTAATTAGTTTTATAACATAATCTGAATTGACTCTAGAAGATAGTTAAATTAACGAATACGAATTAAGTATCTTTTAAAGAAACTAGCTTAAACCAAAAAGCAAGAAACTTTTATTAACTCTAACATGTCAAAATATGATTTCTAAAAATACATTTAGTAAATTAAAAAAAACACACAAGTAAATAAATTTGCTAAAAATAAACATTTTTTGATTAAAATAATCTACTTAAATTAACAATTTATATAATTTAAAAATAATCCTATGATAGAATAAAACATACTTTAAAATTTTTCCATAAAAAATTGAAATAGCTTTTTAGTTTTTATTTCATCAATTTTTACATCTTTTAAAAGATTATTTTTTTTCAATAAATTGAATCTAGTTGATATCAATAAATGATATAAAATTTAGGCAATTACTAAACTTTCCATAAATTAAATATTATTTTTAGCTTTAATTACATTTAATAAGCATAAAAATTTTAGTTAACATCAAATAACAGTAAATATAATCTATCAAAATAATATTTAATTACATACACAATAAATAATACAGCTATATCATTGATTACTTAGTCGTCTATAATTCTAATAATTTACTTCTTCTAAAAATTTTTAAAATTCAAAATGTACAATATTTAAATAATTACATAGTTTTATTTTATTGTAATAATTTAACTTTAACATTCAATATGTCTCTTATATTTTATTTTATTTTAATTTAAATTTAAAAAATTAATTTTTCTAATTTATTCTGTAATATATGATATATATCTAACTTAATAAGTATTAACCTTAAGTAATATTTTTATTCATTATTAGAGTTATCTTTACTGCAAAAAGCAATAAACCAATACAAAAGCTTTATCGATTATGTTTGAATCTCCATACACTTCATTTAATCAAACACAAAATACATTTATATAATATATATATATGTTAATTGAGATATCTTTATTATTTTTAAAGAAATAGTATATTTAAGCCTTTTCATGATTAGCTTAATTTTAATTTAAATTTTTTTATAGTCTATATAGACCTATTAAATTCTAATTAATTAAAGATAATTTCACCCCAAATTATGTATAGATTGCTCCTTAACATATCTAAAAAGTTAAATTGAGTTACTATTATTAATAAATAAAAGTAAATTTTTTTAAACGAAAAATAGATTATATACTTCATAAAATGTTTTTTATAGTAATAACTACAAAGAAAAGATTAAGCAATCATATTTGTTGATTAAATTAGTAATTAAATGTAATTTATATGATAATTCTATTCCTTCAATTTTTTAAATATTTAGAAGCAGAGCAATAATTTTAATTCTTATTTTTCTATTTTATTACATTTAATAAAATAAATAAAATCTATTATAAATACACTTTAAACCTTTAAATATTAATAAAGGTCAACATTTTAAAAAATGAAGTATTAAAAAGATTTGAAGATATAATTGAAAAAAGAAATACCTGTTATATATATTTTATCTCAAATATTAATTTTCAAAAACAAATACTTTCTAAAAATATATTTTTTATAAAATTAGTAGTATAATTAATTGATAAAAAAATAAATTTTCTTCTCTAATTCTCATCAATTTTTTAATGAATATTTAGATGTAATAGATATATTTAATTCTAATTTTTTTAAATAAATATTATGAGAAAATAAATTAAACATATGATTAAAAAAAACTTTGTAGGTAGCTATAAATATTAATAAATTTCAGTTTTTAAAAATGATATCTCAAAGAGACTTTAACATTAAATTGAAGAAGAAAAACCTATTATATTATCTCCAAAACATTTATTTAACACAATACATATTTTCTTAAAATATATTTTTTTATCATATTAAATAGTATAATTGATAAAAAAATAAGTTTTTTTCTCTAATTCACATAAATTTTGTTACTGAATATTTAGATGTAATAGCCATATTTGAATTCTTATTTTTATAAAAAAATGCTTCGAGAAAAATAAAATAAATATATGCTTAAACAAAACTTTGAAGGTACAAATTTAAATAAATGCAATTATTTTTAAAAATGATATCTCAAATAGAGTTGAACAATAAATTAAAAAAAGATACACCTATTAAATTACATTGTTTTATATATACTACTAATACTTACTATAAGTGTATGTATTTCTTAATATATATTTTTAAATAACATTATTTGAAATAAAAATAATTTTCTTCTCCATTTCCTTTTACATTTTTATAAAAAAGAATTTAGATAAAATTGCTTGCTTAGAGATTTACTTATTAAAATTTAATTTAAATACTTATCCAAATCCTACTAATAATTAATAAAATCAAATTAAATACTTAGTAAATATAAAATGCATAAGTGGAAACATAAAATTTCAAGACTTTATAAATTAAATAATAAAATAATGAAGATTGATATTTCTGATGTACATGAAGCATCATAAGCCTTGTTAGGAATAAGTTAAGAATTAACAAATTGTGGAAAATTAGAATAAATTCTTTTAAATGTTTGTGTTGATTATTCTGAGTAATAATATGAGGATTTAGGAAAAGCAATCAAATAATGCAAGATGATTAACCTATTCATAAATAATCCATTTCATACTCCTAATCTTAAAAAATTTATTAAGTAGATTTCTTATTTAAATAAAGTAGAGCTTTTAGAATTATATTTATAATAAAATTGGTATAATAAGAATCTATCTTTGTATTTCGAAAATTTGCAAGAAATAGCCAAACTTTCTAATTTAAAGACTTTAATAATATCATTAAATAATTCAAGAGAATTTATTAACATGAAATCTGATGTTAAAAAAATCTAATAATTTGGTGATCAAATTTCTAATTTAAAAAATCTAATATACATTAAAATAGATTTTGGACCAATAAACACCTACAATAAATATAGTGGAGTAGAATTAGATAATTAAATTATCTTACCACTTAGATCTTTTTTTATTAAAAATAAAAAAATCATATTAATCAAAATAAGTTATAATAGATTTGATCCATATGAGGGTTCAACTTATGAATGAAAATTAAAAAAAATTTATTAATTTAATTATTATACTAAAATGTATTTTTAGATTTTTTTATTTGTATTAAAGCATTCTCTAATTACGAAAAAGATAATTTTAATATTTCAAAAACAAATCATTTTAATTTTCTAATTTATTTTTACAAAAGTAAAATTTAAAATAAATTATGATCAAAATTTTTAACAAAACTAATTAATTATTTTATAAACAAAATTCAATATATTTAAATATGAAATTAATGAAGATATTTTGAATTTAATATTGATTATAAAATAATATAAATACATAATAACTTGCTTGCTATTATTCTTTTTGATAAATAATTTAATAATCAATCATAAATTATTGAGAAATTCTGAAAATTTAAAAAGTTTAATGAACAAATTAATTAATTGAATTTTAAATATATTTATTTTGTTATAATTTATCTGTTAAAAAAATTATTTTTTATATCCTTATTTTATTTTTAGTTATTTGTTAAAAAAAGTTAGTAATAAAACTGAATATAAAAATTTAAAACTCACTAACTAACTTTGAGAAATTGGGACAAATTGAAATCTTGATGAATTTCAATTATTTATCAAATTTAAATATGTATTATATTTATGGTGTTTGTGATTTTTTATTTTAAGAGAAATTTAATTACATTTATTTATGTGAAGATCTTTACCAATTTTTGTGCCCACAATAATTTATATGAATGGGATAATTAATCATTAATGTAAGTAATCGTTTCCATGCTAACTAATTAATCAATCAATAAATTAAAAAAATTTCTCATACTTTTTTTAATTAATAAAATAAGCAAAAAGATAGATGAGTATGAATAGGGAAATGAATAAAATGGTTCAAAAAAAATTATTATTATTGTTAATTTTATTAAACTTAATAAAAACTACAATTTGTGAGAGTGGTAGCTACACATTAGCTGATTTTTATCAGGTAATTTAACTGAGAATAGTAGACTTTAGTGTTAATCCATTGAGTACAAGTAACATTTAAAATACAATTACATTCAATTCAGATAAATTTAAAAACCCTCAAATTCTCATCGGAGTGATGTAATTTGATGTTGCTACCAATACGAACTACATAGGATATAAATTGGATAATACAGTTAATGGAAATTCTATTACATTAACTGCTTAACAATTTTAAGATTCAAAAATAAGTTAAATCATAATATTATGTTTGATAATTTAACACTAAAGCGTTTACATACAAAAAGGTTCAATTATTATGCCTGCTCCAAATTCTAATTTAATTATCAAATAAACTATTAATTATCAAAAGTAGACTCAAAACCCTCCTCAAATTTAGGCATATATCACAGGATATCTAAATTAAGTATAAGGTGACTATCTAAAAGTTAAATTAACTGTCTAATAAGGTTAAAACTCATTTGATTTAATTATAGAAAGATCCGATATGGGTTTACAAGAGGTTTACTATAATTACATTGAGGTATATGATGATGTAAATATTGGCTTCTAACAGTCTTTTACAACCTATCAACCAAGTCCTTATTATTTAGCAAACATGTATTAAGAAAATTCATATGAGGACTCCTCAAATACTGCTCTAAATAATGGATAAGTAGGAAATAGACTAAGTAATCAAAGAATTCTATCAGTAAATCTTTAATATCCAGCTTCTAATTCCTATAATTTTACTCAAGTAGGGTTTTTTATTGGGTTTACTTTCTATGAGTATGATATTACTGTGAAAACAAATGGATTGAGAGCAGAAATTTTTAATATTCAATTTTTAAATAATATTTTCAATTTCAACTACAGAGTTTGGTATACCTCTCAGATTTTAGGGATAACAGCTTCCTATTTATACTTTGGAATGCTTAACTGTTAGATATCTAATCCGAGTAATCCAATTAATGATTTTACCAATTAAGCTTGCATAAATTAGTGTTAAAGCGGTTTCTATGTTTATTCTAACTCTTAAACAAATCTTTAGTCCTGTAATGCTTGTGATAGTTCGTGCCTAACTTGTAATGGAGGAAGCACAAATAATTGTTTGAGTTGCACAAGTGGGAATTATTTAACATCAACTAGTTCATGTGCTAGCTGTCCTATATAATGTAATTAATGCACTTCTTCCACTTATTGCAGTTCTTGTAATTCAAATTATGGATTTTTTTTTAAAAACTTTTGCTATTAATCACCACCACCATATACCTATTGCGATCAATAAACATATCAGTGCAAAGCTTGTAACTCAATGTGCGCTACTTGTAGTTCAAATCTCTAATGCTTGACCTGTTAAAATAATTATTATTTACTAAATGGGATATGTAGCTAAAATTAACCAAGTAATTCTTATTGTGATCCTTTAACAAAAAAATGTGCTCCTTGTAATTAAAATTGTGGTGCTTGTGATTCATCTCTCAAATGTACATATTGCAGTAATAATTCTTATTACTTTTATTTTGGTATTTGCTCAACTACACAACCGCCATCTACTTATTGCCAAAATAATGTTTCTTAAGGAATTTAAAATTTTTGCTAAACATGCCATCCAGCTTGCAGTAGTTGTACAGGGCCATAAATTAATTAATGCTCCTCATGTAATAGTGGGTATTATCGAAATGGGAACTCCTGCTATTGCAATAATCTCAGCTAATCATACAATCCAATAACATAATAATGTTAAAATTGTATAGTTAGTGGATGTGCTTCATGTTAAGATGATATAAACACTTGCGATTACTGTTAGAGCCAATACAAAATGATAAATAATTAATGTGTATGCAAAAATTCATAACAATACTTTGATTAAATTCAGTAAACGTGTATATAAAATTCTATTTAAAATTGCTTAATTTCCTACCCAAATTAAAATAAATGTGCAAAATGCAATGATGGATTTCTTAATTACTAGGACTTAATGTGTACTTATTGTGGAAAATTTAAATATACTGACTCAAATAATTAATGCACAAATAACTGCTAATAGAATTGTCTCATATGTACAAATAGCAATAGCTGCCTTTATAATATTAATAATAACAGTAATAACAGTACAAATGATTCAACTAATTCTTAAAATGGCAGTATTCCATACAGCAACAGTTTATGTCATTATTCATGCGCTTTATGTAATGGATATGCCTATAATAACTGCATCTAATGCAGCTAAGATGATAATAGGATATATAACATAATTGATTCTACTTGCGATTGCATGGATGGATTTGTAGATAAAGGGTAAAGATTATGTGCTCAAGGAAGTGATATTAGTGAAAGTTTAAAAAAAATTCTTTTAATAGGATTTTATTTGATATTATTAGCAATTTAAGTGCCATTTATATTTTTTGATAGGTTTTAATGGATTCATTTTAACTATCATTTAATACAATATGTGGCAATACTAAGTTTTTAGTCATTTTACTAACAAAATTTACATTATGCATAAATCATTTAACTATTTAAATATTTAGGATTTTATAATATAATTCCTATCAAAATAATAACAACTGAAGACAGTCAAATTAATTTTCTAATCAATAGTTTAATTATCACTAAAATTATTTAAGGCACTTCTGTGTTAATATTTATGATTACATGCTTAATAAATAACACCAAGTTCAACAAGATTAATCAATTAATAACATCAACAAATAGATTTACAACTACAACATAAATAATCTCTATTATTTACTTATTCTAACAAGCTTAATCATTAACAAGTTTTCAATATGTGCTTGTAATCATAGCTTCTGTTATATAAGTGATTGTAGTATTAATCATATTGTTAAAGCCAATTCTATGGCTAAAAAAGAGTTTTTAATAAAATCATGTTACTGACTAAAAAACTATTGAAAATTTGGATACTTCCTTTTAAAGTAACTAAAACAAAGAAACTGACTAAAAAACAAAAAAGCTATTATTTAACAGTCTATTTTATGAAATTAGAAGAATTTTCTTAATAATTTTTTTCATTTCTCAAAGTGATAGCTCAATGCCTTACTATGTTTACACGTTTGTGTCTTTTTTTTTTATCTTAACTATTATTTACTTAAAACCTTTTAAGACAAAAATATAAGATGTAATAGTAATTTTATCTGAAATATTAGTAAGTTCTATATTTGTGAGCAGTGTTTATATAAGATTATATAAAAATGTGGTAGACAATAAAGTAAATTATTATATATAAGCTTTGATAATAGGCATAGGAACACTTATTATTCTTGCTATTTTCTAAGTAATTTATGAGCTTATCAATATTAGATAATAATATCAATCATAAAGTAAAAGTGCGAATCCTCTCTCAATTTAACTCTAGTAAAAAATGCCTGAAATCATTACAAAAGGTAAATATTTTTGAATTACATAAATATAACTAAATTAATAAATTTTTATAAAGACTAAATAGATTTAATTTTAACATCTCAAAGATTTGAAAAACCATTTAAATCGTATAATAGAATAAGCTTAAACTTGATTAAAATAAGAGCTGATTCAAGAAGCTTGACAAGATCAAAAAACTTATTTTGAAATTAATATTCTAAGATTAAATAATTAATTAATTTATAGTGCTAAAATACAATTATATTTTACATTTAAAGTAGTGGTTGTTTGGAAACGAATAAATATTTTTATATATTTAATTATATTTATTAAATATTATGATTTGGATTAAGTAAGAAATAAAAATTTAGATAATCAATCTAAAATAAGTAGATACTATTACCTTTTATAAAGCAAATAATTTAAAAAATATGAATTAGTATTTAATAAGTTAATTAAAATAGAAAGGACTTTTGCTCTAAAGGTAGCCAAAAAAAATATCTATCTCAAATTAAGACCAAATAAAATCAAAGAGAAAGAATCACAAGATATTTTTCTATTTCTAAAGATTAATAGGAAATTAATTTATTTTTTCTACTTTAATTAAGAGAAAATATATTTATTAATTAATTACATACAGTACAACATTTTAAATTATAATTAAATTGTAAAAAAAAATAAATAACTAAATTAAAAGCCTTTGGAAGAAATATATATATACACCATGAGTTTCTTAAAAATGTTTTCTTTCCTTCAAAACTAGGTAAATTTTGATTAGCTTAAATTATCATTCTAAGTGCAAAATAATATTTAGGACGACTCTAATATCGAACTAGAAACAATAAAAGTTAATGAATAAGGATTCCACTAGTTTAATGACTTAAAAAAACTTGAGAAAGCATGCAACAAAAAATTAGATTTTGTTAAAACAACACTTGATGACATGAAACCATAATTCGAGGAGAAAAAATCATTTAAGAACCAAGAAGAGAAAATGTAAGTTTTAATATTTATTTTTTTTTCTACAGCTTAAAATTTATTATCAAATTATTTTTAATAGAAGATTTAAAATACATGAATGCTCAAATGAACTCGAACTAGCAAAAGCTTAAATTAACAAAATAAGCTAATTTAAGTTTTAAGAAGAAAAAGAAAATGTAAAAAAAATTATTAAAAATCTTAACTTAAATTAAAAAAATATTTTATTTTAATAGAATTCTATAAACGATATACTGAAAATACTACTTGAAAAATTTGTAATAGTAAGATAGTAGCTGCTAGAAACAATAAATTCCTTCTAAGAAAATTAGAATAACCAAGTTACTGAATAAAGAAAGACAATTTAAAGACTCTCATAAGTATTTGAAACTGAAGTAGATCAATAACAAAAATAAAAGTAAATTATTAATCATTTTATACAATTTACTAATTATTTTTAATAATGTTTAGATATCAGTAAATCATCTATGATGAATAATACATTCTAAACTAGAGACAATAATAAATTTAAGAAATTCTATACTAATTAAAAAACGTTGTTGAAATGGTTTCATATATAGACTAAAAAGTATATGAACAAGGACTTATGATTGGTAAATTAATTAAAAAATTTTGTTTAAACTAAATTCATTTTATAAATAGATTAAGCACTTACATAAACCGAAGAAGCAAAAGAAAATACAGAGAAAGCAAAATAAGAAATGGTACAATTCTAAAGAATTAATAAAAACGAATGCTCTAATGTTGCATTTTGCTTTTTAGTAGGAACTATAGTAGTAGTTGTAATGCTTGTTGCAACTGCTTGAATATTGATCTTTTTACTTATTTATATATATTTAACCAACTAGAATAAATACTCAACAACTTACAAAATATCCTTACTTTATTTATATAATTAAAAATACTCCGATTCTGTACTCTAATATTTATTTATTTATATATGTATTAATTTAATATTTTAAAAACTGAAGAAAATTATTAATATGTTGTTGCTTAAAAATACATTAAAACATTTGATTGCTTCAAATATTCAAAATTAAATTTTGAAATATCTTTGACTACAAAGATTATTTTAAATAACAAAATTAGTTTACATAGTTAGCTTTATACTTACTAAAATAAAAAGTTTTTGATGTTTAAATTATTGTCAAACATGAATCAATTAATCACTCAATAAATCAAAATCTTCACTTGAATTAAAAATTTAAATAGTTGCTAGCTTCCGAATGAGCAATCACCAAATAAGTTTATTGATACTGCCTATACGCTGATTGATTTTTATGTTTTATAAACAATTTATTTGTGTGCGTGCTTTCTATCAAATATCGAAAATTTAAGAACTCAACCACAAATTATTTCCTCTAATAATAAAAAAAATATTTAATTATTAAGAATATTCAATTCAATTAGTAGAATAAATTAGATGGCGGATAGATCATATTAAAGTATTCATGTTTTAGTCGCAGAGGATGATAATTTCCAAAGATTAGCTCTTATAGATATTTTGACCCTTTGCGATTACCAAGTTACTGCTGTAGAAAACGGAAGATTAGCTAGGGATGAACTCTTAAAAGCAGATTCAAATATTGATATTGTTCTTTTAGATCTATACATGCCAGAGATGGATGGTATTGAGTTATTATTATTAATGTAAGAACATGAACATTTAAAAAGAATTCCTGTAATTATGATGAGTTTCGATAATGAATAAGAAAGAGTTGCCTATTGTATTGCAAATGGAGCTAAAGATTATCTTGTTAAACCTCTTAGAATTTAAAACGTTAAAGGTACAATAATTATTTTAAGTGGGTATTAAAATTATAAAATATGAAAAATAAAATAAAAAAAAACAAATAGCTGATCTGCAAAATAAGTTTGAAGCTTTTTCTTACTACTTTATCAATGCATTTAATTAAATATAGCTAAATATCCCTATTTTAAGAATAGAATGTCTTCCTTTATAATATATGAACTAATATCATTTAGTTTTTATGAATTAAATTTTAATTTGATCTATAAAATTATGAATTGAAATCCAATAAAATCATGTCTGCAGCATTCAGAAGTTATATATTTTTTTAAAAATATTTGTAGGTTTAGCAAAATATGTGGAATATAATCCAAACAATACCACAGTAGGAAATGGAGGAGTTGGTTTATAGTCTTATAAAGTAATTAGAATGATTGGTTAAGGCGCAGGAGGAAGTGTAGAGTTAGTTTAAAAAAGAAGCGATGGATAACTTTTTGCTCTCAAAACTATTAGTATGAAATTCATGGATGACTAGTAAAAAAAAATGGCATAACAGGAAATCACCTTGTTAAAAGTGCTTGTTGCTCCTTCTATAATTCGTTATTATGAATCTTTTGTGGAAAATGATTCGATTCACATGTAAATATATAGAAAATATTAACAAAATGTTAAAAAATGTTTAACTAAAATCTTATTTTTTATTAGTATCATGGAATACGCTAAAGAAGGTGCCTTAAGCGATAAAATTACAGAACATAAATAAAAAGGAATACCTATAGATGAAGAAACAGTTTTATATTTCACAGCATAGATTATTATTTCAGTGCTTTTTATGCACTCTAAAAACATTTTGCACAGAGATATTAAAACTTAAAATCTCTTTTTGACCAAAGAAAATATAGTTAAGTTAGGAGATTTTGGTATCTCTAAAGAATTAGGTACAAATGCAAACGCAAAGACATTAGTTGGTACACCTTATTTCATGTCTCCTGAAGTATGCAGTGGTGAAAATTATGGATAAAAAGCAGATATTTGGGCTATAGGGTGCACTTTGTACGAAATGGTCATGCTGAAAAGACCTTTTGATAACGATAACTTGAATATTCTTTTCAATAAAATTAGATTTGAAGTATTAATAAAATGTTAGCGCAATTGTTTTATATCATTTTAAATAATAAATAAAATAGGCTCCTCCTCCTTTACATGAAAATACTAGTACTGAAATACGTATGCTTATAACATTCATGCTTTAAAAGGACCCAGTAAAAAGACCTTCTGTTTGGGATTTGGCTAAAATTCCTATCATATCTAAAAATATCAGAAAATATTATGAAGAAGAAGCTCAAGATGATCCATTTTTAAAGGAATATATCTTTTCTGGACCTAAAAATCACCCAAATATAAATAAAAATGTGCCAAAAGACGAAAAGAAAAATACAAGCGATAATACTTCAAAAACTTAAGATTAGTCTTAAAACACAAATGAAGAGATGTTTAAAGCTCTTAGTTCCGCTTTGTCTCCTTATGACTAGAAAATTAGCATGTTTAAGGTTGAAAGAAACGTCATAAATGGAAAGTAGTTATTTTAATGGATTTAGCAATACTATACAAATTACAATACTTCTCAGGTAGTTGAAATGTTGAATGAGTTAGTTGAGAAAAAATATCTTCACCACATTGCTGGTCCTTTGCATCAATCTGATCCAAATTCTTTATATAGATTCTAATTTGATATGCCAGGAATTGCAGCTAATCTGACAAGAATTTGGAATAAGACTGCTAGACCTGCTCTTTAATGTCTTTAGGGAATTGTAGAAACTGCAAATGAAGTATTAACTGAAGTAATTATACTAACTATTTAAAAAAAAGCAAAAAATAAATTTATTTCCTTAATTTTTAATATGATAAATAGGTTACAGATAAGCTGGAAGGAAAGGTTTTTGATGATAAGCTATATCAAAATAAAAAATATATCAAATTCTTAGAATTGGTTTGTGAGCTGTAAAAAATTTATTTGTAAGATACTAATGAACAAGAGAGAAAGTGCATTTTTATCAATTTACTCTAAATTATGTATTTCCATAAATTCATGAAGCAAAGATACATCAGAATGAGGAACGAAAAGAAAGAAAAAGTCACTACTCTTTTTGAGACTTTAGCATCATTTTTGCCTTTCTTTAGCAGTATAATTGATCATTTATTTATTAATTCATATATTAAGTAGTTCTTTTACTAATATTAGAAAGTTAAGATGAATTTTACTATACTATTGGTAACCTTTAATTCACATTAGATGACATTAAGCATGGTATAATAAGAGGTAATAAGACTCAAAAATTAAGCTCATTTAAGCCATTTGCAGACAACGATAGTAGGAAATAATTTGTTCTAACTCCAGATTTAAGAATTTTGATGCTTTTTAAAGAAGAAAATGTCATTCCAACTGAGTTGAAATATATAAAATTAGAAACTATGGAATAGTAGTTAAATGAAATTTGCAATAAATTTTTGAGCACATACGTGTACATAGATAATATAGAAAATGATCTAACTATGCATAAGATATTCTAAATATATCAAAGCGATTTCGGCCCAGAACCATAAGATGCAATAGTGTGGGCTTCAAACTACACTAAAAATCTAGGTAGAGTAGACGATTTAGTTTAAAATATAAAATCAGGAGATATATTTGTATAGTATTAAGAAAAATTTGAATCCTGATATCTAAAAATATAAATATCATATTAATTCATTGACCAAATACTAACAAATTAAATATATTTTATTATATATTTCTAAAACTGTATTCAATTTATAATTGTATTATATAAATTTTTTTTTTTGATGTTGGATTTATTTTAATTCTAAATTTTATTTATTAAAAATATTTGATAAATAAATGAAATTTACAAAAAAATTATGATTATTTCTAAAAAAAAAATTCATGATTTTTATATTTTGTTATATCAATATTAAAAATAAAAAAAGCGGATAGCCCGCCGTGGGGCTCGAACCCACGACCACAAGATTAAGAGTCTTGCGCTCTACCGACTGAGCTAGGCGGGCCTTACAATATTTGATATAATTTTTTTATTAATTTTTCTAATTTAATTATAATTTATTTTTATTACTTTTTTAAGCATATGAATTTCATTTGAAAATATGAAAAATTAAAAAATAAAAAGCGGTTAGCCCGCCGTGGGGCTCGAACCCACGACCACAAGATTAAGAGTCTTGCGCTCTACCGACTGAGCTAGGCGGGCAGTACATGAGTTAAAATATGAAATTGAGTGATTTTATTAAATTTTAAGGAGTAAAGCTATTAAAAAATAGGATTTTTAATTGTAAATCTAATTTAGTTTTATCATTAATTAAAAACATGTAAATTTATTTGAGTTCTTTTTTAAGAATTTCAAAGCAAATGAAATGTAAAATAAATAAATAGGATTATTTTCATTACTATGATTATTACTGCTATTAATACTATTAAAATTATTTTAAGAATTATTTTTCTTTCATAATTTTTTTTTCTGCATACTTTTCTAGTTCATTAACTTCTTTTTGTGCAATCGATTCATTTTAAATATAATAAGAATTAACCTATTCTTCAAGACAAAATCCACTATTAAAAATATATTTTTTTATAAATCTTACAAATAATTAATTATATGTAATAAGTAATTTACTCAGCTTATATAGTAACTGTATGTATACATTCATATTCTTTTTTCATGATATCAAAACAGTCTTATAGAGATTACTTTGTTATTCCAGAGTTTTTTCTTTTAATATATTAAAAAATATACATAATCAATAAATCAAACCACATTTTCTTACTAAACATCTATAGAAAGAGATGAAAGATATATCAAAGATCTGAGCTACTAAATTAAATATATAAATCCACCTTCATCAATGATAGTTTGACTTGAATTATATAAATAAAATAAAATATATTTTCAACCTTTTAATTAAAATAAACCTCAAATTTAAAAAAATAGAAGAGAGCAGCAATAGTTGTGATAAAGATTCTCCAATTGACATACATCCTTTATTCAATATTTTATTATCCCTAATTTTTTCATAATTTTTAGAATTAACTAAACACTTTCAATTTAATTACGATATGTCTACACTCAAATCTTCTAAAACCTTAGCTAAGACAATTGCTTAAAAAAATAACTGGCAGCCTTCTTTACTAATAGAATTATTCCTAATAAATTTAAATTATTAATGCTCAAGGTAAAAAATCGGTAAATAGTTTTCATACGATAAATTGATATTCAAAATTTTAAGTTTACTACTCAACATACCAATTCCTCTACCAATTCTTTGAGCACCCATATCTCCCAAATAATTATTCCTATTTAACATAGATAAATGTTAAATAAAATATTTAATATCATAATTACCATAAATAGATATTTATTAATTCAGTTTCTTTACATGATTCTAAAATTTACTAAACAAATATTGACCCATCAGACCTTATCTAATTATTTCTTTGAAAATATTTTATCGAATTATATTTTTGATGTTATTAATTTACTGTAGGTCAAGTGTAACTTCCTTTGCCTGATTAAATAAGTAAATATTATCTGAAGGTGAGCTTATGTTTAATATATTTTTTAAGGCATCCCTATCTAAGTTGCAACTCCTATTTGATTAGATATTCACTAAGATTTCAAATAAATTAATAACAAAATATTACATAAAGCATAATTCTAAATTTTTTATAGTTGAATAAGAGCTAATAGCTCTTCCAAAGCTAACCCAATCTTAAGAATCTAAAATATTGTTACTTATATATTTAAATTGTATTTTTTATCATATTAAGCGCAGAGATAAAATTTGATTTTACGATAACTCCAACTTTAACATTGAGAGTTTTTTGTGACCTTCAAGACCATTGCTTAGAAAAGATAAGCTTTGTTTTGTCAGCTTACAATCTCTTTATACAAATTAAAATATAAGAAATGTTTATATAAACTTAAAGAAATTACGAAACATCCATAACTATTGTTTCAATTTGATAGCAACCTTTTAGCTTATGACATAAATTATATGCTTATTCATTTGATAAACCACTTATTCTTTTTGAATTAAAAGTTTTATTAATGGTTGCCAAGCTAAAAATGTATTTTTATAGCAATTTACGATAATTAAATATGTCGCTGATGATCTTTAATATTTTGTACTTTACTCTCAAGCATTATCTATATATTTAATTCTATTTTAATTGTAAGAATATTTTTAAATATATATGTGTTCAACACTTTTAATTTTTGAATGATAGATATAAATAAATATGAATATTTTTAATTAAAATCTTCAATGAAGATAATAAATACTTATCTTATTTATTTATTTATTTACATTAAATAACTATCAAATACATTTATTCTATTTAATATAATAAAACATTTTTAAAATCAAAAACATCAAAAAAAAACATACAAAAATGTAAAATTTATTTTTAGTCAGAAAATAAAAAGTAATCACTTCCTTTATCAAAAAGATTTTTAAATTGATTTACTGTAAATAATTCTAAATAAAAGCTCTTACTTTTAGCATATTTTGAGAAATTTAAATTAATCTAGTTCAGTAAAATTTAAAAATATTTTTTAATTTATTTAATTTATAAACATTATTTAAGAGGAAAAAAATTGACAGTAACTTATAAAATTCAGTTTTAAAGTTTTTTTTAATGTTTGATTAGTAATTTTAACCATTTTTGACAATTTTACAGTTAAAAGTTAAAATTAAAATGCTTTTTCAGTGATTTATAGATGAATTATTTAATGAAACAATACTTTGTTTCATGATAAACTATCTTCTTTTCTCGTAAGAAGACACCTTTTCTTTATTATTTTATGGATTTTTTGAAAAGTTAATGGAAGTTCTGTTTAGCTAAAATTATTCGTTATTTTATTATGTTTAAGATTTTTAATTAGGTTTACTTTGAATGAGTTTTCTTACTTTATGCTGTGTTGTAATTTTAATTTAAGAACAGGTTAATTAGTTAAAATTAAAATCATTAACCTATATTTGTTTGCTATCTAAACTTGAAAACCTTTTGAGCTTATCCTCTTAACAATATGATTATTCTTATTGAAAAAAATTTTATTCTCTTGATCTTAGCTAAGCACGTGGATTTGATTCCTATATTTCATAATAGTTACCTTCCTTTTACTCCCTTGAAGTCAATGAATTATTTAGTAAATTAATTTCATTTTCTAAATTATTATTAGATTAATTTAAAAGTGAAGGACGATAAGTAGAACATCCTTAATCTATTGTTTAGCTTAGAGTGTTTGAAGTTCCTACATGATGAGTACTAGGTTCGTTTAAAGACCTACATGTTTCTTATAAAAAAGCTTCATTATTTGTTTACTACTTAGTTTAATCTTTTTAATCATCCAATCTAATTGATTATCTCAATACTTTTTTGTATATTTTTTGAGGCTAAGCTTTGTTATGAGAAGGATCTAGAGAAATACTTGATAATATTTTTTAGCAGAATTAAAGTAAATCTATTCTTGTATAGTTTTTACCATCTAAATAAACTGGTTATGGCTTGTATGCTAAACATGCAAGCTTAAACAACTAATTTATTTATATTTATTAGCCTGAACAGCTTAGACATTTATCATCAAAATGTATATTGCTTATGAATCCTCTTTAACTATTCTAGTTTATTCTTTAGTTATCCTGTTAGCAAAAATTTTATTAGAATCCTGTATCTATTTTTTTTATTAAACTAATATAAAATTTTTAATAATATAAAAATAAATTTACTTTAGTCTATAGGACTCTCTCGAAAGCCATAAAGTCCAATTGAATTTTTATCTTTTTCGTCCTAGAGGAATAAATGAGTAATAATTGTGCAGAATTAATTTAAATGAAAGACATTTGATTCAAAAATATGATTTGCCTACTAAATTAACTATAAGCATTATTAAATAGTGTTTAAGCTATCATTTTATGCATCAACAGTATTAGAAAGACCTAACCTCATGCTATTTGTTTTATTTTATTCTTACTCTATCATTTCATAGCACCTATTATATTAAATTTAGTTATACTCTTCCCTTTCTTCAAGCTATTTATTTATTTTTAGCTAGAATTCTTATTGTTAATTCTCAAATTTATGAGTATACTATTTAAATTAATCTTCTACTTTCTAATAAAATTTAGGACTTGATAACTCTTTAGCTATAATTTCTTCTACACTTAAAATCTCTTCTTCGTTTCCATCTGGTGAATAAGCTCTATTTGTTTTAGAAGATTAATCAAAATATCTCTGATCTTTTCTACTATTTTAAGTACTTGCTTAATTAGAAGATTTGAGCTAATTTTGCTAAATATTGCTATTACTCTATGCCAATTATTTTGGAAAAACTTCATTAAACTCTTAGCTATTATTAGTATTTTCTTATTATGTTTATTATACAGCTGGTATTGAATACTTTTCTTCTGTATTCTATTCATAGAAATTGTTTAGATTAACATCATTTTAATTTTATTCTTTCTATTAGCTTGATAACCGCTCTTCTTTATTCTAGTTTTTCAAAAGCTTTTATCTATTTAAGCCTTATTAAATAATCAAAAATAAGCCAAATAATTATCAAAATAAAATTAATTTTATATAAAGAAAAATAAATTTAAAAAGAAATGTTTAAAATTACAAAACATTTTACAATTTAAAAATAATTGATTGATTGAGAAAAATATTACTTACTTATTTTTTTAAATTTTGCATTTCTTTTGACAATATTTGATATTTTATCTTAAAAGAGCTTATTAATCTCAGAAAAGTCTATTGAAATTGGCACATTCTACTTCTCATAGTTTAATTCATTAGATTGGTTTAGCTGTTATGTTTCCTACTATTATAAGCGATTATTTAGTATTTTAAATTGCTTTTCATCAAAATCTACTAGCTTCTTTTAGGCTTCATTAGAAATACAAGCATATAAACATTCTGTAATTTGTGTGTAAGTATTTAGTGGAATGTGTAAATCAATAAATGAACAAAGCATTGATAAATCTTTTTATTGTTTATCAATACATTATTATATTAGCTACACTTTTTGCTGTAGAATAGGTATATCCTCTAATTTCTTATTGATATTAAATATATCGTTCTCGTTTTAAAGCATCCTTTTCTACAGTTAATTAATTATTTCAGTATTCTATTTTATATGAATTCCTTTTTATCCTAAAGATGATTAAAGTGTATTTATGCTATTATTCATTTCTTACTAAATTTCAGACTACTCTGTCATGTACGCTTTAATCTCTTCCTTTAATTTAGTTTATTTGCTAGATTGATTGTCTATTAAATAAGATATTTCTTATTTAAATTTGTCCATTTACTTTACTGATTATTCCATATTCATATTACTCGAATCTATTTATAAGGATTGTTATTTAATTTATCCCTATATCTAGGTAAATAAAATTTCATTATTTTAATTTGTTTTCACCATACTGTCACCCTTTTCTTTTATATCAATTTTAATTTTACCAAGCTCTTAATGTAAATTATTAAATCTTTTAGTTGCCTCATCAAAAATTTTCATTCTTCTCTCATTTTATATTAAAGTCTCATCAAATTATTATATTTTTTCCTAAATTTAGTTTAGTAAATCTTCAAAGCCATCTACTTTCTGTCTATCTTTCATTAATTTATTAATATTAGGATCAATCAGCTCAAATACAAATTATCTTATCTTTGTCTCAACTTCATACCATTCAAACTCCCTTAATCTTAAACCTTTTTATTTCTCATCGCTTCTAGTTTATAAATTTTCATTAGACATTTATGTATTAATTTTTATGAATTTATATATCTAATTATTTGATTAACCTGTTTAAAAGCTATTATTTTCTAATTTTAATTTAATAACAAAATTGTATAAGTTAATATAATTACCAATAACCAAGCATAGATATTATTAAAATATTTGATAAAAAAAAAGAAAAAATAAATTCTAACTTTAACAAATAAAATTGGGACTTATTTCATAAGTAACTTTAACTGATAAATATATAAGTTGGCTTTAATATAATTTTAATTAAATTATATTTTTTAGATGTTCTAATTATTAGTAATTTATTTTAAAGCTCAAAAAACTAAATAATTGGGGATAATAAACTTTTATAGTTATGGTTTAAATATTCATAAAATATACATTTTAGCTTAACTTTTTTGCAATTTAAAAGTAAAGTATATTGGATCATCATAAATCAATATCTTTCCTTTATAAAATAATATAAAAATTTAATTTCCTAATTTCCTAAAAGATTTTTTATAAGAAAAAGTATTGACTGATATATAGTAATATAAACTTTATTTATAATATGCCATTTAAAATTATATTAATTCCTTCATAATAAATTACTGGTTTTCTTCATAAATAACTTTTACCATAAAAAAATCCACAAGAGAGCAAATTTAATGAATATTATTTAACTTTTTTTCAAAAATAAAAGAAAATGATTGAGTTTTCAGTTTATAAAATTCTTTATCCTTAAGACTATTTGAATACAAACATTTTTTTCTGTATAGCTTTAATATATAATTATTTTGATAATAAAACTTATTTTCATGCAATCAAAAATATGAAAATAAATTGTTATGAAATTAGCAATAAATAATAGCATTTTGTTTTTAAAAATTTGTCCAAATAACATTGACTGCATAAAATTTTATACACTTTGAAGTTTGACTTTATTATAAAAGCTCGTTTAAATATAAATAGTTGCTCTCAACTTTAAACAAAATTAAACATGTAAAATAATTATTCTAATTTTTATAAGTTAATCATTATGTTAAATAGAAAAGAATTTGATTTTTTCTTCATTAACAATAAATCCTCAATTTAAATCAAAATTCTTAAACTTTATTTGGATTTAAGATAAGAAAATTTGGATTTCCAAAAATAAAAAGTTAATTATGTAATCAGATCTAATAATATTCAATCAATATAATTTTTTTTGTTTTGTAAGTAATACTTTGCTCATATATTAAAATCTAAATTTATGTTATTGTAGAGGATTTTATAATTTGCCCTTTATTCATATATTATCCATCATTTAATTATTGATTTTTAATTGAATGAATAAAAATAATAAATAACTTTGAACTTATTTTATTCTCTCTTCTCTTTGTTTACAAACATTGAATGAATAAAGCCCATGTTTTGAGCAAAAACTTTTTGGTAATACATGAGGAATTCAATTATTTGATTAATTAGTTTTAACCAACAATATGTTTTTTAAGTATCACTATATTTTTAAATGTAAAAATCTGATAAAAATTAGATTAATTAAAGAAGATATAAATCAGATTTTAGAACAAAAATAAAGAATGAATAAATATAGCGTATTAGCTCTGCTTGCCTTGCTAGCAATTGTTTCTGCTCAAAATTGCAAAGTCACTCTTCCAAGACTATTAATTGGTGATAAATATACTAACGCTACCAGTGATGTTACCGCAGTTATAGCCTTCGATACTATTGATGAATGTAAAGGTGTTGCAACTTTAAATTTCAATAAAGGTGACCCAACTTTTGACTTCAGAGTTATAGACCCTGTAATACAATTAGTTGATGCAGATTTAGACCATAGCGGTAAATAAAAAGAACATGTGAAATACTTAAAATACACTCAAATCATTTAACTTAAGGCTGATGTAGAAAAGTCTTACACTGTCTAAATCTAAGGAAATAAAACAAATGCAACTAGTATTTTTGACACTAATTACACATTCATTCTTCCTAAACTTCCTTCAGACAACGCTAAATACACTTAAAATTAAGTTAAATTCTTGTTCTTAGGAGATTAAGATTTAACTGCAAACGGTACTGCAGTCTTAAATTATCTCAATGCTAACACTTAAACTAATAAGTTTGATGCTATGATTTACCTTGGAGATTATGCTTACGAATTCTATTAAAATAATGGTAAAAAGGGAGATGACTATCTTAACACATTCGCCCCTCTTTCTTTCAGCTACCCATTGGCAATGACTCCTGGTAACCATGAAGACAACTTAAACTTTACTATTTTCAATAGTAAATTCTTTTTACCTGGCTTCAATAGAACTTAAAACAACTACAACTCATTCACAATTGGTAAATAATTAATTAGCTTTAATTACCTTCCATTCAAAAAAAATTAAGTGATTTTACACAAAAAAAAATTGGAAATACTTTAGTTAATTATATAAGAATTATTAAATGCAGCAAGCAGCAGTAGTAGCAGCCGATTAATTTATTTATTTATTTTCAAATGGTTTTTATTTTATTATTTTCAAAAGAAATTAATTAAAATAAAAGAATAATCATTCTCAATATCTTCTTTCATCTTTTTTTAATTAGAAGGATAAAATTATTATTTAAACAAAATGTCAAACCCAACAAACAAATACAATAAACTCATTAATAAATTTATTAATATTATGATTAAATTAAAACATAAGAAATAATTTTATTAAATATCATATGAGTATTAGTTTAGAAATTATTAAATTATATTGATAAAAAGTTAAATTTCTAACTTTTTGTTTTAAATAAATAAATAATAGGTATGGTCCATTTCGTCCATATTAATTTGCACTTCTTTTCCATAACAAAGGATGATGAAAAAGATAAAATGTTGAAATGGTTGAAGAACGATCTTGCTATTGCTTCAAATGCAGGTTAAAGAAAAAATGTTCCTTGGATTATTGCTGTTGGCCATAAGCTAAACTATTGTTATGATCCTTATTATGCTAATAACACTGAATGTATTGGATATGCCTAATAATTCTTACCTATTGATAATCTTTTGAGCTAATATGGTGTTGATATGTTTATTGTTGCACATTAACATTACAACTAAGTTATGGCTCCTATGGCTCGTAATTAACTTTAAGACTACAAATTGACTACTGTTTCTAGCAACGAATTTACTCTCCAAAAAGGTAAGGGATACATAACTATTATTTAAGGTAATGGTGGTTGTGTTACTCCTATTATTCCTCCATCTAAAAGCAGAATGTTAGATCTTGCTTCTGACTTACAAAAAGCTAACCTCTTCATTGATGCTTTTAACTATGGTTATGGATATATTTAAGTTATTAACTAGACCAATGTTGAATATGTATCATATGATGCCATCAACAAGAAACAACTCGTTAAATTCAACATTAAGTCTTAACATCAAGCCTCTGGGGGTCAAAGCGCTACTTTCGGCTAACTTATTACTTTCTCATTAGTGATTTTATTAGCATTATTTACTACTATTTGAAGATAAAATTTAAAAGTAAACATAATATTAAATATATTTTATTTAGGTTTACCTTTTTTATTTCTTTATTTGGTAGATAAAAAATTTATATAATATAATTAAACTATTATAAATTTCTCTTTTAGAAACAAATTTTAGTAAATTTCAATTTTTTAAAAATTAAATCTAAATATTTAATGCTAGTATTATTTTTTAAATAAAATAATCATATCTTACTTAAAAAATATATATCCAATTTTTCTTAAATAATAACTATTTTAAAGTAAAAAATTCATATTGTTTATTTGATATATAAGTTTTTTAGAGTATTAAAATTTAAATAAATTAATTATAATGTTAATACTAAATTTAAATAAAGTTCCTATGAGCGCTGGACTCCCTTTTTAAATTTAAGATGGAATACATAATTTGCAAAGGTAAAATATTGAGCTAAATTATCTATTGAATATTAAAATATATATCCTTACAGTTTGATTGATCAAGTAAAAGTTTAATTAAGAATGAAAGATAAATTTATATATAAAGATATATTAAAATCTATTATAAAGTATATTCATATAATAATATAAATCTTCAATATTAAAGCTTATTTTAATTTTCTGTAAATTATTTATTTATTTATATTTTATTAAAATTAATTTATTTACTTACTAAGTTAGTTAGTTAGTTAGTTATTTTAGTTATTAGTTAATTAAGTAAGTAAAGTTCTATTTATAAGGATTAAAGTTCTATTTTATATAATTTCTATAGTAGTGAAGTAAATATAAGAAAATTTTTATTTTTTAGACTTTTATAATTTTTTTAAAAGTTATGAATAATAATTGGTTTATTTAATTATCAATCTTATTTTTTTTCTTTAACGATTTCTTAATTGATGTAATATAGCTTAATTTTTTCTAGATACTTTAGTTTTTCTTATTTGTCTTTGATGGTAAAATATTCTACAAAAAAAGTTATGTTGCTAACTTCACTGGCATAGTTTTAAACAAAACTATCAGAATCTTGTTCTTGATAGTTTACTTTGTCTACTAATTAAGCATATTCCTCAGAAACGTAAGCTTTGCATTCTATTGCCAGTTTTCTTATTTAACTATTTTTAAGTTGATACTTTTATGCATTCGAGATAACTTATTCTATGTCTACTGTATCAAGGGAGGGTAAATTTGTTTGAGTGAAACTGCTTTCATCTACTTTACACATTTTTTTTGAAAAAAAGTGTATCATATCCATATTATCCATCTTTAAGAGCTGTTCTTTATACTAAACAAGTATTTCAAGAGCAACATATATCAAAGCAAAAATATTAGTGCTAATTACATAGTCCATAATACGAATACACTTACTTAAAGGAAAACTATATAAATATAACGTCATAAGCCATTTAGTTAACCATATTGTATTTACAATTTCTTAATCCTTAAAATGCAAATACAATTCATTTAAGTGAGTCTTAAATAAATCTTCAAATACATATTCTAAAAATCTTAGCAAAGGAAAACCATTTTCAAACAAACCCACAAGCATATATTCTGGTCTAAAAGAAAGACTTATAAAACAATCAAAGACAGATGATTCATCTCCTCCACTAACAAGCAAAAGCATTCCCATGATAAAGTTCATTCCTTGACAATAACCGACCTATTTTTTTAACAATAACGCAAATTAAGAATTAGTTAAATTATATTTAAATTAAAAAAGCTGTTAAATATCTTTTAAGATAACTTATCTGACGTAAGTAAAAAGTGGGAAAAAGAAAATTTTATAAAAAGAGTAATTAATATTTTTTATCTATATTAAAAAGAGACTTTGCATTTCAAATTTAATTCGCTTTTTTCAAAGAAATAGAAAAAAATAATAATAAAAATAGAAAACACTCTTTATTAATAAAAGGTTATTATTATTTTATGTTATCACATATCAGCTGATTAATTAAAGTATTTGAATTATAAAAAAATGAATATCCCAATTGAATTTGAGACATAGTTTTAATTTAAAAGAGCTGATGCTAAACATTTTTAAGTATTTTCTTTTTCTTATGAGTAAGCTATGAAGTTTTAGTTTACATAATAAATACATAAGAAAATTAAAAAAGCTAATTATTAATGATATTTTTAGTAATTTATGAGAGAAAATTAATAAATAGTGGGGATTTGAATAAAAAATTAATTAGTTTTTATTATAATTTGTATAGAAAAACTAATTATTACCTTTCTAAATAGATTAGATGTTGCCATCAGAGTCCTTTTTAGCTGATCTTAACCCATTTACTTATCTTCAAAAAATTTTATTTCTGGAAAAGTTCTTGTTATGTCTTTGACAATTTGATACATATTATTTTCATAAAATTAGCCTTGATTTTTGTTCATGTATGGACACAGTAAATATTCATAAATATTAGTCACTTTAAATTAAAAATACTTCTAGTATTCCTCTTCATTTAAAAGCTTTGTTTTCCAGCAAGACCAACGAATTTGCTAAGTTGGACCTACTTTTAGTTTTTAATTATAACTTTTTTTATTTTTTTTATAAGATTATTTCATAAATTCAGTCAAAAATTCATTGTAGTCTTCCTTATTTAAATCTTCTTTTGATTCCTCATTTATTTTCTTCCATTTTCCACTAGGATCAAACGACTTAGTCCTTCTTTGATCAAACTCTTCAGATGAATCTTCTACGTTCAAGTATTAGCCTATGTTCAATCCTTAATCAAAACTTTAAATAATCTTAATTTTAGACTGATTTGAGAGGAGATTGCTGTTAACCGCATTCTTAAATAAAATTATGGAGCCGTTATCATCTATTTCTGTTTTCACAGAGCCACCACGATAGTGGGAGTCAATATCATTATTAACAATATTTTAATTGAGAGAAGTAATCTTTGTTTCTAAATTGGCTAAGCTATCTTATCCTAAAAAAACTCCACATGAATGAGCTTAGACTTATTTTTTGCATTCCTTTTCATTGGCACAACCCATAAGATAATAATAGTAAAAAAAAATTTCAGCTTTTTTATGAATAATTGAGGGTTCTTTCCTTAAAAAAATAATATTATAAAATATCTATATTAAGTGTATTTTACTTATTATTAATTAAAAAAAATTGATAATATTGTTTATTACTGATTACTTTGAGTTACTGCAGAATGAATTTTTGATAAGTCTATACAAATTCTTTAGTCTCTCAAAAAAAATTCAATAACATTTGAATGTAAAAAACCTTTCCAGCAATCTGAGATAAAAAATAATACTAAAACCAATAAATACATGTAAAATTCATTTTGACTAATCTAAAGATTATTAAAAAACCAATCATAATGCAAATCCCTCTTTATTTTGGAATATAAAATTTTGACTAAAGCAAATTAGTGTAAAATTAATAAGTGTCCTAGATTTCATATGCAAATAAATTTTATTTTTGGGGTTCTGCTTAACTTATTTTTGAACATAAAAGACTAAATATATTTAAATATTGTCACCAATCAAAATATGTGAAAAGACAAATCTATTTATACTTCTGTAAATTTAGTATATTTAGTGAAAAGATAAATTACTCATTTTAATAATTTATACTTGTAAAGTTTTGATTTTAGTCTTAGTAATTAATTTTTGTTTGATATTTATACGAGTTTCTTTTAATTGATTATTTATTTATTTTTGAAAAAAATACTTAACAAAATATTATTTAAAAAATTAGCTTTAAAAAATCCAAAATTAATAATTTATAAAACAGATTGATAAAATATATTGAATAAATTAGTAATAATTATTTAAAAATATCAAATTATTTGAATTATCTTGCTCTATATAATAAATATCTAATAACCACTCAATAAATATAATTTACATTTTATGTGATAAAGTTTGTTAATAATCTTTTGTCAATATGTTTATTGGATTTTTAGATATTTTTCTTAAATATTTTTTACAAATTGATAATTTTTTTAAAGAAAATCAATTTTTAAAAATATGATTTTTTAAAACGAAATTATTTTTTAAAAGGAAAAAATAAAAAAAGCTTAATTTATTATTATTTTTAATAAAATTTTTTAGTTAAAAAATTGCAAATGATTAATTTAATATCAAAACTATATAACACAACAAATAATACATTATTAATATTTAAATGATTTTAAATAATTTTATAATAAGAATTATAAAAGACAGCTACTAAATAGCGTTTTTTGTTATAAAATAAAATTTAATTAATTAAAATTAATTATTTTAAAATTACTTTAAGTAATGATTTTTTTTGATTTTATTAAAGTTAAAATAATTGATCTTAATGAAATATAATATTTTTTTATTCAATTCCATACTTTTGTAGAATTAGTAGAGAAGATCTTTATCATATTATTTGAAATTAATTTTATCCTATTAAGAATTATTTGATTTGAGAATTCTTAAATTAAAGAAAGTTGTTAATTGATATTCTTTTTGTTTAAAAGGTGGTTACCTTTTTCCTTCTTAGTTTGATTTGCTTTTGTATTTAGTGCTGAGTATTTTATGTTTTCAAATTTCATAAAGATAATTAGGATTATAAAAACATTATATTAATAGATATGATCTCATTTTTTGATGAATCATTTTTAAATATCAATTAAAATTTATTTTATGTTAAAGTGATTGATTCAACAAGTTAAACAAAAATCATCTTTTCTCTTAAATTAATAAAGATTAAAAAAATTACTTACAATAGAATCCAAATGAAAAAATATAAAATTTGATATAAAAATTGAAGGCATTTTTTATGAAGTAATTTAATTATAAAAAAGATTAAATTAATTACCATTTAAAATATCAAAAAATTTATCTTATTTTAATCTTTAATTTATTTTAAAAATTTAAAATATAGTTAAAATCTTTTGTTGATATTTTTTGATAATTTTTTTGATCTTATTAATTGATTTTATGATTAAATATATGAGTAAAATAAGACAAAATTTAAGTATGTTTTAAACATTAATCGCAATTTATAATTTAAATGGAATTTATTAGAATTTATATTGTTAATTTAACAAAATACGTAACAAAAAATATTACGATATCAATTCATGTCAATCCATTAATGTTTAAATAAAACTTACCATAAATTAAAATTTAGGGTTGTAAACTAATATAATTATTAAAAAATAAAAATACTATAACTTAATATTTGAAATGTAGAAAAATTTAATATTTTGTGTGCTCATTATCAGCTTGGCTTGTCAGTTGACTACTTCTTAGAGTGATGAATGCTTTCCTCGTTTAGTCCGCTTGCTAATTGGTGATAAATATGCTGATAACAGCTCACCTTACACTGCTACATTGATGTATTAGACATACTCTGAATGTCAAAAATCTGGTATTGTTTTTAAAGGTTAAAGTTTTTAGACAGCTACAGTCTCTACTATCCACTCTGATTGGAATGACACCTTCTGTCATAATAAAAAGAAGTGTGAAAAGGTTATATACAATTAATATATTCACACTGTTAAAGTAGCAGTTGATCCATAAACTAGTTTCACTTATGCTTTCTGTGCTGATAGTGCTAATAAAGAAGGATGCACTGAATTTTACACATCTAAAATGCCAGTTCTTTCTAGTAATACCAACATAGAATTTAGAACTAATTTTTTGTCTCAACTCGGTGATATTAAAAAAAAAACTACTCCTTTGAAGATTATCTTTTTCGGTGATAATGATTTAAGTGATGCTGGAAAAATTACTGTAAATGCCATTTATAAGATTTAAGAGAAAGAAAATTTCGATGCCTTTATATTTTGTGGTGACTATGGGTATGAATTCTATCAAAACAATGGCACTGTAGGTGATGATTATATTAATGCTCTTACTAAAATTAACACAGCTGCACCAATGGCTATAACTGCTGGCAATCACGAAGACAACTTCAATTTCGAATTCTTTAACCAAAAATTCTAAATGCCATTTTTCACTGAAAATTAGAACAATTACTACTCCTTCAACATAGGTAATTTGAATCAATAACTTAATTATAATGAATCGATGAATAAAGGACGCAAATTATGGTACATGAACAATACCCCACCTACTAAATTATGAAATATCCAAATATGTGAAAAATTTTTAATTCATTTACTTTAATTGGTGGGTGATTGATTCAGACTATGATTTTTGCCACTTTTTTATTTGATGATATTTATTAAAATGCAATAAGAAGATTACGCAACTTGTTTAGTAAACAGTAAGATCACTAGATATTAATTTAAACAACAATTTTAATAAGGTTATTATGATAAATTTTATGACTAAAATCTTTTACACATAATCTGCGCATTTAAATTGTTAATAGAAAAAATTTACTAATTACAAATAAATACATTCCAAAAATTAATAGATTAAATTTACAAATTCAAGCTATTTTTTTACCTTACTATTTAAATCCTTTTTATTTTATTAATAGGAAATACTCACTTTTTGAGTTTAAATCTTCACTATTTTAATGACTAAGTTAACCCACCTAACGCAGAAAACTAGAAAAAAATGCTTAAATGGGTAGAATAAGACTTAAAAAGTGTAGATCGTTCAGTTACTCCTTGGGTAATTGTTTTTGGACATAAAATGATTTACTGTAAAGGATCTGATTGCTAAGATTTTGCTAAAGATTATGCTTAATTTGATACAATTTTAAATAAATACAAAGTTGATTTGTTCATTTCAGGTCATAAGCATAAATTTTTGGTAATGAAACCTATGAATAATGGTGATGTTGCTAAATATAAAATAAGCAAAGATAACATAATATCTTAATACGAAGGATTTTTAACAGTTGTCGAAGGTAATGGTGGAACAAGCAAAATGGACGATGATACTCTACCTGATATATTAAATACCTAAGAATTGAAAAATTCTGCAAATAGCAGTGGAGATTTTGATAAGAAAAAGTAAAAAGAAGCTTTGCTTGAAGAAATTACTAATATTGGATTTGGTATTCTAGAAATTTAAGATGATAACAATATTTTGATTCATTCAATAGATAGCAAAACTTTAGAATCTGTTTATGATATTGGATTGAAAAAATGAACTATCCAATGAAAACTGATTACAATAAAATTTCCTGAGTAATAATTAGAATTTTACCTTCTACTAGAATTATAAAAAAGATTAACATTTCATATATAAATTTCTATTTCATAAATACCCTATTTATAAAATATACTAAAACAAACTACTTTAAAAAATTATAAAATTCAAAAAATAAAAATAAATTTTTAAATTTATAAAACTTTTTAAAAGTATTTCTTTTTATTGTTAAAAATACTTAGATTCAAATTTAGGTTATTTTCACTATAAAACAAATCTAACTTATAAATACAAAATAAATAATTTTAGCTCTTTGAAAAATATTAAAAAACTTAAAATGCAAAAATTTTTAATCAAAGTAATAAATATTTAATTTAATTTTTTTTCACTTTTTATATTTTTACCATTATTTTTAAATAAAATTAAATAATTGATAAATTAAAAATCTTAATTTTTAGAAGTTTTTTTTATTTATTTTTTAAAAATATTACTTGATGTATGTTATGTCATTTTTACTAAATAATTCTGTTTTAGTTTTAGAGATTTTTTAAATGTATGTATGTATAATCAGTTTACTATCTAAAGTATTTAATATAAATTAAAATGTAGAAATTTTATTGATTTAGAAGCAAAAGAGATAGCTATAGATAGTTAAAAATTAGATTATTATTGAATTACTTTACAAACTTAATTCCTTTCATAAGCTTTTTTTCTGATTTTTTTAAATAAAGAGCTAAAGTAATTTTTAATTAAAACGAATGTAGATTTGTTTTTTTTTAATATTTGCTAAAAAAATAATATGATTTATTTATTAATAATGATAACTTAATAATTTAATAGATAGAATTTATCTATATATTACAAAGTGTGAATATATTTTTTAGAATAAATAATAATTTTATATGTTACATTTGTTTATTTTATTATAAATTAATTTTAAGTATTTTATTTATTTATTTATTTAATAATTTTTATATTTGAATAATTCTTAATTAATTAAAATATATTTATTTATTTAATAGCTTCAATGACTTAATTTAATTTAAAATTATAATTATTAGTTTGTTTATTTGTTTTAGATATTTATTTTTAAAATATGTTTAATCCGATTTAATTGTTTATTATTCATTTTGATTTACTTTTATAGCAGAGTTAAAGATTTATTTTTTCTATATATTAAATTTAAATTTATATTAACTATTAGGATAAATAAAGACCAATTTATTTTTCAGTTATTTCGTATTTTTATTGAATCTTTTTGTTAACCTTCATGAGCTGAATTTTAAACATCATCATCATCATAGTCTTCTTCTTCTTCAGATTCATCGTTTTCATCAAATATGACATTGTACCATTAGTTAAGTAGGAGGTCTAAGGCTTCTTAAAAGACTGGTTTTTTGATGAAATCATCCATACCATTTGCCAGCGCTTTTGATTTATCCTCATCAGAAACATATGCAGTGCATGCTACAATTATAGGTTACTTACTAATGTAGGAATTTCCATTAAAAAAGTTTCTGATATCTTAAGTTGCTTCGTAACCATTTTTAATTGGCATTTCTATATCCATAAAAATGAGCTTATAAGATTTACAGCAAGTATTTTCATAATATCTTTTTTCAACTAATTCAACAGCTTTTTATCCGTTCTAAGCTTGGTCAATTTTGAATCCATAAGTTTTAAGTTGCATTGTGATAGCATGCATATTAAATAGATTATCATCTACTACCAAGAGTTATGCACAATCACAAACTTTTTAAGCTTTTAGATTATTAGTTTTGTCTTCAATGCTAGTGTTATTTAAATTACTATTTTCTTTATTTAACACTTAATTTTATTAGTTTTAATTCTTTTAAATGTTATAATCACTAGAATTTTCTAATACTTGCTACTAACCATCGAATCTTTCATCTTCTTCACTCTTTTTCTTAGATATATTAAAATTTAAATCATTGATTATTGATATTTCCTAAGATTATCTTTCATATATTTCAAAATTTGATTCTTATTAAGAAGGTGGAATGGCGACAGTAGTAGCAGTAGTTGCTATGTTTTTGAGGGCACTTGAGCTTGTAGCTGCTGTTTTCTTATGTTACTAAATTGATGTAGAAGAAGATTAGGACTACTTAATACCTGATTAAGCTAAGAATTTTCTTTTCTTGCTTGCAATTAACTTGCTACTATTATTATTACCACTACTACTCATATCAATAGGTGATAAATGCATTTGCAAGGCATTTTCTTAAGAGGATGGTGTTTTTATTAAAGACGTTGTTGGTGAATTACTATTTCTCTTTTTAATGTGAGCTTGAGAATGAATGCTGTTGTAGCTGATATAAGCATCTCCACTCATTTCTTTTTGCTCAGATTTAATTGTTTTTAAGGTTTTTGTTTTATACGTAGTTTTAGTATGAATGGTTGTTGACTTATACAAAGGTCTTTAATTATTGATATAAGATATGCTTGATTTTTAACTAACATTTAGGATATCTTAATTTACGATATCACTTTTGTTGCTGCTACTGCTGCTTAAATCATTGAACTCTGGAAGTTCGTTTTCTCTAACTTTGAAAGTAGCTATAGGAGTTAAGTTTTAAATGGAGTTCCTATTAATCTCAGAGTCACAAATACAACACGAGTCCTCATACTGTACTCCAGAGCCGACTAAATTCTTCTAATTATTAGTCTTGACTGTTTTACTTGTCTTGCTAGTTTTATTAGTTTTGTTGGATTTATTTGTAAAGTTGCTATTTATACGAATGGTTCTAACTTATGGTGAATCTTCTACTTTCATGCTATGATTTCTTCCGAATTATGAAGTTTACTTGATATATTAATCAACTTATCCAAAAGAGCTAAGCTACCTCATCTTAGTTTGCTGGCTTACTGGAGAATCAACAAGACTATTGATTGTCTCCATTTTTTTTCTAGATTCCTCCTTATTGTATATCTTATGTTCTTACAGGTCTTCTTCTCTATCTTCTACTAGAATAGAAAAAACAGAGCCATGGCCTATTTCAGATTGAACTCTTATTCCTCCTTTATTAATTGGCCCTAAACCTTTAGCAATACCTTTTAATTATTGATTTTGTTTAAAATAATTAAATTAAAAATTTGAATAAATTTAACAAATAAATGTATTAATGAATGGTCCGTATAAATTAATTACTAATCAAAATTTTGATTAAGTAAAAATAAGGAGTAATCTTGAAAGATGACCATAGATTCAAATTTTCAAGTTGAAGAAAAAATTAATACTATTCATAAAAGTTAAGCAAAATTATTTCATTTGGAGTAAGTTTTATTTAAAATCAAAATTAATTCATTTGCTTAAATTAGAAAATTAATTTTATGTATAAAGAACATAATTTTAGTGCTAATTTAAAAAAAAAATATTTAATTAGCAAAAATGAAAAAAAAATAGTTTTTTATTTTGAATAAAATCTAAATTGTTTAATAAATATTCAAAATATAATTCTAATTTTTTTTCATTTTTGATTTTGTTTTACTAATTTTAAAAATAAAATAACAAAAAATGATAATGGAGATAATTTAAATTTTTTAAATTATGTTTACTTTTTTCAAAACATTTTAAACTTAAATTATAAAAAATAAAATAAAATGAATAAAAAATTACTGTTTGATATTGTAAGACCAAGACCACATCCTTAACTGTTCAAAGATTAATTTTCTCCTAAATCAATTTTATTGAAGATTGTAAATATTTTTTGTATATCTTCAGGAGATATTCCTATTCCTTGGTCTTCAACAGATATTTCTACTATATTATTTTGGTTATTTTTAAGGTCTTCTTCTGCTAGAAAATCTGATTAAGATTAGCTTGAAATCTAGTTGGTGCTATCTTTGTAGTTTATTAAAGTTGCAGAGACTATAATTTAGCCCTAAGATGTAAATTTCATAGCGTTTGAAAGAAAATTTAGGACAACTTACCTTATCCTGTTAGGATCTGAATTTATAATTTTAGGGCATTTTTCATCATACTTTAGTACGAGCTCTACATTACTTTCATTTTATTTGCCCTAAATTCCAACCAATGAAACACAAGAAGAAAGAAGCTCTTCTAAATCAAATTTTATAAAAGAAAATTTGAATTTTCCACTATCTATTTACACAAAATCTAAAATATCATTGATAAGATTTAGTAGCAGTTTATTTGAATTCAATGCAGGATCAATATATGTTTATATGTAATCTGACATCTTTTCTAATAATTTTAAACTGACCTATCCTTCCTCGGCTTTCTAATTTTAGCTTACTAGCTAATTAGATTAAGACTATGATTTGTTTTAAGCTTGTAGCTTATTTCTGATTTTGTCTTTTATTGATAATATATTTTCTGGTTGTTTCTAATCAGCTTACATATCTTCTTTCATTATATTTTTTACTTATTGCAACATGGAAATAGAGCAATTCAAAGGAGTTCTCAGCTCATGTGAAAGCGAGGCAAACATTTTCATTCTGTATTTGCTCATATCTTCCAATTTTTTCTCATACATTTCCTACCAAAGTGGGTCAACTAAAACAAGGGCTAGTTACTCAACAAATCCATTAGTAACTATTTCGCACATTACCATACTTAATACTAAAGTACTATTTTTGTATTCAACCTCTACCTTAATCTACCAAAAATATAAAATAAAATAAATAAAAATTAATAAAAAAAATATTTTATTGTTATAAAAGCCGTAGAGTTAAAATCTATTTTTGAGAAAATTTAAAATTTAATGTCAAAAATACAAAAATATATTTAGGAATTAGTATATTTTAATTCATTCATAAGAGGATTTAATTGATAGTAATTTATGGGTCAAGTAAGGGAAAAAAAATTTGAACCAGTAACTAGATTTTTATTTATTTATTTAGAAAAAGATAATATAAATTTTGAAAGAAAAATAACTAATTGTAAAGTGCTAAACCATAATTTGAAAGATTAAATAGTAATTAATTATTTATTGAATTAATAAATCTTGCAAAATAAGTAAGTAAGTATCCTTAAATTTTGATTTGGATTTTTGAGGTTTCCTTTTTTTTTAATCAAATTTTTTCTTCTTCTAATCTGATGTGTTTTTTTTTGTACTTTACATCCGTATTTAAAAATTTTAGTAGTATAGAAAAGTATTATTGTCAATTAAATAGTTAATTAGATTTTTATCGAATGAATGTATAGATACCATTAATCTATCTATCTATTAAAAACAAAAAATATGTAAGAAATAAATTACCATGTCGTCAATGTACTAGAAATAACCAATATACTGCTGCTAGTTTTTCATTTAAGAAACAAAACTTCCCTACCTCGAAGGAGACGCTTTTCTACTTTGCTGAGGTGCCATATATGTTTGCTAACTAGTTATATCTGAATTTCTCTTTTTTAATTAAAAAGTTTTTGCTGTTTTGGTATCCTAGTCTTGCTAGGTAATTTTTAGATTTTCGAATATTGATGATAATATATCTCGTACATTAATGTCTTTTCTTATTATTTCAGATTTTTTAAACTTTTTGGAGCGTTATTGACGGACTAGATTTTCTCCACCTAAATCTTAGTTATTACCGTTTGCATTTATCAAATTATTCATACCTAATGAATCAGCTCCATTTTCTCTAAAAAGAGCCTAGCTGTGGACGCAATTTGGTTAGCATGTTGCTAAAGGACATTGCTAAATATAATTTGTCAAAGAAACAGCATCTGAATATTCATTATTCTGTAAATAATTTTTTGTGTGATGATGTTAGCCATTTGCACTATGCTAAATATGGTGAGTAATTCTATTATTTTCAAAAAAATCATCTATCGGGCTATTCATAGGCATATTTGGCATGGTTTGTTCGAATGGTGATTGACGAAAATTATTCATTTAATGCATACTTTACTTACGCATATCACTTCCTCCTTAGTAAGTGTTAAAATTTAAATTCATTGGAGTTGCCCCGTTTGTTGATAAATTTTTTGTGTTAGATGTTCCCATCTAACTGTAGATGAAGTTATTGTTGACTCCACTATTTGAGTTCAAGTTGATTACAGCAGGACTTTCGTCTTTTGAAAAAGAATTTTTGTGGTTTCGATTAAATATTGAAGGCTTCGTAGTTGAGGATTTTCTTTTAACATCGAATGTTTCAGATGATGTTTTTCTATTTGGAAAGCTTTATTGAGGATTAGGGTTTATCTACCCGTTTCCATGATTTTAATTATTCAATTTATTTGGATTTATATTATTTATATCGAGAGGATTCTGCTATTAGGCATTAGAGTTGTTTTAGATTGACTAATTATACTAACTTTGATTACTGCTCATAGCAATGTTATTATTATTGTTGTTGTTTATAAGGGAATTGTAAGATTTAAATACTGATTAAGAAGTTTGTCTTGGCTAAGTAATAGCTTGGTTTAAGGAAAGAATTTTAGAAAATTGAGATGCACTCATGTTATTTGTATTCATAGCGATTTTTTGAGAAGTTGCATCTGAATCTTTTGATTTGGTCGCTAAATTTAAAAGAATATTTACAATTTAATTTTTTGAGCATTATAGAATTTTAGAGAGAGTTTTATTCGCATATACTAATTAATTTGAGCTATTTATTAAGGCTACTCCTTCCGGAATAAGATTAAGTATATCTTGATACATTTTTTTTATATTATTGCTTTTAAGCCTTTCTAACTCAGGCGAAATTGGATTATTGTCGTTCAAAAGAGTAGCCTCTTCTCCATTATTATAAATTAAAGGTTTTTATTTTTATTTATTTATTTTAAGATTTTTGTTTTTTGTTCTTTTGCTGATCAACTTGCTAAGAAATTTAGATGTTTTTGATTCATTTTCTAAGGCATCTTCAGCGTATCCGAGATTACAATATGATGTTATGCCAACATTTTGAAGGATTTTCTCCTAAGACAATGTTGAATATCCTAATGGGTGAAATAGGAATGGAGAAATAGCTAAAAGTCTCATATTGTAAATCTAGTAAAGTAATGATATAGCAAATACACAATCAAAAAGTACACTTTAAATAATGTTTTTGGAAGATTTAGAATTGCTAGAGTAATTCTAGTTTATATCACCTAAATATGTATACAAATTCAAGCGAATAATTGCGAAAGAAAAGAGTACAAAAGATATTAAAATTGTTAATTTCTAAGAAAATCTAGTAACTGAGAGTTTATAAATAATAATTAATTAGTTGTAAATAAAGAAGACAAATATCATTTGGTTCAGATCTCTTAACTATTTTATTGATTCAACCAGAATAACAAATGAAAATATGAACAACCATATTATACCATTCATGTAGCATCTTTCGTCTTATAAATTATCAGAATTTTATCCTGGAGAAGAATCAGATGATGGAGGTAAATACGAATTGCTATTTTTACCTTGTTTACCTTAATTTACGGCTTATAAATTAGCTTATTTATCTTAATTCTTTTGCAAATTATATTGATTTATTATTTATGTTTAATTTAATTTGAGCAGACCTTTGTTTGTTTTTAATGGAGAAAAACTTATTTGGGTTTACTAATTTTATTGTTTTGTGTTTTGTTAGGTTTAGTTGTTTTTTATGTCTGCCTGATTATTTAAGTTTTCAGCATTATTGTTTTGATAAACATTTTCAGTTATATCACCCTTATTATCTCTGCTGCTAAATATAATTTTAGTGTTCATAGAATTTGAAGAAGATCTCATTTGAACACTATTTTTTAATCCCAAAAATATAAGCATCAATCCAAATAATCCAATAAGTATTATAAAACTAGATATTAAGTACAGTCCTAACTCACTTTAATCATCTTTTTAATCTATAAAATTGCTCTTTAAAATTAAATAAATGCCATATATGACTAATACTACAAAATTTATTGAAACTTCCCTTTTCATAATGCTCTTATGAAGATTAGAAAAAACATAAGACGTGCATTTAGCAGGAGAAGTAATAGACCTGTTATTTGTAAGTATTGTTTACAGTTTTTATGGTCTAATCTTGTGAATTCCTTAAACTTATTCTCCTATCTACACATTTTTACGTATACTCTCTAATTAACCCTTTAATTCCTCTGTATTGTAATATGAAGTTGAAGACTTAACCTCTTCATTCGGTTTATATGCTTTTTAATTTTACTAAAACATTATTCCATCTATAATTTACTATTTTGAAGAATTCCCACCTTAATTATATTATAAATTATTACTACTCAAGTTTTTATTTTATTATACTTCTTGATAATAACAAGAATCAGAATCATCCATATTTTTCTGCATTAAGTCCTTTTTTTTCTTTCTCCTTGCAGTTTCGGAGTCTAAATTTTCTTCAATATTAATATTATCTTGGTGAACACTTTTGTAATCATTTAGAGTTGGAGGATTATTTAATTTACATTAAGATTAATAATGTAATTACTCTTGATGTTAGTCAATGTTTACCGAAATAGGTCTTACTGATTGCTATTCTTCTGCGTTATTTTGCTAAAAAACAACAGAATTATTACAGCTATGTAACATGATATCTTAATTATTAAGCAACCCAAGTTGTACTTTGCTTAATTACTGATTATTACTCAGAGAGAACTCCTATTAATTACTCGGATTTGCTTAAAATGCTGATTAATTATTTAATGATTTATGTATAAAATTATAATTGGAATTCTGAGCACCAGAAGATAAATTTTGATGGTTTTAAGGATTATTATCAACCTTAGAATACTATTCAACATCTTCTGCGTTCATCTAATCATTTATTGAAAAAATATTTTTATCCTCCTCTTCCCCTTCTTCATCATCATCACTATTATTGAAGAAATCATTCAGGACTTATTTACTCTAATTATAATGAGAAATAACCTACCTTTTCATCTTCTTTTAATCCTAATTAATCAAATATTCTGAAATTAATTTTCACAATACTACTTTCCTACTTAGATCGAATAATCATAGATTCTTTTATATTTTCAATTTTTTTTTTTGAGTGATTCCGCAAATAATTCGATAAAGTCAAACATTGCATGTATGCATCTTAATAATCATCTTGTAACTATTTATCACCATGAAACTCTTGATCCATTAAACTACTTAAAAAAGCACTAATATAAAATTAACAAAAACAATACTCTATGTCTAAAAAAAATGTATGCTTAAACTATAAAACTCAAATAAAAATAATTTAGAATTCATTCTCGAATGATTAGCTAAAAGTAAATCAAAGTGTACTCATTAATATTCATATCAAATATTTAAAAAGTTAACAAATTTTATTTGAAATTGGGTATTTGAGAAAAGATTGATATAATTAGGATTGATTGTAACTAAGTAAAGCAAATATAGACAGCAACTAATTTGCTAAAAGCTAAAAAGCACAAATAATCTGTATTTATTACTGAAATAAAAGTACTCCGAAGATAGTAACTAAAATGAATTAATTAAAACTAGAGTATAATTTAATGGAAATAATTTTATCGAAATTAAGGAAATCTTTTTTAAAAATATATTAAAGTAAATGGCATAATTTTGTTGAAAATTAAAAATTTTATTTTAGAAATACAAAAAATAATTTTGATAAAAGAGAAAAAGTAAATATGTTTTTTGAGAAATTATAGTTTTTTGTTGTTTTACTACCATTAAGTTTAAATTTAAAAGGCACCTTTGAGCTTTTATAAATTATTTATTGCTGTTCAGTACAAAGAGCTAAAAACGAGTGGCGTGTAGCTTGAATTAGTAACAAATAAAATTTAATTTTAATATTCATTTTTTTCTTAAATGAATAAGAGTAAGTTAAATATTTGCATTTATATTATCTAATAATAAATCATAAGAATACAGGGTAAAAAAAAATTAATTAATATTTATAAGCAATTCATATTTTAATTATGCGATAAAATAGAATTGAAAAGAAAAATGCTTAACTTAATTTTAGTAAATTAAATAAAAACATGTATTAATAGGTTAAATAAATTTATCTTTTAATATTTGAAAAAGTTAAATATCTTTGAATAAGAAATACGTTTACTAAACTCAAATAACTTTTACATTAAATTTTAACTCTCATTAAGTAAGAAGAATTACTAATCTATCTATCTATCACTATATCTATCTATTAGAATCTATTAACTCTTAATTACTATTCTCAGCCATAGGTTTTTGATTTAAGACAAACACTAAAAATTAATTAGATACTATTTTTGATTTCTCATAAAAATTGCTTAATAATTTAAAACGTCACTCAATTAATTGATCTGTGTTTTAACTGGTAAATATACTAAATCCTAAAATCACAAATATTTAGTTAAAGAATTTAATGAACTAATTAAAGTATTATATTTTGCATTCATAAAAAGAATAAGCTGCTTGGTTGTTTGATTTTTTTGTAAAGTAATGAAACAAAAAATGAATCCTTCTTATTTAAATTTTTACTTAAAAGAAAATACATATTGAATAAATATTGCTTTTTGACTTGATAAAAATAAACATGAAGTATATATTTCTACTTTCAATTTAAATTCTCTAATATTATCAATACCTAATTACTTAAATTTTGTTGTTTTTAAAAATTATTCTATAGTTCTTGCTTCTTCTTACAAAAAATTATATAAATTTATTAATTATTTAGTTTAATATTTTGTCAATAAATCAAATCTTAGACTTTGATAAATGTCAATTTTGTGGTGGTTATTAATTAGAATTTATTGTGTTTTTAATTTTGTATGTCATAGATAAGGTTTTTGGATTGCTAATTTGTTTATTATTATTAGCTGGAGTTGTTTAATTAGAAACTGGTCTCGTTAGCAATCCAGATAAATGTAAATGCTTTTTCTTAGGTTATTAATATGAAGCCTAAGGTTGAGAAGGCTAACTTTGGTAATTATTTTAAATTACAACAGGTGGAGAAGGAACTCTTTAAGTGGGATTTTCGCTTTTTTATACTCCAGAAGATTTCATAAAAAGTAATTAAGTTGATTTTGATGTGATCAAAGCTGTTGTTGGTCTTTTACTTTATAAATTAGGCTATATATACGAAGATTAGGAAAGCTATGAGTTAGCAAGGACTGGATGAGCTGATGAGATGACTCTTTAGTTTTACACTTATGAGGATTGAGTAATTAAATTATTGGTTTAAACTGTATTGAGGTTTTAAAGATTATACTATTACGATTTAATTGTGCTCTAAGGTAATATATTTCCGTTCTATTATTAAATTACTAGACTAGAATCAATTTAATTTAATGTGCCTCCGTTTTGCAAACTATTACCAAGTGTCTTATTATGCTTTTTACGCATTGATTAAACTGAAAAGTTCCGGGAAATATGAGTCTAAGAATGTATGTTGTTATAAGTAGCAATCCTCTCTTTCAAATTTTGTTCTACCTTTTCCTCTAAAGCTCGTATTCTATCATCTTTTTATTTCATAACTTTCATAGATTTAAGTCTCTCTTTACGAGAGCGTTGGACATCTCTTCTCAATATCTCATTTTGATATTCCATAATTGCCATTGTTTTCTTTAAAGAGAGAACTTATTCCTTCATGTTCTCTGTTTGAGCTTACATTTCTTTTTTGTCTCTATATAACTATTCATTAGAAGAATTATTTTCATTTATTTATTGTATTCTTCGCTCATACTTTTCCATCATACATGCCAATTTCATATTATAAAACGCTCTTATCAATTTGAAACTGCTAAGTAACTTATAGACCTCTTTATTTTAAAACTCAATTCTTTCATAAACATCAACAGGTAAGGTATCAATAGGATTGAATTCGAACATCTAATTTTGCAATGCACTCATTTATAAATTGATATTTTGCTATGTTAAGGTCTGCACATTTTACTAAGAATTAGGGTGCTAGTTTATCATATTAACATTACTTTACAAATTTAAAATCTCCTCCTCATGATGTCCTACGCTCTCTTCAGTATGATTAGTCCTCATCATTCTTTAAGAAGTAACTATTTATTGCTATTACTGTAAAAATTGCTGCTATAATTAAACCTACTACTAATGAGCATTTTGTTTCTTTTTGTGCTCTTCTTCTCTTCTTTCATCCCAAGTAGAATTCCAAATAGCATCTATTGCATGCAAAGCTTAATTCGAACCTATTCATTTAATATTAAATAACTTTAAATTGTAATAAATCTTAAAAGCAAAATGCAATTTTATTTTAAATTATTTTTTTAATCTTTACTAAATGATTCAATTTAATTAAATTATAAGCATAATTTTATTTTGTTTTCAAACCAAATTATATTTTAAAACTACTAATGGCAAAATTACAACTAAAATGATCAAACAATTTAATCATTAAAAAAATAAAAATTAAATACCTCCATGGTCTTCTAGGGCTTTATTAATCGCTTCTTTTAGCATCTTATAATTGTTTTCTTTGATTCCTTCAACCATATTGAAGACTTCTAATTTTTATCCTTAGCGAAAATCATAGAATCTGCTAAGAATATTTTCGTTTACTTGTTCATTTTCACGAAGCTGATCTAAGAAATTTTTTTAAATTTCTTTAAAAATTCTAACTTTATCAATTTATCTTTGATCAGCTGTGTAATTAGCCTTTTTCTATAAGTGTTATATTTCGTAAATAAGATCATTGCTTCGAGATGCTACTTATGATTCCACAATATTTTGCATGTTTTTTTCTAAAAATTCTATTTTCTTTTAAAGAAGCTTATTCCATTTCTTTTAGAATTACACATCCTTCTCCAAAATGTCGCATTTCTACTCCATGTTATGAATTGATTTACTATATTTTTCTTCAACTAGATCAATTAAATCTAAATTTATTCCATGCAAATGTTTCTATAAATCTTCTTTAGATATGACTAAGGCTTCATTTTTATTTAGTGTTTTTATTTCAGTTGAATCAAAATAAACTTTAGTTGTAAAATTAGATAAAATAGATAATATATCAAGAACTTATAAACTTCCTGTTGAAAAAGCTTTATTTATTTAAAGAGGATCATAAACAATCATAGATTTAGACTAAGTATTTGACTCCTATTCAATTATATAATAAATTAGATTGAGAGTTAAACTTAAAAATCAGAAGAATAAATAAATAAATATAATTAATTCAAAATATTTTTTGAATAAATATATTTACCTTTTTTCTAGCCTTATTTATCCATTTCGACATTACAAGATTTTCTTCATAGTAGAATTAAATTGCTTCCTGATACATAAGAGTTTATACCTAGAAAGAGTTAAGGCAAATATCAAGTATTATCTTTTAATTTTAAATATAAAAATGAATTTAATTAAGGTATTTTCTTCATTAAAATCAATTCAAACATATTTTTTCAATAAATTTTATTTATTTAAACTAAAATTTAAATTAAATTATTTATATTATTTTTTTAAAATTTTCTAATTCAAATTATTTAATTAGTTCATAAATTTTAAAATTTTACATTTGAGATAAAATAATTAAATAACTTTTTTTTTTTTGTTATTTTTTTTAAATTTAGTTAACTATTCAATAAATTGTTACATTTTCTTCTGGAGGTGGCTACTGATCCTATTCATCACTCGAACTAGCATTTTTTTTATCAATCTGCTGTTTCACATTTAAGCTTGACTGTAAACCATTCTTTTCCAGAGAGATTTTAATTTTATCTTTGATTAGCTTTGAAATTTATTTGAGAGGATCTTTATTCCCTGGAATAATTTCAAAAGGAAGAATATTCATCTTTCTGCATAAGTATATTTCTCTCAGAATATACTGGCGTACTTATAGATTAACTATTTTCGTGCACATACGCTCAAATTTAAATGGATCATCTTACTCAAACACAAAGTTACTTCTAAGGAAATTATTAATTATGAAATCCATGGAATTCTTAGTGACTGAAAGCTCAGTCACTCTGGATTGAGGCATACCTTTTTTTAAAAATAGGTTTCTTTAAAAAATATTTTGTATTGAATAGTCTTACCTATCAAACCCTTTTCTAGTATAGATCCAAACCTCAAGAATTAGTTGAAAAAGTATCTATTAGGATTTAAAATAGCTATAGTTGAGTGAAGACTTTCTTCAATTTTTGGACGAGAATCCCAAAAAATGACACGTACCAAATTCATAAAATCAGAGCTACTATCATACACTTTTAAATCAGGTGATTAGGTAAAATCTGCTGAATCGTCATCAATATCAATATTTTTTGCAAGCAATATCTTTCCATCTTCATATCTTGCTAAATGCTAAATTTAAGGGAAATTAAGATCAACTATTAGTGAACGAAGTCTAAACATAAATTCATAATCTTCTTTTTCTCTAGATATATTAAGCTGCTAAATTAGAAGCAAGAGACAAGATAAGAAATGTCTGTTTGATACTTTTTCTAAATAGCTCATGATAGCATCATTACTATCTGCTATCTTTGGATTATTTCTAATAGTCTAAATATTTTTTTCCATTCTTTCTAAAAGAGATTTTAGGTTTTCAATGTCTCTCCTTAATCGAAGCTCATTCCTTTTAAATATAGGAATTGCTTTTTTGTTTACCATAGCTAAGTCTTTTAATGTCTTAATGGTAGATACAGATTTTTACTACTACTCATTTTCTTCACCACCACCTGTCTCAATCTTACACTTTTCATAACCTAGCTGTCCATTAATGAAATATAACATATCCATAGTATTGGCTTCCAGTGAGCATTCAAAAGTGCAGAAAGATAATATATTCAAAAGATTACCTAGAATCTTCCATAAAACAAATAATTAAGTCTTTCTCAAATATAAAAGGTGTTAATGCTGCAAAAACTCTCTCTTTCTATAACCTTTCAAGGTAGTGCTTCCCTTTTTAATTTTAATGAAATTATTTTAATAAAAAAATTTGTATCAACTGGTTAGTAAAAAGCTACTTTGTTGACTTAGATGTTCTTGTTTGGTAAAAGCATACAAATGTCTTTTTCTAACTTCTATTCTTATGCTTTTAGCCAATCTTTACCACCTGAAGTTTGAGATTTTTCCCATTTTGAGTCTTCATCTGCAAAATATTCATCATCATCTGATAGCTCTGGTAACTTAAAATGATTAAAAATATTTTATTTTTATAGGAGCTAATAATTTTTTTACTTTATTTAGACCATATCTTTCCATAACTTATTCAAAATCTTCATGAGTCATATTACTTATTTGCTCTACTGATGGCATATTGAAAATTTTTACAGCACATCCTAATTAAGAAATTTGACATTAATTAAAATTTAAAAATTATGGAGTGATAATTACCAAGAGTATCAAAGAATACTTCGCCCTTAGAATCTATTTCTTCTTCAAGTTAAGCATTAGTTCTTGCATCAAGAAGTGAATCCTTAACTGGATTTATGTTTAATACGATCTCTTTTACAGGTGTTAGAGGAACAAAATTAAAAATTGGGGTTTCGAATGGCAGTTTTTTTGAAAATTTTTCGATAGCATTTCTTTACAAAAGTGTTTAAATTTTCATAGCTTCAAACTAAACTTCTCTCTTTACTCGTTTACAGAATACTTATATAGATAAAATCTTACCAGTTCCTTTTTAAATTAAATTAAATTAAATTCAAATTACTTCATTGTTTTTTTAAGATTAAAATATAATTTTATAGATCTATTTAAATTAATTTAAATTTTTCATACCCTCTTCCTGAGTTGTTGTAGTTTTGGGCTTTGATAACTCTTAGTTACGAACAAAAGTAATAGTTTCATTGGCAATAGCTTTCTTTTTATCAAAGACGTTTTTAAAAAAGTCAGGTGCAGACTACTTGATCTTCTTAAAGAACTCCTTAGGCATATCATTCAATACAGATTGAAAGTAAATATTGTTGCTTATCACAAAATTTTAGGTAAGTTAGCTGCACAAAATTAGTGATTCTAAATATTATGTTAGTTATACCAAGCTTTATTGTTTTGTTATTGGTACCACCCAGTTGTCTAAGACTAGTATATCTTTTGCAATTTTAATAGCATCTAAATCTAAAAGAAGCTTCAAATAATTCTTTCTTTATGCATCTAAAGTTGTGGTCGCTAAACCAGCTATATCAATAGAATTTTCAAATTTTTCTTTGAAATCTTCGCTTACTCTAGAAACTTGCAAACGATAAGTTTCCAACAGGCTTGATAATCCAAACAAAAAGTTATTAAATTTCTTTCTAACTTTCATGAATTCTAGCATGCTGAAAGCATCGAAAGAAAGTTTGTCTCTTTCTGCTTTAGAAAGTCTTTCATCAATATAAGTTTAAACTTTATTTATAATTAAATCAAAATTCTCAGGTTAATCTAGAGTTTCATCTTTTTCTATAAAGCGAAAATCGATAAAGTCCAAATAAAGGTTAGATCCATCACTATCAAACACTACTTTTTTAGTAAGATCTAGCAACTCTTTAAAGTAAGCGTTTTCACATTTCAGTATTTCACTGACATTCATAGTTGGTTCAGTCTATGATGAAGTAATTAATTTGGAAAATTATTCTCTATTTTGCTCAATATTTAAAATCAATTTTGCAAAACTACTTGTATAGAAATTGAATTTCCTATCGTGTCCTGGATTTCTGTTTTATTTTTAGAAAATTTTAAATATTAAAAATTAGATCTAAATTCAAAATAGGGTTAAAAAATAAATCTTAAATTAAAAATGTTATTCGAAGGGAAAATAATTATTAAAAGATAAAATATAAAATCAAATTTACTTTAATAAAGAAAGAAATATTTGAAGTCTATCAGTTGGGTTTGGGTTTAATTTGCGTCTTAAATGGTTAATTTTTTCTTCCTCCTCTTCTGTATCTTTAATTAGAATTTCTACAATCTCGTTGAAGTATTATAGGTTTTATATCTCAAAATGATAGCATTAAAAGATACTATTTTCAAACAAATTCATTCTGGGGCGTCTAGCCATGATGTTACTTATTAACTTAATCAACTAGCTCCTCAAGTCTGGATAGAAAGTGTTCTTTAAAATTAAATTCAAATTTCTTAAGAGTTTAACTTTGTTCAAGTAATACCTTTGTAAATGAATAGTGGATTAATGAATAAATTTTATTTTTATTTTTATTTAATTTACTGGGACTCCAAATTCAATACAATATCTATGAGAGCCTCTCTGTCAAATGTATCTTTAAAGACTCCTTTCTCTTTATCTTTTTAAGACATATCATGTTTAATCCTAAAATGGAAGTAAAAAGAGCATATTTATCCAATTTTTTCTAAAATCATGTGGAAGTCATGAACAGAAGTGTCAAAAATTATTTTCATATTATTATGATCTTTAATAGTAATTATGTCATTCTCTAATGTTATGACTTCTTCCTCATATAAAACATTAGACTCCTCTTATACAGCCTCTTCTTCTGCATTATTATTTTCCTTTTTTTTATTATTACTACTTTTAATTTCACTAGCCTTATGCCCGCTTTTAGCTTATGCTATTTATTTTATTAAAAATATTAAATTTTAAATCTTAATCCATTTTTATTATCAAATTTTTTCTCTAATAAAATTTAAAGTGAATATTAATTTTACTAAACTTATGAATTATAATGAAACATAAAAAGATAAAGTTTTACCCTTTGTTACTGTAGCCTATCCACCAACTTTTATGTAATCCTCTTTTGAAGATTTAACACCTTTTGTTAGGTTGAATTCTGTAAGGTTACCATAGTTTGCAATTGATGGGTTGGTTAAGAAAAATCTTTCATCATATAATTTATTTTATGACAATTTTTCTTACTATTAATACAGAGGCATAGAAGCATCAAACTCTGAATATTTTGTATCTGCTTTAATATCTTAAATTCCCTCAATTGATTTACCTGTAATCAATTAAACATAAGCCAAATTCATGTTTTTTTGTAAGCAACGGAAATAATTCATGTAGCTCATAATCTTGATGACTGATTTTCTTGATTTTATAAAAAGTAACTTGAAATACCTTTAGTAGAACTAGTAGAAAATCTCTTCAAACTGCTTTTTGTGAATTGCTATTATTCTATCTTTTAGTACACTTATGTCTTTTTGAATTTTTTGATTAATTAGATTTTCATCGCTGTAAAGCAAGAATTTTAACCAACCATTTATCAAAGTATCTTCATACAAAGCAAAAACTGCATTCTATTCTCTTGTATCAGAATCTTCTGCCTAAAGTATTTAAATTTTATCAATCCATGTTTTGCAACTCCTAATTTTAATGTTATCCTTTCTTTTGTTTTCACTTTCAATCGTTTTCATCAATTCCGAGGCTTAATCTCCAAACTTTTTTTATGCAGCTAAATTGATTTAAAAATATAAAATTTAACAAAAATACAAACAAAATTAATTTATTTAGAAATTTTAACTTCAGAAATAATATTTTTAGAATATTTAAAGAATTTATTTTATTATTACCCATGGTCATAAAGGGAGATTTCAAGTCATAAGGAAAGAATATTAAGTATGTTTCGCTTTATTCGTTGATTACAGTTTCAAATTTTTTATCTATAGCAAATAATAAAAGACAACCATAGTCAATATTAACATCCTCTTTAATACCAAGCTGCTTTGAAAATTCTGCCACGTTTTTTTCAATTGTTGATTTGTCACTTGCAAGCAAATAAGTCCTTCTAACTCCATATAGTTTATTAATTTCTCTTTACATTTCATCTTACTCATAGTTAAAGTTATTTTTTTAGTGCATTTAAATCTACTTTGCAGTTTTCATAGTGTTAATAAATTGAATCTTATATGGTAAATAGTCATTTATTAATCTTATCTTCTTTATTTTTCTAGTACAGTAATGTTGACTAACATAATCATTAAAATATGCTTTAATATGATTCTAGGTTATATAAGGGAAGTTTTTTAAAGCCTTAGCGAAAGTTTTTTCAATTATGATATTTCCTGATGAAACCACTGAGAGCTCAGGAAGATGTTTACGCTCATACTGCTTCGAATTCCTAAAAAATCTTTCAGATTTTAAATTTCTTATAACATCTTCTATTTCAACTTGTGCTTCCTAGCTTTATTTTAATTAGATGCTAATGTTCTTTGAATTTTCAGAATAATCATCCAAATCGCATGCAAATGTCTAAAAATACTATCTCTGTAATTCTTTTTATACAAACTGAATCATTTCTAATCTGTGTTAATACCATTTAACCAGTGCGTCTCTTATTTCGTAGTCTTTATCATTAACCCTTAAAACCTCTTTATACCCATCTTCTAAAACATCAGGATAAGACTTTAAGTTCTTATCAGGAGTATACTTTAATTCATGAGCTAATTTATATAAATGCTAGGATCTTAATAATTCCTATGTACTGAATTTATGGTTGAAAAATGCCTTTTTTGCTCTAAAAATGACTTCTTTAACTTTTTCATCGTTTCCAAAATGATTATTTGCAAACTAAATGTTATCCTTGTATGTTTCACTTGAGCTTTTCAATTATTGCCTCATATTTCTACCTTCCAAGTCTTATTCAAAGAGTTAATTAATAACATTTTCTGATATTTTGTTTGCTTAGAATGTAGGCTAACCTGCTTTATTAGCGTGTGTAGAAGGAGAGCCTAAATCTGACAAATTATTAACCATTTTTTATATAAATAATAATATCTGGCTTAATACTCCTATTTAATGTCCTCCTTATTCCTATACTATATTGTTGCTCTAACTATTTAAAAAATATCTATATCTTTGCTTTTTGAATACAAGTATAATTTTTTCTTTAAAAATTGCATTGGTTTTAAAATAATGCTTAAATCCCTAATAAATATATATTCATAATCAATGCAGAAAATTTAGGTTTCAGTAATTTTTTCTTCAAAAGAAAATAATTAATAATAATCCATCATTTCATAGTTATCTTTTTTGAAATCAATTAAAAACCTTTATAATAAATATATATATATCAGTCATATCAAAAGGAGTTTTCGTTATTATCTTAATATTTAAAAACTAAAATGAATATTTTATTTATCAAAAATAAATGTATTCTGGTTTATAATTTAATAGTTTACATTAAATGAAATAGTAAAATTTAAGGAAATATATTAGTAAATTTAAAAGGTAGATAAATCTGTTAAAAATATTATAAATACTAAATGAAATATTTATCTTTTTAAGTAAATTTATTTTATCATTGATTGTTTATCAAATATTAATTGACATTATTGGTTTTTTCTATTTTTCTCAAAAAGTTCAAAAATGGCTTTAAACAAATATTTATTTTTTAATAATTATTTAAAAAAATTATTAAACTTTTATAACTGACCACCACATTAGTTTTAAATTCTACTGGATTTTATTTAAAAAATTTAAATTTTACAAAAATTTATTTACTTTTTTATAATAAATCATAGAATATTTAACAATTTTATTTTACGTTTGCCAATTATTTTATTTATTGCTAATTATGTATTTATATTTGTATTTTTTCTAGATTATTTTAAAAATGAAATCAATTGAAAAATATTTTTTTTTATAAATTTTAAATAATTTAATTTCTTACTAAAAAAATGAGATAACAAATACTCAAATATAATAAATGAATAAAGTCATAAACATATTTAAAAATGAAAATAAAATTCATTTACTAAACTAACTTAGATTTGAATTTCAAAAACTATTAGTTATATTTTATTTTTGAAATTGAAAACAAATATTTATTTTTCAATCTTTAAATGATTTAAATAAACTCATTTTATAGAATTTTATAAAATATAAAAAAATAAAAGTTTAAATACAAAACAAATATTGAAATATTACTAATTAATTTTAACTAGTACGAAAATTAATAATTTTAAATTGGAAATTTTGTCAATTTTTTATCTCGTGTATCATAAGGATAAACTAATTGATTAATTAAATTTATTGTTTCAGCGATAGACAAATATATATATTGTTAATATTACTAATGAATTATTATTTTTTAAGTAATAATATTTGCTTTTCCCACATTAAAATATTTAATTATTAAACACCTTGCTAAAGTATAAAGTAATAAAATTAATTGCATGAATGAATAAATAAATTATTATAAATTAATCAATGTAATTGTGTTATTATAGTTTTAGATTTAAGTAAATTTATTACTTAGTAAATAATCTAAAATTAAATACCAAATTTGTTTAGATAGTTACAAAATTAAATAAGAATAAATTAACATAGATTAATTTATTAGTCATACATTTTTAGAGTTAGAAATAATTATATTACAGATTAAGATTAAATGTTGAATTTCTATCTATATCACAAAAAAAACTTAACTTGTTAAAATTAAATTGCTTATGATATAAATGGTATCATAGCAATCAATATATAAGACTATTAATTAAGATCAAGTGTGTATTAGAAATATCTTCAAAATAGATAGAATATTGACTTATCAGCAAAAAAATATTAAACAATTCTTAAAATTAAAAAAAAGACAATAGTTTTCCTAAAAGAAGTCAATAGCAAATCAAAAAGTATATCAAAAACTAAGAGTTAATAACAACTTAACTAAAAAAATTAATCATAAAAATTAGCAATTTATTTTTTATGTCAAGTAACAACGAGCATTACAAAGAATAGTATGCAAATGGTTCTTTTAAATTGGACGACTGCATTCTCTAAGATACTGAAGAATTAAATGCTAAAGTTATTAGCACCATTTAAGATGAGAGAGAGAACAAAAGCACTGTTATCCACTCAAATATAGTGAATCCTTAAAGTGAAGAAGAAAAAGCCTAATGTGAATAAGAAGATGAACCATAATAAGAGAAAAAGGGATCTAAATTGGTATTTTTTATTATTTGTTTAAGTAATATTCTTCTGAATATCGATCATGGAGTTGTCCCTGCAGCTACTTAGTAAATCAAAGAGGATTTAAATATTGGTGACTCAGAATTGGGTTTTCTTGGTTCACTAGTTTATTTTGGTATAGTTAGTGCTGGGTTTATTGCTGGTAAAGCTTATATGAAGTTTCCATCTAAATATGTAATGATTGCCACAATTATGTGCATGGTCGGATTGCTATTTTTGTTCACATTTATTGAAGAAATAAATGCTCTTTATTTTGTGAGATTCGTCACAGGGGCTACTTAGGTATTAATAATTGCTTTATTAAATAATACATTATTAACCACATAAAATAGCATTAGGATATGAATAATAAATATAATAGCTAGGATTAGCTATTTTTAACGTTAAAAATAAAAAAAATACATACAAAAACATTGAAACATTTAACATTTTGCAAATATTAATAATTTTATTTGTTAATAATATTAGGTATTCTTGCTGGTCTACTTCCCTGTTTGGGTTGATGTAATTAAGTTATATTCATATAATTAATATATAGATAATAATTCAATATTAGATAATTTATTTTCAACTTATATCTTATTTTTTATTTAATATTTTATTAGCTTTATGGTAGAGATAAAAAGACTATATGGCTTACATTACTTTAAGTTGGCGTCCCTCTTGGTGTTTTCGCTGGTTATGCCATTACTGCAGCTCTTCCTAAGTCAATGGGAGTAAATATTTAATAGAACATATTATATCTTTTCTTTGTAAACAATTGTTTATTTACATCAATTTCTAAAAAATAAAAAGTGGAGATGGGCAATTTACATCCAATGTATTTCAATGGCACCAACTTTGCTTGTGTTTATATTTTGTAAATCCTAGGATATTGAAGTTAATATGTCTAAATACGATAAAGATCCATAGATCGACGAAACTTCATCAGAAGATGATGCTTTGCAAAGTGAAAATAAGCTTTACATCCGTTCTCCTTCTCTCTATGAAATCTTGGTTGAAAATGGAAGTGAAGTAAGAAGAAAGAAAGAAAAAAAATCAAAAGATAAAAAAGATAAGAAGAAAAAGAAAGGATTTTTCTAACTTATGTGCATACTATGGAGATCAAAGGTACAGCTCAAAATTTTGAAATAAAATTTTAATTAAAAATAAATAATAAAAAAAAATTTGATATTCTTAAAAATCACCAATCTTAGTTAACTTGATGTAGGTTTGATTTTAATTGGGTTAACATTTCCAAAAATCAAATAGATAAATATTATCCACTTGTTCAGATTAATAATATTATTAGATATAATTTGATACTTTTTTGTTTTTCATTTAGAGACCAAATTTTATTTTTAATCAATTACTTTTATTATAAGACAGACAAACTAATTTATTAAATAGCAAAATTAACTTAGTATAAATTAAAATCAAAGCTAATTTAAAAATAATATATAATTATATATATATAGATATACGTTGCCGCACTATTAACTATTGCCTTACTTTACTTTGTTGTTACTGGTATATAATTTTGGATGTCTGATTATTTCAGAGAAGTCCTCAAAGCTGATGAAAAATTAGTATTTGGTACATATTCCTTCGTTTCTTTGACCGGACCTACACTAGGAGTTATTTTTGGTAAACAATTAAATAATACAAAATAAATTCCTCCATTAAAAAATTTAATATTTGTCTTCAAAAAAAATATTAATAAAAATCAAGTGTAAACACTTATTTCAATTACAATACATTTACTCACAATTATTAAAATTAAGATAAATTCCCCACATATAAGAAAAAAAAAAATAAAAATTATATGTAAGCAAACAACAATAAAAGAAATTTGTTTTCTTTTAATTATTTAAAATAAGAAATCACATTTTTATTAACATCAATGATTGATTTTTAATTGATATATTTATGAAATCACTGCTTGAATATCCTAATCATCAATTTGTTTAATTTATCAAGATATTATTTACTTATTGAAGACATAAAATATCATAGCAAAAGAAGATTTTACATAAATTTAACAAATATTTTAAAAAATAGGTGGCATCATAACTCAGAAAATAGGAGGATATGATCATTAAAACGCTAAAATAATGTGCATAGTGTTTGCAGTTATATCTGCCAGTGTAGCTTGTCCTATGCCTTTTATAGATGCCTTTTATGCGTCTGCCTCACTTGTTTGGCTCTTATTATTCTTTGGAGGAGCAATGGTACCAGCTTTAACAGGTATTTTGAATAAATTTATATAGCTTTTATTTATTAAATAAATACTTTAATATTACCAAAGGTATGATGCTTAGTGCTATTCAAACAGAGTTAAGAGCATTTGCAAACAGTAATTCATAAACAATATAAAATTTGCTAGGATTCTTACCTGCTCCTAGTTTGTATGGTATTATGAATGATAGAGTAGGGAAAAGAGCTGGTATGTTTATGCTTATGTACTCAACTTTAATTGGAGTTGTGCTTTCCATCTGCGTATATATCTTTTCAGTGCAAGAAAAGAGAAAACAAAAAGCTTTAGTTAGTGTAATTAGTGAAGATGCTATTTAAAATAATGAAAATACAGGAAATGAATAGCTTATTTGATTACTAAAATTACTGAAAATAAATTATTTTTCCACATATTTATTTATTTATGACTAATAATTCAAAATGAGTGTTTTAATCAGCTCATTTAAAGATTAAAAAAATAAAAAATGTTTTATCAATAAAGAATTGTTAATAAATGAAATGAGTTATTTTGTAATTATATATTTTTTTATCATCAATTTCGCATAACAAAGAATGAATTTGATATATTTTAACAAAAGCATTAACAAACAAATCATTTTATTGAATTAAAAATATAATTTGTACAAATATATAATTCATGCAAATTTATTATAATCTTCAACTCAATTATAATAAAACATTGCTAATAATTATTTATATCAATTAGTTTTTATATTTATTGGCATTTTTCCTCTTTAAAATTTGATAATTTTTAACTAAATTGTAATCATTTTCACAAATTAAGCATAAATTTATATATAAATTGCTACTTTATTTTTAAATAAATTTCTTTCAAAACATTACATTATCTTATTGATTATTAAAGTACTTTAAATATGTTTGTAGAATTATTAACTTTATTGATGTACAATTTGATAAAAAAATTAAAAACAAAATCTATCTTTTAATAAAGCATCTCTAAAGTATTTTTATGATTAACTTTTAAATAATAAATTACAAAAAAATTTTTAAAAAAAGTTGTACAATAATTTTTAATTCAAATTTAGATAGAATATTTTTTAAAGAGCGAATTTATTTTAACAAAATTAAATAAAAATAAATGAAAATTTTATTTATTTAAATTTTTAATTTTGTATTTGAATTATTATTTAATAAACTAAACTTCAAGCTGTATTTGTGATCATCTGATCATTTATTTTTGTACTGAAAAATTCACAGCTTTGATTGATTGTCTCACATAATTTTGTTATTGGTTCAGATTTTTTAAATTTCTCATCAACTAAGATTTTATTCAGAATTTCAAGAATTTCTTTTACTTTTAGTTTAGCATAATTAGCATGGTTTTTGATATTGTTCTTCATTTCATGTAAATTGTGAGAATGCATTTTAAGATTCTTTTGGATTTCTCTAAATTGGTTTTCAACTTCGCCTGATTTACCTGCTAATTCATAAGCAAAGCTTTCGAATCCCTATTTTTGTTAAAATGGAACCACATGGTTTTAAATGTTATGGGCTCTGTTGCATGATTCTACAGCAACTTAAACAAGGTCATTCAAATTAGCAATTTAATCTTCACAAAAATTTTTTTCATTAAGCAAATTAAAGTCCATAGAATTATAAAGTTTATTATCTATATTTTCACTGTATTAAAACTAGTCGCATTTAACATCTGTGAACTAGATAAAAAGCTTATTCAAATAAGAGTCAACATTATCAACAATTTCTTCTTATAATTAGAAATAATTTATGATGGTCTCTTTTACTTAATCAGGGAAGGCTTAATATGTATTTTCCTCATCAAACTTAATGATTTTTTAAGAAACTTTTATGTGCCTCTTAATTCTTCTCAGAAGAACCTTCCACCCTTCAAACCATGATAAATATCTAAAATTGAGATTTTGTCTTATCATATCGTGACAAAGACCTTCAATTCGTGAAGCTTCATCTGAAATAATCATAATTTCAGGTATTTAGTCATCGAAAATTTAATAAATGATGTTTTTTAAGTGATGAGCATTATTACCACATCTTATTATTTATTGTTTAATCTTTTATTCTGTCTCTGCGTTCATGATATTAAAAATAATAACAAATTCAGTGATTTTATATATTCTATGAAATTTGAAATTATTCAATAAAACCAAACAATAATAATTGGTAATTTAAACATAAATTTTTACTTGTTTTTTTTGAGGTTATTTATTAATATTTATATTTTTATGATCAGGTTGAATATAAAATATCTATCTAATTCTGAATAGGTCTATTTTAAAGATATATTTGTAGCCTTTATATGTATAAAGAGATAGACAATATATGTTTTTTTGTAGAATTTCTATATATAATATTAAATTAATATTCTTTGTGTTAAATAAATAAAAAAATTTTTAAATAAATATTCCTATTCAAAGTTTTCAATTAGTTAAATAATATAATAAAACCATATTTAATGGCTAAGAATATTTAAAATATAGAAAAATAACAAAGGATTTATATAATATCTATGATACAAGTAGATATGACTTAATACTATATTTTTAAGCTTAAAATTCTAAACTGAAATTATTTTATTATAAATTAGATATTCAAAAGTTTTTCAAAAAATAAAAAATTATTCGAATGAGATAAATAATTAAAACTTAATAAATTTTTTTAATAAATATTAAAAATTTTTATGAAATTATTTATTTTTTAAATAAACAATTCTTCCTTATAAAAAACTAATTGCTTTTACAAAAAGTTTTAAAAGTTTTATGATGTGAAAATAATAAAACTTGTTAATTATTAAAAATAAAGTTAAAATTAATTGAAAAGATGAAATAATTTAAAACATTAAGATGATTAGATTAATTGAAAAGTAACATATAAAAGAGAAATATAAACATTTTCTTAAACCAGATTAATTTTTAATTGATTTTATTTGAAAAATTGTTAAAATTTTTTGTTTGTTTGTTTGATGATTAAATTATTTATTTGTTTGTTTGCTGCTTGAAAAGCTTAAGGTCTCAATTGACACGAGTTAAGAATTCAGATACTTTTTCTACAAATTCAACTGGTTTATCTGCATGAAGCCAGTGACCAGCTCCTTTTATAAAGTAAACATCTCTATCGTAATCTATATTAGGAAAAACATTTCCAAATTCTGTAATCTTTGATTAATTTATATAGTGGCTTCTTGCACCACAGATAACAAATGAAGGTTTTAAAAAGTTTGCATCTTTAATTTCTGTTCCTAAATTTTGCTTATAATAATCACGAATGGCTTTCAGATTAACTCTCCATTTGTATTATCCAGGATTTTCTTCATCTGGAATAACATTCATCATCATAAAACCCTTATTATTTAATGAAAACAAAAAAAATTATAATATTAATATGATTTGCAGCTATGTTATTTTTATTGGTTAAATTATATTTTATAAAAATATCTATTAATTTATTTTAAAGGAATAGTCTTAAGAAAATCTTACAGCAACTTAAGGATTAGGAATAATAGCTCTTACTTCTTTATCTATTTTAGTTCTCTCTTTACCATGAAAATCAATGTCTAAAAGCTTATGAATCATAACCCACATTTCCATTAAGTCAGCTGTACGAGCTTATACAAGATTACCTGGAGCTATATCGCATATAATTGCTGCTTTTACGTAGGGGTCTAGCGAGCTTCCATAATATTACATAGCGCTCATGATAGCTCTTCCACCCATTGAGTGTCCCATCAAAATTGCATTTCTAATATTATTTTATTCTAAGAAATTGACTAAATCGGCGCCCATATCTTGTAAAGACATAGAGTCTGTATGTTCGCTAAGACCATGATTTCTTAAGTCCAACAAATAAGTGTTGGCTTAGTTGCTAATTAAAGGATTTAAAGTCACGCTTCTGAAGTTAGTATGAGATCCAAATAGTCCATGCAAAACTACTAAATTATTGTGAACATCAGGCTTAGGTGACTTCTAATATAAACTAAAAAGCTTTGCAGGTTTTTTTTCAAACAAAGTTTTAGTGACAAGATGTGTACTTGAGTTTTTATATAAGATTTTGTTTGAAAGAGATAAGAGAACTTAGGCTTTTTAAGAAATCATATTGAATAATTGTGAAGTAAGTAATTGATAATTGAAAACAATTTCTATTTAATTTTTAACTTTTTTTTGTTAATTTTTTAATATGCCAAATAATAGAAGTACTTAACTTTTCTGTAATGAGATAATATCTAGAATAATGCGATATTTAATTGAGTAAATTAGAGTATCTTTGCTATAATTTTTTTATTAGCAAACATTAATTTTAATTAGTAAAATTTAAGGTGCCTGTCAGTACAGCAATTAAAAATCAATAGATATTTTATATAATAAGTAGAATAGTAGAATGAATGAAGTTGATTTATAATCTATAGATGATTACAACAACTAATGTGATGAGATATCACAAAAAGTGGATAAACTGATAAAGTATTTAAATGAGTGCAACTCAATAGAGGCTGAGTCATAATAAAATATGATAGAAGTATTAAATTGTATTAAGATTGGATTAGATAGCTATGATTTGTATTCCTTTGCAGATTTTATGGAAGAAGAATAAATTATGGAGCTATTAAATTCCATCAACAACATCTATTTGAAATACAAGGATGTCATAAATGTTGACCTTTAGGAAAAGTTTAGAGAATATAATAGTACTTTAGAGAATCGCCTCCTTTATCTTGATTAGCTCTAGAAAAATAAAAATGCTCATTATTACATTTTAGACAATAATTAAAATAATAATAAAATCGTTTTAGAAAACAATCCATAGCAAGAAGAAGCAGAAATAGCATACAGGCCTGTAAAATTGCAAAAATTACAAGTTTATTAAAATAATACTGTCTAATATTGAAATTATGCATTTCAACTAAATTAAATAAAAAAAAGCAATATATCTTAAAATAATAGAACTAGCTATAAGAAAGAAATCTATATTAACATTTTACTTATTATACTATATTTACAAATATTAATTAATTAAATAGACTATTCTGTATATAATATTAAAAAGTATATTTACTTGCAACAAAAATTATTAAATATCCAAAATTTACAAAAAGAAATATTTTAATTTAAAGTTACAATACTTAATTTTATAAATTATATTCTCATTTATTTAAAAATATATTTTGATTAAAAAAATCTAAATTTTTAATCATAATTTTTTTACTACTTTTTTAAATTTACTGATTCATTAAAAAATGAATGACTTTTATTCTAAATTTAAAATGGGAAACAATTAAATGAATTTAAAATTGTAAAAAATATTTTTTTTTAAATTATCTTTTAAATTTAATATAAATTATATTCGAAACCTATTTAAATTTGACATTTAAATTATAAATAGTTAATCTTAACTTTAATAATTATTTTTAAAAAATGCTATTTTCTATAAATACATTAAATATTAAAGCAAATAAATTTTTAGACATTATTATTTATTAGATTAAATTTTTAGTAATAGTTAATAGCTTGTATGATTAAAAAATAGTAAATTAGAACTGCTTATAAATTACTAATCTTTATATCAAAAAGAATTAAAATTAATTATATGCACAAATTTTATTTTTATGATTTTCGTAATTCAATTATAAATGAGTAGACATATATCTGTTAAATAAATTAATAAATTTTTTACTTTTTACTATTTTTCTATCTAGACATTAAATTTGGGAAAATAAGTGTTTAAAAATAGATATATTTCATCCAGTAATAAAAAAGTAAATTTATATATAAGGATCCAAACCAAAATAAATTATTCGGGTTTGTGCTTTAAATAGTACGAAAATATATTTTTGTAAATGATGAAGTGTATAAATTTTTTCGCTAGCATCATTTTTATATTGAGGTAAATAAAATAAATGGTAAAATCTTTAATGTCTATTTACTGAAATGCAGCTTAACTAAGTGGATTTACAAACTTTTAGTGGAAAACTAGTAGAAGAGCTATATTCTTACATAGATAAGGTTTATAGATCCAAACAAACAAGATGGGGGTTTTTCTAAACAATAACAAGTTAAGTTATTATTAACATTTAATACTAATTTTAGGAAGATTAACAAATTTAGTGATGGGTAATATAGTTAGTACTAAAATTTTAATTAAGTTGAATATTTATAACTTCTAAGACCATTTTATCAGATTTATTTCTTTAAAGTATTTATTTAATTATGCATTTAACATTTTAATCATAGTATAATTAATAAAGCTAATTTTGGTATAAATAAATTTATAAATCTAATATTTCTAATTAAATCAGTAGAACTAATAGAAATTATATGTATCATAAATAAATATGTACCCACCCACACTTAACTTTTACTTAGTTTTTATGCTGTTTGTACTAGAATGCATTATGAAATTATAATCTATTTATATTTTTAGGTTTAAATAATCACGTATCAACCAGCACATTTATAAAATATAAATTATTTAATTTCTTAAACATTTAACAAAACAATATTTATAAATAAAATGAAATAATACATTATTTCTTTGCTTATAGTTTCCTTGGCTATAGCTCAAACTTTTGATGTAAACAATAGTGATTTAAAAATGATTGTTACACTCCATAGACATGGAGCTAGAATCCCCAGTTCTAATGCTTTAAATTTAAAAGACAAAGCACCTAACTCAGGAGAATTGTCAGTTGTTGGTCAAAGATAGCTATTTTATCTTGGTTAGATTTTGAAAAAAGAATACATTGATGGTGCTAAGTTATTGAGTGCTAAGTATGATGCTTCTGAAATCTACTACAGATCTACAGATTTTAATAGGTAAATTAAAAAATAATCAACATTTTTACTTTATACTCATTTATTTTCCTTTCATTATAATTAGAACTATTATGTCTGCTTAATGCCTACTTGCTGGTTTATATCCTGCTTAGTCTGGTGATTAGATTCCAGATGATATCCTTACCAATAGATAGGATTTATTAAATATTAATTTCAAGCTAAGAGATTCTTCCACTGTTCCTCAAATTACAGAAAAATATCCTGTTCAAAACGGTTACTAATCTATTCCTATTCACGTTGTCGAAAGACCAAGAGATAAAATTCTTCTTGGTTATGGTGATACTTGCCCATAAGAAGAAATATGGAATCCTGAAAACTAAAAGAGTGATGAATGGAAAAGAATCACTTAAGAATTCTAACCATAAATTAATAAATTTGCTAAAATTTTTAATTTAGATGTCTCTACTCTTGATTTGTTTACTGTTTACAATTATATGGATATTATTATTGCTTAATAGTATCAAAACATGCCTCTTCCTGCTGATTATACAAACGATGCCTAGCTTTAGGAGGACATGGAAGTTTTATATAATCTCAGAATTCACTTATCTTTATACAAGACTCCTCTCTAAAAAAAGACTACTGTTACTCCATTCTTGAATAACTTAGTTTAAGTTTTAAGTGATAAAGTTTCTAACCCTAAAAATAATTAAAAGGGATATTTCTTATCAGCTCACGACACTACAGTCAATATGGTGCTTTAAGGTTTAAATTTAACAAGCTGGGAGTGTATTGAACAGACATACATGAAGACTTTACCCGCAGGTACTTTTTGCAATTATAAACCTACTAGATATGGTGCTAATTTGATTGTTGAATTAAGATAAGATAAAACTTCTAGCAAAAACTTCATTATGATAAGATATAATGGAGAATACCAAAAGATTTGTGACCAAACTACTTAATATTGTGACTTAGACGAATTTAAAAACCGTGTTGCAAACTTCGTTGTTCCTAATTATGATGAAATTTGTGGTCTAACCAGTACAACCAGTAGTAATGAAAAGTCTGCTTACTCATCATCTAACTATTTAAAGTACTCCATTATTGCTGTTATTATTTCAGCTTTCCTATTGTGATTTTGAAATAGAATACTGTTTCATTTAAAAATTAACTTTAAATATTTTCATTGTTCATAATTTTATATTTTTTGTTTAGCATTTTTCGCATGTTATCTTAAATTTTAAAATAAAAAATGAGTTAACTTTCAAAAACAGTTTTTGTTCTACTTTTTTAATTAGTATCATTTAATTTCGCATCTATTTTTTATTCTATAGATTTTGATTATCTGAATTAACCAATTCATTTTTTATATCTTGTTAAGCCTTTATAGCTCAGCTGGGAGAGCGTAAGACTGAAGATCTTACGGTCCTCGGTTCGATCCCGAGTGAAGGCATTTTTTTCTTTTTTTAAAAAAAATAACTTAGATAGATGCTTAAAAAAATTTTTTTAGCTTTAGTAAAAATAAAATAAAATTTTTAGTCATATTTAAAACATTTTTGTTTAAATTTAGATAATTCTCTCTATTATTTTAAAATACTTTTTATTGTTCAAAATAAATGTCTTAGTAAACTTTTTTTTATTAAATAAGCTTTTACTTTAGTACAATCAGAAAGCTGTTGGTAGAAGAAAAGATTACATCCTTTTATATTATTCTATCCCAATGTATTTTTAAATGATCTTTTGAAATTATAGTCAGTTTTTGTAAGATCTATTATAAATAAAATCAATCTTTCAAATTTATCCTACTTTAGAATATATATATGTAGTATTATTACTTTATTGTTTTTAAGTTTGGCATTGAAGGTTTTTAACTATTTAAAAATAAAATGTTTGTCGTCTTTTATTTTAGATTGATCAATATTTATCTTATTTAAAATATTTAGACCTCTTTACTTAGCATGTTAGAAGCTTAAAATGTTTGGATTTTTATTTACTACTCAGTAATATCTTAAGCCTAAAATGACAAAATTTATTCTTTTATATACATAGTAAAAGAATTATGAATTATTTCTTTTAGGCTCCTTATAAATTATTTATAAATCTGCTTTTTTAATATCTATTAAATTTATAAAAAATTATTAAAAGTGCTGATAGATAAACAGGTAAAAGAAAGAATGAATAAAACTCTTATTTTTGCTTTAATTGGACTTATTTCTTTTGTAGCTTGCGCTAACTACTCTGTTTTAGTTGCTGGTTCTAAGGGTTACGAAAACTACAGACATTAAGCAGATGTGTGTCATGCATACCATACTCTTGTTAAGAAGGGTTTTGCACCTGAAAACATTATTGTTTTCCTTTACAACGATGTTGCTTTTGATAAATCAAACCCTTTCAAAGGAAAACTTTTTAACAAGCCTCTTGGTGATGACGTCTATGAAGGATGTAAAATCGATTACTAAGGTGAAGATGTTACCCCTAAAAATTATATGAGCGTTCTCACAGGTAAAAAGTCCGACGTTGCTAATATAGGAACTGGAAGAGTTCTTGAATCAACTGAAAACGATAATGTAAGCACTTATTTTGAATTTTATAATTAAATTTAGAACATATATAAACCTATAAAGTTAGGAAAATTTTTAATTAAATATATGAATTTCCATTTATTGTTTAAACTATTTGAAATTAAAAAAGTATATTTATTTTACTTAATTATAAATCAGGTTTTCCTTTATTTCTCAGATCACGGAGCTCCAGGTATTATTGGTTTCCCTAGTACTTACATGTATGCTAATGAATTAATTTCCACTTTCTAAATTATGAAAAATCAAAAAATGTATAACAAAATTGTTTATTACTTGGAAACATGTGAATCAGGATCTATGTTTGTAAACCTTCCTACTGATCTTAATATTTATGCTGTCTCTGCTGCCAGTCCTTCCTAATCATCATATGCTGCTTATTGGTAAATTAAATATTAATTTATTAACAATAAAAATTAAAAATTAATTAAAATAAAAGTGGTATTAAGGCTTTTGTCAAGGGTAAATTAATTGGATCTTGTTTGGGAGATCTTTTCAGTGTTAATTGGATGGAATAAGTTGATTCAGAAAAAGATATTGATAATCTCACTTTATAACAACAATTTGATACTGTTTCTAAAAAAACAAAATTATCTTAAGTTATGTAATGGGGTGATCTCTCTTTCACTAGTGAGCCTGTCTCTGACTTTTTAACTAGCAGTTAAAAATCTTTGAAGACCTCTTTAATGAGTTTCTTTAATTTCAGCTCTCCCTCTATGAGAAAGATAAAAGATGAAAGTATTCTTGAACACGAAGAAGAAGACGGTATCCATAATCATGATAGCTTAGTTAATAACAGAAAAGCTAAAATTAGCACTTTACTCCATTTATACATCACCTCACCTTCTACATAAAACTTTGAAAAGTTGAACTTGGAACTACACGGTGACCAAAAATTCTAAAACTACTTTGATTAAATTTAAACTAGATTTGGCTTATAAAATGTTGTATTAGAGTCAGCTGGCTCCTAATCTGAAACCAACTTTACTTGCTACAAAAAATTAGTTGAAACTTTTGAAGCTAAGTGTGGCAAAACTCCAGAATCATAACTCAGTAGTTTAACTTATTTCTACTAATTCTGCTAAAGAATGTATAAGAAAGAACCTAACTATGATGAAATGCTTGAAAATATTTGTTGAAAAAATAATCAAAAATGTATATTTTTCTATGATATATTGTGTAAATATAATAAAAAATTTAATAAATTATAAAAAATAAAAATATTTGTTGAAAACAAAAATATTATTTTTTATTTTATGTTTATTCTATTTAATACAAAGTAAAAATCATAAAAAACTAAATAACATTTTAATTTAAATACGTTATAATATTCTTTAATCAACCTAAATTTTCTTATTAATATCTTAAATTATGAAGATTGAAAATTTAAATTTATTTAGACAAATTAATTAATTTGAATAGACAAAATAGGTTTTGAAATGATATAATTGATATTTTCCTGATAAAATATAATTAAATATTTTCATCCTCGTTTTTTTAGATAAGTGAATATTAACTATATTTTGATCTAATTCATTTGAATTTTATTACAGTGGGTTGGATAAATTAATTAATTTTGATGATGCCTTATTTTGGTAATTTAAATTTTTTTGATAGATTGAACTTTTTTGATCACATTAGATAGGTTATATTTCTTATCATTTAGTATTTATTCTAAATTATGTTATAATGGTTTCTGCCCAATAGACAGAAAACTTCTGTTCACTAAAATATTAAGATAAAATGACATTTAAATATGTTTGAAGGGCTTCGCAACCACAATTATTATCTGAGTATTTATATCTATTTTTATTATTTTAGAAATTCAATTATTCCTTTTGGAAATAAAAATAATCTTTCTTTTTGAGAGCTATTTTCAGAAAAAGTGTATCAGAAGTATAAATGTTTTTAAGAATAAATTATTTAAAAATGCATTTGAACTGATCAAAAATTTAATTAATATTGCTCTTTTATAAGCTAATTATAAAAAAGTAAGATTTATTAATATTGATGTCTGAAAGAACACTTTCTGAATTCATTCATTTACTTTATATTTCAAAAAAATAAAAGATTTGTTAAAAGCTAATAAGTAACTAATCTTTAGTATCTTTTTTATTTGTAAAAGAATTTATACTGAATAAATTTGGATATTTAATATTTGTGATTAAGGAATAACATGAACCTTTTTATAAAACTAAACAATGTAATGAGCTCAATTTCTAAAATATAAAAAAATGGTAATAATTATGTTTAATACTAATAATCTAAAGCTAACCCATATTTTAAAGGTGTAAAAGCTTTGGTTCTAGTCCAATTACAGAATTACATGAATATTTAAATTATAAGAAATTTTTAGTTAAGCTCTATGAGCGATAAATTAATTCTTTTATTTTAAATATAAAAGAATTTAATGCTCCTATCAAAGAATACACTTTATATGAAGGAAAGACACATTTCTTAATTTTAAAACCTATTCAGCATATAGCTATGTATCAAATAATTAATAAATAAATCAATTAAATTCTTAAATTAAAAAAGATGAATAAAACTCTTATTTTCGTTTTACTTGGGCTTGTTTCCTTTGTTGCTTGTGCAAATTACTCAGTTTTAGTAGCTGGTTCTAAGGGCTATGAAAACTACAGACATCAAGCTGATGTTTGCCACGCTTACCAATCTTTATTGAAAAAGGGTTTCCAACCTGAAAATATTATCGTATTCCTTTACAACGACGTTGCCAACAATAAATAAAACCCTTTTAAGGGTAAACTCTTTAACTAACCCAACGGTTAAGATGTTTATGCTGGCTGCAAGATCGATTACTAAGGTAATGATGTCACCCCTAAAAACTATATGAGTGTCCTCACTGGTGATAAGTAGGCTGTTGCTAAGATCGGTACTGGAAGAGTCCTTGAATCCACTTCAAGTGATAATGTAAATTTTTAATTCATAGAAATAATTTGTTTGTTTACTTTGTGTTTTAAATATGAATAAAATTTTTTTCTAAGTTAAAATTAATAAATTAATATAAAGGTTTTCCTTTACTTCGCTGATCACGGTGCTCCAGGATTCGTAGCTTTCCCTACCCAAAAATTCTATGCTAATGACTTGATTAGTACCTTCTAAAAGATGCACAGCAAGAACATGTACAATAAGCTTGTTTACTACTTAGAAGCTTGTGAATCTGGATCCATGTTCGTTAATCTTCCTACAAACCTTAACATCTATGCTTTGTCTGCTGCTAATCCTACTGAAAGTTCATATGCTGCTTACTGGTAAATATATTTTAAAATTTATTTCATACTCTAATTATCGTTTATTTATATAAAGTGGTTCATAAGCCAAGGTTGATGGCAAAAATATCGGATCTTGTTTGGGTGATCTTTTCAGTGTTAATTTCATTGAAGAAATTGATGCTACTTCTGACCTTTCAGCTCTTACTTTACAATAACAATTCGAATATGTTGCTTAAAAGACCACTATGTCTTAAGTTATGCAATGGGGTGATCTTTCTTATGTCAGTGAACCTGTCGCCGATTTCTTATCTGCTAAATCTTCTGCTTCTTAATCCTTGAAGTCTGCCTTATTAGGTTTGTTCAACTTCTCATCTCGTCCCTCCATGAGAAGAATTAACCAAACCGAAGAAGAAGAAGATAACGATATCCATTCTCATGAAAGCTTTGTTGATGCTAGAAAGGCCAAGATTTCTACTTTCCTCCATTAATATATTCACACTCCCTCTGCTGAAAACTTCGAAATGTTAAATGTCGAATTACACAATGACCAAAAGTTCTAAACCTTCTTTGATACCATTAAAATGAAAAAGGGTGATATCGTTTCAAATGATGTTTATGCAACCACTGATTTCGCTTGCTATAAGAATTTAATTGAAGCCTTTGAAAATAAGTGTGGTGAAGTCCCTGAATCATAATACTCTGGTTTCAGACATTTATATGATATTTGCGGAAGAGCTTACTTCGCTGCTGTTGATGCCAACGAATTACTTAACAACGTCTGTTGATAAAAATATTGAAAATAATTTTTTATAAATTTAAAGTAATTATATAAAACTAACTTCATATTATTAAAATATTGAAAACAAACATACATACATTTTTAATAAATTTTTCTATTCAAAATATCTTTTTTTGTAAAAAATATTTCAATTAAACTCAAAACTTATTTAGTGGGAGAGATCGATCCCAATCATATTAATAAAAATTGTGGTTAATTCATTAATAAAGTAATAAATTTCTATTTCTTTACCATAAAATTAAATCAAATTTAGATCTGTTACAGTATAAAGATATATAAATACATTTCAAATATTTTTTTTAATTTTGTTTAAATTAATAAAAATCTAAGAAAATACTTTTTTTAAATTTTATTTCTATTTTAGTTAAAATTTTCAATGATTTATGCTTATTTAATGATGAATCAGTCTTTTGTAAACTCCTTCTTTTAATAAAAGCTATTCATGGTTTCCTTATTCTTTGATTTACCCATTTTCCATAACAAATATTATATCACTCTTTACTATAGTGCTCAATCGATGAGCTATTTAGATTATTGTTATCCCTCTATAACCCAATAGTTTATCAATATAAGTTTGTACCAAGTTCTCACTTTCTGAATCAAGAGAGCTGGTAGCTTCATCTAAGATCAAAATACTTGGTTTTTTCATTAATGCTCTTGCAATTGCTATCCTCTGTTTTTATCCCCCACTTAACTTTATTCCTTTAGAACCAACTAGAGTTTTTAATCCTTAAGGAAACCTATTTTTATCATAAACAAATTCACTTACTCCAGAAACATCACAAACTTATTTGAGCTCTTCTTGAGTATATTTACCATCAATACATCCATAAACTATATTATATTCTATATCATTATCAAATAAAGAAGGCTCTTAGCTCACTAACCCAATGCTTCTCCTTAAATCTTTAAGTCCTATGTCTTTGATATTCTAATTATCTAAAATTATAGAGCCTTCTTAAATATCATAATACCTTTCAATTAATTTAATGATAGTTGATTTCCCACTTCCACTCATTCCAACAAATGCTACTAATTAACCTTATTTAATTTCAAAGCTTACATTTTACAAAACATTTCTCCTTTCATAATTATTCTATCTTTCACAACTAGATAGATTATTTGTGGATTGGAGTTCTTCAATTCCTTGAGCCTAAGAGTCTTCTTATTATTAAGTATTCTGATCTAATTGAATTTATTCTAAGGAATCATCTTCATTTTATTCATCAATTTAGTTTTAATTAAAAAGTAAATCTTCACTTTGAGGGTACATAAACTTTACATTTTCAAACTTAATACTTCCCTTTAAATATTTGACAGGCTTTTCTGTCATAAAATAATCTTTTATTTAGGACTCTGTTTCAAAGAGTTTGATTACCTTTCCAATATATTTATACTTTTTATGGTAATATTTAGCTGGTTTCTTTACAAATAACTTAGAAATATCTTTACAAAATAAAATTACGCTAAATGTATATGCTATAATCTCAGAAAGGCTGTTTAAAACTATTTTTTTAGTTTAAGGATTGTCAATACCAGAAATAAGCAAGAATAGTATAATAGATATTTTCAAGCAGTCATGAGTGAAATTCCCAACAATCGTTTTAATCTATTTATAATATTCTGTTTCCTGCTAATATTTGCAGTTTTCCTGAATAATTTTGTTTAAGTTTTCTGTTTCTTTCTTCTCTTAGTTAAATATCTTGATTAGATGAATGTTAGTTATTATGTCATCAAGAGCGAAGTTTTTATACTCACTTTAAAAATCTGAATTCTTTTCAGCCAATTATTTTTTAGCATTAATTTTATAATTTATAAAAGCACTGGCTAAGGATAAAAGTGAAAGTAAAACTAACAAAAGAGGACTTTGTAAATAGATAAATATTATTTGACTGATAATTTCTGTATAATCATTAAGCTTTTGAGAAATTTTTCCATAAGAAATTTATTCTGATATTTAATTAGCTCCTTCTTATACTACATTAGATAAATAAGTAACTTTGTTTTCCTCAAAGAATTAAATATCTAAGCTAAATAAGTGTTCAAGTATAGATTTTTGTATTTGTTGCTTTACTTCTTAATGAGTATTCCAATAATATTTTAGCTAAATAAATTCAAGAATTTATACAATAGCTTAGCATAGTAGATAATATAAAATCAAATACTTCACTTGACTATGATTTTATTCTTAAAGAGCATATTTCATATCTATTAAAATGAATGGATCTTAAGCATAAATTAATGAGCATATGAACCAATTTGAATTGATGCATACAAATTATATCCAGTTAATTTTTATGAATTTAAAATAAAATCTCCATATCTTAAGTTAAGATGGGAGGTTTTCAGTTTATTTGCTTATTGCCATTTATGATTTTATATTTATTATTATATATTATTTATTTTATATTAAATATCTTAGAGTATTTATAGTTTAGTTTTGGATATTACTATTTTAAAGATAGACTAAGAGATTAAGGATGCTTTATACATATTTATCTATTTTTATCATCACCTGTTAATTAAAATTTAGAATCAATCTGATAAGGTAGTTTTTTGCTTATTTGTTTTTAAATACTTTCAGATTATAACAGTTGAAAGAATTATATACTGAAATTAAATAAATTTAAATTAATTTAAAAATGCTTTTAGATTTTTTTTCTTAAATTTGATTATAAAATTAATTAAATGATGTATAAAAATTTATCTTCTGTAATTAATCTACTGAATAACTAAATCAAATAATCTCAAAATTTTAAATATCAATTTTTGAAAAAGATATTAAATAACTTTTTTCAATTATTTTGGTATTTCTAGCTAAATAAAATAAATTTGTATAATAAATATGTTTATAAATACAATAATTATGTTTTTCGAAATTATTTTGCTTTTCAAATTTTATAATTTTTATTTATGTCTATAGACAGACAAAATCTTTTAAAATAAAAAAAATATTTTTAATTTAATAAAAATTTTTATTATGAATAAATAATTTAAATATTTCTATTTTAAATTAAACCATATTTAAAACTATGTTAAAAAATGAGACAAAATATTAATAAAATTTTATAAAAATACAGATAATTCAATCAATATTACAAAAATAATTTTTGCAATAATTTTCATTATTTCTATTTTTTAATCTAATATTAGGGTATTTTAATAGTCCTATTTACAACTTCTTGGTCATTGTCTTCTGTTGGAATTTATTGTCCTTGTGAAGGTAAAGTAAATTATGGTTTTTCTTCAAGCATTTCTAATTCACTTCTAGGACTAAAGAAAATATTTTGTTATGGACTACTATTACTGTCAGCTTAATTATTGATACTTTAAGTATTCTTTATTTAATTTGTAGAATTTATTTAGTTTTCTAAACAATTTTTATTTATTTATTCTATAGATGGCTGAATAAGTGGTTAAAGATTGAGTGTGCTAGAATAATTTTTTTCTTACTACTCTTGGTAATTAAATATGCTCAAAAGTTATGGGTCTAAATGTCTAAGTATTTTTTAGTCCATTAATGTTTTTATATCTCTATTTTGAATGTTTTAGTAAGATTAGTAAGCATCTTAAGCTTTTTATATTTCACTTCTATTATCTTAGTATAAAATATTATATTTTTGTTATTATTTCTAATAAAGCTGATCCTTATTCAGCTAGGAAAAAACTTCTTCATCTGTGATTACAGGTTTAGAAATATACTCAAATAACTATATCTAATCCTTATCCATAACAAGCTCTTTTAGCTTATCGACTTCTAATAATTTTTTTATCACATACATCAAATCCAAGTGATAATACAGCTTTTTGACGCTATAATCTATGATTTTTTTCTTCCTTTTTATTCCTCCAAATGGCCAAAAGAAATACTTTAAGTATTCAATAACACTTAAACTCATGTCACTTCTTTCTTTTTTCAATAATTTTTTAAATTCTTCATCAGAAAGAGATTTATTTTATTTTAGCTTTTTTTCTTTGTTCTAACTCTCTTCAATTAAGTTTTAAGATTAGTTTTCCATTTAACTCTATTTTTAACTATTAGTCATGGAAACAAATTTTTTCTTTATAATCTGGCTTAAAATTTTTATACTGCTTTGTGTTTAAGTGTTAGCTTGCGCAGAAATAGTTTGCTCTTAATCATAATTTTTATGTTCTAAAAGTAATTGCTATTGAGGTTGTGTAGAGATTTGGGTTATATTTTCAATTTAATTAAAGTTAACTTATTTTGCCTTTTTTTAGATCTTTACAGGCGACTATATATTTACAAAAGATTCTAATTGAGTGTTTTATTGATGCTGTATTTATTTTTTTTAATTAATTTCTTGATTAATTTTAAGATTTTGTCCCAACTTTTAGTTCTAACTGGTATTATTATTACTTTATCCAACACTCATTTTTGGTTACTAAAAGTTATTAATTACTTTATTTTGATGATTCATGTTTTTTATCTTAAAATCAAAAGCCTCGTTTATAATTGATTCGTTCAACATAATTTCAGAGAGAGTTGAGCATATTATGAAACCAATTGCTAAAATAGATTGAGCAAATCCACCTATTTCAGATACAACATTTGTGAGGTTTTTATAGTTTCTTGAGTAAATATTTTCTTTTTGTTTTTAGAATCTTAGATTAAGCAAAAAAAAGTAATCTACATCTGATGTGTACTAAGTTATTTAAAAATAATTATTAATAAATCATTACAATTTTTTATCAATTTAAATTAATAGAAACAAAATTTAAAAAAATTATTATCTATGGTTTATGTTTTATCCTTAATCTAATAGATATTTAATTGATCAAGTATAAAATATTATTTTGTTAAAAGTAAAAATAAAAGATCAGTACAGAAATATCTTAATCACTATAGCTTGGATATTTTAAAGTTTAAATATCCGAAGTAACCCAACCGTAATCGCTCTAAACATAGTTGTTAACAAAGTACATGTCAACTTCTTTAGGAGTTGAAGAAGAAGATGTCCAAAATAAATCTCTGTTAAAGTATTCAAAAGGCTAGTCTTTGTTTTGGGGGTTTACAATTATATCCTAAAAATAAATTGCAAAATAACCTCTTCCCAGTTTTTTTGTATCACCACAACCCTAACCAGTACAAGGATGAAGTTTTATTTAAAACTAAGAGAAATTCTACTATGTATAATCACCTTCTATAATCACTTATTATGGGTCTATACAAAATAATTACTAGTATGGCAAATCTAAGAATCCTTATTTTGTTGTAGGATTCTTAAAGCTATCCTAGGTACATCTTGATACTTTGACATCAGTGACTTTAATTGTATATTAAGTTTGTCCTTTTTCATCAACATAAGAAACTTTTGTATTCTATTATGCAGTTGCTGTATAAATTGTGGGGTCTATATAATGATCCAAGTTATCTCCACCTTATAATCCAAACGCAAAGGGTAAAGAGTAGCTATCCATCACAAATTTTTCTGGGGAGCTGACCTATCTTTATTGCTAAATTACAACAGGATTACTTCTCTAATAAATATCGTGGAGTAAGATTGCTAAACGAAGGATAATTATTGCTACTATACCTATAGTGAATAAAATACCAAGAGAAGTGCTATAGGATTTTTATCCTTAAAATCTGAATTTTATTTAACTTCCAAACAAATCTAATCTTTTCATTTTATATTGTTATATTTATATAAGTAATACTTGTCAAAAGTTTGCACTAATTATATTTTTAATCAATTTTTATTTTATAATACTTTTTCAAATATATAATCCCAAGTATTAAATTTAATGATTGACAAAAAAACTTAAATCGCATATTAGCTAACAAATTGCAAGAATCACATGAATAAATTTATAGCCAGCCATGAATTTAATAAAAAATTATTTAAATATACGTTTGTAAATAAAAATATAAATTTTAGTTAATTTGAAAACAAAGTTGTCATTATATGAAATAAACGTAACATTATATCTCTTACATATTTATTTTTTATTTTAAGTAAGCTCCCAAACAATAATAATAAAAGTTTATTTTTTATTGTAATTACTTTCTTAAAATTACATTATTTTGTTCTATTTATTTATTTATCTATCTATCTTTTACTTTATTGGTGTTAAATTAATTAATTGCTCATTCTAAATTAAATTACGAAATTTTATTTGTAGACAAAGTTTTTTGAATCTAAAATGTAGAAAAAGGTAATGTTAAAAGTGCATATTTGAATGTATATAGAGACAAATTTTATTATTAATGAGGAAAGTTTTTAAAAAATTTTCTAGTTTATTAAAGCTAAATATGTGAATTTAGAAATGAAATTTGATAAAATAAATAAGCATTAAAAATTTGCCTTTTTCAGCAACATATATTACTATAAATTATAAAAAAATAATAGTATTTTATATAAATAAGGAATATTTAATTTGAAATACTTTTACAAAAATAAGCTGATTTGAGATTGGATGATGGTTTAAAATTTACACTTGACCTATAAATTATTTTCTATTTATCAAATTAATCAAATTTATTATTTTTTTACCTTTAATTAAATAATATTGGTAAAGTAAAATTTTAACTTTTTAAATATTTATGAAATTAAGACATTGCTAAAATTATAAAAATGATTCGTTTTATTTACAAATTCATAAAAAAGAATTCATTTAACATTATTTGATTTATTTATTTTAGTTATTTTAGTTATTATTATACATATATTTTTTACTTTATTACTGATATATATGAATACAAAATAATTTAAAAAATAAGTATCATTCATAAGTTAATTAAAGTCATTTAATTTAATAAACTCCTTATAAAGATTCACTCAAATAATAAATCTTCTTTTAAAGTGAAAAAATATAATTTAGGATAAAGGAGATTATAAAAAAAGCTATTTTAAAACAAAAAATTTAATAATGATAACAACGTTTTATTTAGAATTAATTATCACATTTATTTTTATTTGAAAACAATCATTTTTTATATTTTTTTCTCTTTTATGTTTAAATTATTCGAATATTGTTTACTAATAATTCAAATAAAGCAATTAAAACAACAAGTAAATTTATCAAAAACATTTTTTAATAGTTAAATTTATTTGTGATTTAGATATTTTTTAGCTTAAGTATTTTTAATATTTTTAATTAAAAATAAAAAGCAGAATAAATGGAGTAATAACACCTATACAAAATAAGTAATAAATACAATAGAATACCCAGTAAATCGCAAAGTTTGGGAGCTATTTTTTAATATTTACTATTTTTAAAATATCTCTATTTTCATAAATTATAAAATATTTAAGGATATGATAAAAAAAGAGATAAAGTAGTAGATATAAAATTATAAGTAAAATTTATAAAAATATAAAAGATTCAATAAATATTACAAAAAAATTTTTGTATTAATTTTCATTATTTCTATTTTTTAATCTAATTTTAGGGTATGTTAATAGTCCTATTTACAGCATCTTGATTATTTTCTTCAGTTGGAATTTGTTGTTCTTCTTCAGAAGATGAAGTAAATTGTTATTTTTCTTCAAGAATTTCTAATTCACTTCTAGGACTAAAGAAAATATTTTGTTATGGACCACTAATACTATCAGCTTAATTATTGATATTTTAAGTATTTTTTAATTAATTTGTAGAATTTATTTAATTTTCTAAACAATTTTGATTAATTTATCCTATAGATGGCTGAATAAGTGGTTAAAGATTGAGTGCGCTAGAATTATTTTATTATTACAACTCTTGGTAATTAAATATACCCAAAAGTTATGGATCTAAATGTCTCAGTATTTTTTAGTCCATTAATGTTTTTTTATCTCTATTTTGAATGTTTTAGTAAGATAAGTAAGCATCTTAAGCTTTTTATATTTCACTTCTATTATCTTAATATAAAATGTTATATTTTTGTTATTACTTCTAATAAAGCTGATCCTTATTCAGCTAGGAAAAAACTTCTTCATCTGTGATTACAGGTTTAGAAATATACTCAAATAACTATATTTAATCCTTATCCATAACAAGCTCCTTTAGCTTATCGACTTCTAATAATTTTTTTATCACATACATCAAATCCAAGTGATAATACAGCTTTTGGACACTATAATCTATGATTTGTTTCTTCTTTTTAATTTCTCCAAATGGCCAAAAGAAATACTTTAAGTACTCAACAACACTCAAACTCATATCACTTCTTTCTTTATTCAATAATTTTTTAAACTCTTCATCAGAAAGAGATTTATTTTATTTTAGTTTTTTTTCTTTGTTCTAACTCTCTTCAATTAAGTTTTAAGATTAGTTTTCCAATTTACTTTATTTTTAACTATTAGTTATAGAAGCAAATTTTTTCTTTACAATCTAGCTTAAAATTTTTATGCTGCTTTGTGTTTAAGTGTTAGAAATAGTATGCTCTTGATCATAAGTTTTCTGTTCTAAAGTTATTTGTTATTGAGGCTGTGTTGGGATTTGGTTTATATTTTCAATTTAATTAAAGTTAACTTATTTTGCCTTTTTTTAGATCTTTACAGGTGACTATATATTTACAAAAGATTCTAATTGAATGTTTTTTTGTTGCTATATTTATTTTTTTTAATTAATTTCTTGATTAATGTTAACATTTTGTCCCAACTTTTAGTTCAAACTGGTATTATCATTACTTTATCCAACACTTATTTTAGGTTACTGCAAGTTACTAATTTCATTATTTTGAGGATTCATGTTTTTTATCTTAAAATCAAAAGCTTCGTTAATAATTGATTTGTTCAACATAATTTCAGAGAGAGTTGAGCATATTATGAAACCAATTGCTAAAATAGATTGAGCAAATCCACCTATTTCAGATACAACATTTGTGAGGTTTTTATAGTTTCTTGAGTAAATATTTTCTTTTTATTTTTAGAATCTTAGATTAAGCATAAAAAAGTAATCTACATCTGATGTGTACTAAGTTATTTAAAAATAATTATTAGTATATCATTAAAATATATATTTTAATTAAAAAATTAATATTTTAAATATTTTATCAATTTAAAATTGATAGAAACATAATTTTAAAAATTATAAAATATGGTTTAATTTTTATCCACAAATTAATAAATATTTATTAGATCAAGTATAAAATAGTTAAAAATATTATTTTGCTAAAAGTAAAAATAAAAGATAGGTACTGAATTATCCTATTCGCTATAGCTTGGATATCTTAAAGTTTAAATATCTGAAGTAACCCAACCGTAATCGCTCTAAACATAGTTGTTAACAAAGTACATGTCAACTTCTTTAGGAGTTGAAGAAGAAGATGTCCAAAATAAATCTCTGTTAAAGTATTCAAAAGGTTAGTCTTTGTTTTTGGGATTAACAATTACATCCTAAAAATAAATTGCAAAATAACCTCTTCCAAGTTTTTTTGTATCTCCGCAACCCTAACCAGTACAAGGGTGAAGTTTTATTTAGAACTAAGAGAAATTCTATTGTGTATAATCACCTTCTATAACCACCTATTATGGGTCTATACAAAATAATTACTAGTATGGCAAATCTAAGAATCCTTATTTTGTTGCAGGATTCTTAAAGCTATCCTATGTACATATTGATACATTTACATCAGTGACTTGAATTGTATATTAAGTTTGTCCATTTTCATCAACGTAAGGAACTTTTGTATTCTATTATGCAGTAACTGTATAAATAGTGGGATCTATATAATGATCCAAGTTATCGCCACCTTATAGTCCAAACGCAAAGGGTAAAGAGTATCTATCCATCACAAATTTTTCTGGTGAGCTGACCTATCTTTATTGCTAAATTACGACAGGATTGTTTCTCTAATAAATATCGTTGAGCAAGATGACTAAGCGAAGAATAATTATTGTTGCTATGCCTACAGTGAATAAAACACCAAGAGAAGTGTTGAAGGATTTTTCTCCTTGAAATCTGAATTGTATTTAACTTCCAAACAAATCTAATCTTTTCATTTTATACTTTTTTACTTATAGAAGTAATTCTAATAAAGAAGTTTGTGCTAATTAATTTTCTTTTTAATCAAGTATTTTATTTCACACATTACTTATTTAAATATCTAATCCCTAAATATTAAATTTACTGATTGAAAAAAAACTAAAATTGACTAATAACATCTTGCTTGAATCAAATGAATTTATTTTTAATCATGAATTTTATAAAAAAGCATTTAAATACTCTTATGTAAATTAAAAATATAAATTTTACTCCATTTAAGAAACAGCGCTGAATAAAGATGAAGTAAATGTAACAAGTATATCTCTTTCATATTTAATTATAAATGACATAATTATTTGTTAAAAAAATAGATTTAACTCTATTTTGAATTCATTAAGTATGATATCTCAAAATAATAATAAAAGTATATTTTTTATTGTAATCACTTACAAGAAATTAATTATATCCTTTTTGTTCGTTCTATTTATTTATCTAATTTATGTGATGTTAAATCAGTTCATTGCTTATTATAAATTAAAGTACTAAATTTTAAATGCAAACAAAATTTTTTTGAATCAAAAATAAAGAAAAAGGAAATATTAATAATGTAAACATATTTTAAAGTAAATAGAAACAAATTTTTTTTCTTTTTGAGAAAAGTTCTGAAAAAGTTTTCAAGCTTATTAAAATCAAATAAGCGAATTTAAAAATGAAATCTAATTTTTATTTATTAAAAGCATGAAAATTTTTCTTTTTTTAGAAATATATTTAAATAGATTATGATACCATAATAGTATTTTATTCAAATAATGAGTATTTATTGAAATATTTTAACAAAAATAAGCTTATTTGAGAATGTATGATGGTTTACAATTTATACTAGATCTATCAATTATTTTCTATTTATTCAAGTAATTTAATTTATTAATATTTTAATTTCGCAATTATAAGTTTTTTAAATATCAATTAAAATGCGTCACTATGAAAATTAAAAAAATGATTTATTTTTATATAAAAATTTATAATAATAAATTCATTTAACCACATTTGATTCTTTTATTTTTAGTTACTATTTTAAATAATTTTTTATACTTCTTTTTATTGATATTTTTATGACAAAAAAATAAAATGGCATTCCTAATTTAATTAAAGTTGTTAAATATTTTGAATTATTTTAAAAAGATTTTCTAAAATAGCAAAGCTTCTTTTAAAAAGAAGAAATATAATTAAGGGATAAGGAGATTATAAATTGTAGCTATTTTATTATTAAAATCTCTTTTTGATTGATAATTGTATTTCATTTTGATTTAATTATCATATTTTTTTTTGAAAACCATTATTTAAAAGTAGTAAAATCTTTTTGTGTTTAAAATTTAATATTATTAATCTAAATATTGTTTACTTATAACTTAAATAAAGTATCTTAAGCAACAAGTAAATTTAGTATCTTATTTTTTTAATTATTAAATTTGTTTGTGATTTTATAAATTTTTAACCTAAATATCTTTATATTTTTCTAAAAATAAAATGCTAAATAGATGGAATAATAACACTCATATTAAATAAGTATTTATAAATAATTTTTTTAGATTTAATAGTTAAGCATCTATTACCTATTAATTATGTTTGTGAGCATTATTATTCAAAAAATTTAAAATTAACTATCTAACAAACTAAAACTGAATTTTTACTCTAAACAAAGTTAAAAAAAATTATAAACAGTACAATTAAAATCAATTATTAGTAGAAGTACAAAAATTTAAATATAAATAAATTAACCCATTAATATTCAACCAAAATTTGGCTAATATGTGTAGAAAAATCAAATTTATAATTTTGAATTACTAATATTTACTTCTAAATTAAATAAAATAATTTTTTTTTACATTTAAGAGTAAATAAAACAAATAATTCAAATTTAATTAAAAAAAAAATTTAAATTAATTTTCTCTAGTTTCTTAATTTAAGTAAATCATTAAAATGTCTACTAAATAGCTTTATATCTTTAAAAATGTCTTTCAGTTTATAATTTTCCTTGACTAATCAGAGTGTTGTTTACTATTTATTTATTTACAAAAATAGATGTTAATGAATAAAATACTAAGCCTTATATTAAAGAGTCCTTATCAGTAAATTTTATTTTCAAAAAATAAATCTATTTATCATATCTTTATATGTATGTAGTATATTTATTATCTATCTATCAATAATATAATTTAATTTAATTTTCAATATAAAATATAGTAAAAACAAAATTAATAAACTTACTAATAATTTTGTTAAATAAAATTACTTTGTGTTTATTTATAATCATAAATATATATATAATAGGATGTTTAAGTATATGCATTTAATATTTTTATATTGCAATTCAATTTCAAATATAGTAAAATACTAAAAATATAATAAAATTTTTTAAAAAATTGTAAATCATTAGTAATTAAAACAGTTTGTATTATTATTATTATTTGTTTGATGATTAGACTTATTTTTAAAAAAACATTCTTTTAGTTTAAATTATTTTTAATATTATTATATTTACTTGTTTTTGATGGTTTAAATTTATTTGAGTAGATAAATTCTACTAATATTATAATCTTACTTAAATATGTTAAAAAATAAAGAATGCAATCTTAAATCTTTTGAAATTAATATTAAAAGACAATTTATTTTTAATTGGTCAAAATTCAAAGTTAAAATACTAAATATAAATGCAAATATATATATATATTATTTGATTATTATGAACCAATTAATAATATAGTTGTTATCTATGATATTCTAAATCAGAATGGTTTAGGTTGCATAGCACCCATCATGTTACCAAAACCTCCCATCATACCTCCAAACATTTAGTTGGGGTTATTAGCACCAGCCATGTTTCCAAACATACCCATAGCATTCTTCATCATAGCCATACCAACTTCCATAGCACAAGTCATGCAAGTATAGTTAGGGCATTGTTCGCATACAAAATATTCTACATGATTTTATGAAGGTACCTTATGGCATCTATAGCATTTGTGGGAATCAGTTGCAGTACCAGGAGCATAAGATTAGCATTTGTGTCCTTAAGCGCAAAGCATTTACTTCTTTTATTCAAAGCATTTGTCACAAATATCGTAGTTACATGTTCTACATTCATAATAACCAGTGTTGCTATGAGAAGGATATTAGTGACAACTATTACAATAAAGATTAGGCTTATAGTTTTAAGTGTGGTCCATCTTGTGGTTACCAGTGCAAAAGACAGCGTATGAGGCCATTTTATCTATATTTATATATTTCTAAGTGATTTCAAAGAAAGATTTTTTATCAAATGTTTTAGAATAATTAATTAATTAACTATCTTTAGAAACAATTTTAGTGATCAATTTATAGTATTCATTATATAGATTATAATAACAATTTGTATTTACCCAAATATTATTTGTTAATCGCTTCCCCACAATAAATAATAAATATGATATTCAAAAATTTTAATTTGAGTAACTAACCTAATTAAAAATTTGAAATTAATTATTTCTAATGGCTTTTCTTTTATTAATTGTAAGCTGCCTGATTAATAAATTTATCTTACAATATGGTTGCTTAAACAATACTTATTTCTACAATATGAACCACATATTCTTATATAAAATAGCTTGTGCGTTTTATAAAGATTGATGATCAAAAATTATTATGGTAAAACAAACATCTTTTTATTTTATTATATTTAAAATAAATATTTATTTTATGCATTTGCATTTGATAGATAAAATAGTTCCTTCTCAAAAATATAATCTATAATTAGTTTAATTTTTACGCTTCAAATTTGAGAATTTGATTTTGATTTTATTTTATTTTTCTTTGAAGACTATCAGAAAAATATATAATCCAGTCACCTCTTTCTTGATTTTTTATGAAAACTATTGTACAATTTCTAAAAATAGTTGATGCTTAATTAGCAAAGTTCAAGTATAAACTGTAAATTTTTCAATTAAAATATAGAAAATTAAGAGATTTTGGGTTACAGAATCTACATTTTTTTTTTGTGGTTTTAAACTTAAATGCTAATTTTAAGATTGAGTGAGTGTAAATATCATATATTGATGGAGTAACAAATTTAGTATAAATAGATAGATTTATTTAATTTATTTGATTTTTTTTTAATTACTTAACCTGTAAGATATTTAATTGAGATAAATTTATATTCAATCCAAATAATAAATTTTAATAATGAGTTGAGATATATTTATTAAGCTATATTAGTTATTTCTTTAGACATAATTGATACTAGTTATAATTTATAATTTAAAGCTATAATCAATATTAGAATATTTAGTAATTTTAGCTACCTTTTTATTAATATTTAAATACAATATTTTTATCTTTCAATTTTATAATCTTAAAAGTGTTTTTTATCTTTTTAGCTAATTTAAATTTTTAAAAATAAACATAAGAAAGTAAAATAAATTATTTCTGTCTAAAAATCAGTCAAAACACTAAATTAAAATCATAAAATTTAATATTTTAAGAGTTAAAAATATTTTTATTTTTATTTCCTACTTCAAATATAGATATAGTTGTTAAAAAGTAAAAATTATTTAAAGATGAAGCAATTTTATTATTTATTTCATTATGATAGACTCATCACAGTCAGCTTGTTTTTATAATTATTTTTTGTTTACAAAAAAGCTTTATTTAAAATTTATAAATTTTTAAATCTTTTAATTAAGGAGATTGACAAATTTTCAAATCAAAAATAAATGATTTTCAATATTTAATGAATTTCAATATATATTAATTAGGCTATATCTTTTTTAAATTAGATAAATTTAATATTTTCTAAATATATATAAAATATGATAAATAGAATTAAAAAAATTGCCTTCACTCGGGATCGAACCGAGGACCGTAAGATCTTCAGTCTTACGCTCTCCCAACTGAGCTATAAAGGCTTTATGATATTATTATAAATAATTTTCAAAAATTTTATATATTTTGATTTGTATTATAAAGAGTAAAATATAAAATATTAATTGATTGAAATAATTGAAAATTTCTAAATTTAATTCATTAGAAATTTAACTTTATTATTTAATTCAAGTTTAAAAAAACAAAAAAGTGTATTTATTTTATGAGTTAATTTGTCAATAATTCATTAAAATTAAATTAGACTTAAGCATTTAATAAATTATTTTATTCAATAAAAATTATAAATATTGATTTTAATTAAAATTATAAATATTATTAATTATTTATTTTTACATAAATTATATTCAAATATTCCAGCCATTCAAAAAAATTGTGATCTCAAATCACTAAATTTTTGAATGGCATTTGGATATATCTATAATTTTCGTTTTTATATGTTTATAGTTTAAATTTGACTTACCATAGTTTCTCATTTATTAAGGACAAAATCAAATCAAAATTTTTGTAAAAATTTAATCCTTTTTTAAATACGACTTAAAAAAGTCGTTAATTAAACTGGTCCTTAATTAACGAGAATCTACGGTATTTTAATTTTACCAAAATTTAAGTTAAAAATCAAAACTTTACAACAAAATATTTTGCCTTATATTTTAAAAAATATTATCAAATGTAAGTTTGAAAATGGATAATTCAAATAAATAAAAAAATAATATCAAATAGACTACACCTCAAAAGAATATAATTGTTATTAGGGTTAATTATATATTTTATAAAATTTTCATTAGAAAAATTATTGAAATAAAAAAGAATTAATATTATTTTATTTATGATATTATATTATGAAATATTTTAATTTTTTTTTTCAAATTTTTGTTTTTTATTTTTAAATCTATTTCGAAACTTTACTTATTTGTCAGTAATATTCTCATTAACTAACTAACTAACTAACTAGCTTTGTAAATAGCTTGAGTTTATTATTTTAATTATTGAAAGTATACAGTATACATATAATATTTCATAATAACTTTTTGTTTAAAATTGATTAAATGATTTTAATAACATTGTATTAATAAGTATAAAAACAGTAAAAATATCTCATGCTAAATTTAGTTTATTATTAAAAGAATGAAAATAATAGGCATAGAAAAAACTATTCTTTTTTCTATACGAATTTGAAATAGAGATTACATAGAAATTTAAAGTTATGTGAGTAACATTAATAAATCTGATAACTCTGATAAAAAAATTGCTTCTGATATATAGAAAATTTAATTGATCTTTGAATATTCTACAAAAAGAGTATCCTATTCAATAATTAAGTTTTAACTTAATTGTAACTAGCTTAAGAAATAATTATTAAATTAGTTAAAACAAAAAACCATTGAAGATTTAATTTGATATCTTTGAAAGAAAAATTTATAAGAATGATAAGGAGACTAATTAACTTCTTTTGCAAAAAATCTGATAAAAGTAATCAAATAAATACAGAAAAAGACTGCAAAAAGCAAGAAGATGAAGAATACATACCGACATAATTTGAGATGTGGAGATTTTATAGGAAATTTTTAAAATTTGATTACAAACAGATAATATTCAAGAATATTTCTACTTTATTATCTACAATAGCTTATGCAAAATAACCATTTCTTTTAGTCAGGATAAAAAATGCTTTAATATAAAATGATTTTGTTGATCTTCAGTCAGCGTTTATAGGTTATTTACTTTGCATTTTATTAAGACAGATATTAAATTTTGTAGAGTCTTAGATTTCACAAAACTCATTTAAAAAGATGAAACAAGATACTATTAAATAGATTTTAAATCATTTATTTAGTTTAGACATGTAGTATTTCGAAGAAAACAAAGTGACTTAAATATCTGCTATTATCAAATAAGGAGCTAGTTAAATATGTTCTGAGTTGAGGTATAGTAAAATATTTGATAAAATTGATAGCTACATATACTACTTAGGCTAAATTTACTTTGTTTACACTGTTAGTCCATTAATTTTAGTTTCAATGTTTATCTTTAGCTTTACAAGTAATTTGTTGATGGCTTACTTTAAAATAAAATCAAGCCAAATCAAGAAGTAAGAGTCAGAGGAGAGTGAATTTAAAGATTTTGCTCTTGATGATATTTTAAATAATATGCTAGTTATTAAAACCTTTGGAACTGAAAAAAGGGAAGTAGAAAACCTAAGTAAAATAATTAAATAAAATAAAATAAATGCCTAGAGAAGGTAAAAATATGATAAAATAACAGATATAATAGATAATAGTGCTTATGAAATAGCTAAGATAGTTATTATTTTGTAAATATTCTTTTGGAGTGGGTTAAAAGAAAACTAGGCTATATTTGCTAACACTCTTTCAGAAATAATTGGATATTCTTATTGCACATTTTTAATAACTAATGATATCTTAAAACTTTTTCAATCTCAGCCAGCAGATTATTATGAAAGTAGGAAAAAATACATAGGAAAAGTAATGAAACTCTTTGAAACAGTTCCTAAAATAAAACAAGACTATGAAAACAATAAAAACGACACTAATTTATTTGAAGGAAATATCGCATTTGATAATGTTTCTTTTTCTTATCCAGTTTCAAAAGATCACTTAGCTCAAATGAACTAGTAAAGGCGTTTAGAGGAAAAAGAGAAGAAATAGCAATTAAATAGTAATGAAAACTCATAATTATAAGTCTAAGAGTAAACAGTACAAGAAATAGCTGAAGAAAATATTAATCCCACAGGGAATGAACTTAACAAACAAGAAGAAGAAGAAGAAAATATGATAAATAAGCAACCAAATAAATAAATTGATTAAGTTGTGATAAAAAATATGTCTTTTTAAATTAAAAAAGGCTAATTTGTAGCTTTCGTAGGTACAAGCGGAAGTGGTAAATCAACAATAATAAAACTTATTTAAAGATTTTATGATGTGAATTCTGGATCTATTCTACTTGATGGATAAAACATAAAAGATGTTTCTTTACATAAACTAAGAAGAAGTATAGGCTTAGTCAGTTAAGAACCTTCTCTTTTCGATAATGATATAGAATACAATATAACATATGGATGTGAAAATAATAAATATACGTAAGAAGAGTTAAAGTACATTTGTGATATCTCAGGAGTTAGTGAGTTTGTTTTTGATGAAAAGAGATTCCCTGAAGGATTGAAAACTTTAGTTGGATCTAAAGGTACTAAACTGAGTGGTGGATAGAAGTAGAGAATAGCAATTGCTAGGGCTCTAATAAAAAAGCCAAAAATATTAATTTTAGACGAAGCAACAAGCTCACTCGATGCAGAGAGTGAGAACACAGTCTAATAATACATAGATTAGCTAGTAGGATATAGAGGTATGACTATAGTAGTTGTTGCTCATAGGTTGAGCACAATTGTCAAAAGTGATAACATATTTGTAATGGAGAAAGGTGTATTAAGAGAGCAAGGAACTCATGAATAATTGCTTTCTTTAAATGGAATATATTCAAAGCTTGTTCATCATTAGCTCAATTTTTAATAATAAGAAAATTGAAATTATTTTTATATATCAAAAAAACTTGTGAATTAATTTATATTTTGTATTTTATTAATTTTTAAAAGTTAAAAACAATTAGAGAGTCATTTTATTTCTTTCTTTAATAATTTAAAATATAATTTTTTTAAATATTTCATTTAATTTCTTTCTTGAAAAAGGAATAAATTTTTTTTTGTATGTTTTTACTTTTTATTCATTCAATTAAAAAATGTATTTTGAACATTAAATAAGCAAAGAAAAAAATTAAAAAATTTACTATTAATCATAAAGAAATATTAATTTTTTATATGTCAAAAATTTATTTTAATTTTTTCAGCTTTGAATTTTGATTTCTTTTGCAATGAACAACTTCTCTTTAAATTAAACTCAGATAAAAATACAAATTTTTTGAATATAAAACTAACTATATTTGAAATAGACTATTTATTTATTAAAAAATTCAAGTGAAAAATGTTATATTATAAGTAATTTACCAAACTTTTTACTATTGTATTTTTCTTTGTCTAGTTAAATCTAGGATATTAAAAGAAAAATTTCTGATAAATTTTTTTGTACTAATTTCTATACTTTTTACAATCGATTATCAATATGATTAGTGAATACTGATGTAGTTTTGTTTTCAAATGCTTATTTTTTAAAGGTTATTTGTTTAATCAAAAATATAAAAAAAAATAATAATAAAAGAAAAGATAAAATAAAATTGAAATGTTAAGTAAGATAAAATCTATCTTTAGTCTTAGTAAGGAGAACTTAGAAACAAATAATAAAAATAATAACTAAATCCCTGTAAAAGAGGAAGAGTATGTTCCTTCTGCATTTGAGATATTGAAATTCAATTTTTAATTCTTAAAAATAGATTACTCAAGCATTTTGTACAGATATATTTACTATATTTATGATTCTTATGTGAGAGTTATTACGCCTTTTATATTACTAGAAGTTAAAAATGCAATAGTTGAAAACGATTTTGAAAAAATGAAATATTAAATTGTAAAGTATATGCTTTTAAAATTTATATTACAGATATTATGTTTCTTAGATACCAAAATAAACTATAATTAGAATTAAGAAACTGAATAACAAGTATAGAAGTCTATTTTAGAAAACATTTTGAGCAAAGATGTACAGTTTTTTGAAGATAATAAGATAACATAATTAGCAGATACATTAAAGTAAGGAAGTGAATATATAGCAAACGAGCTTTCTTATGGAAATATTTACTAGAAATTTAATTTAGCAATAACAATTATTTCAAAAATGTACTTTATATACTACTTAAGCCCATACTTATTGATTAACTTTTTGGTGACATGCTTTTTATTTTAGATAGTTATGTTTTTACTGTTTCTAAAGATTGAAAAATTACAAGAAAAAAAAAGTAAAAAAAATGATGTATTAGATTTTGTTGTTGATGATATTCTTAATAACATAACAGTTATCAAAACATTTGGTACAGAATTGAAAGAATCTAGTAGAATATAAAATATGATCCTAAAAAGTGAAGAGGAATCCAAATAAATAAATGCTTTATAACAAATGTCTTATGTACTTAGATCAGCGTCTTTTGAAATTGTAAATATTTGTCTAATTTTATAAATATTTTTCTAAATTGGACTCTCAGCACCTATTAATTAAGTTGCTTAATCTATCACTGATATCTTTTAAGCTAATTATTATGGTTTTTAATTGGCAAATTAAATAATAAGGATTATATTAAATAAACCAGAGAACTATTATCTTGATGGTAAAAAGTAAGCAGGCAAAATAATGTAACTATTCAAATTACAATCTGGAATACCTTAAGATATCTATTATGATAAAAAAGATGAATCATAATTTACTGGCGATATAGTCTTTGATAATGTTTCTTTCAAGTATCCTGCCTCAAAAGATAGTTTAGCTAAAATAAATCAAAAGATCTAGCAGGAAGATAAATCCATTGAAAATAATCAATAAGATTAAATATCATCTAAACAATAAGATGAGTTGGAATACTCTTCTGATTAAGATTCTGACCTTTCAGATTAAAATTTATAAAAAGAAGACACTAAATTGCTTGAATTAAATAAACAAAATTCTGCTTTTGAGAGAGAATATGTCATCAATAATCTCTCGTTTAAAATTAAATAAGGTCAATATGTAGCTTTTGTTGGAAAGAGCGGATGTGGAAAATCTACAATCATAAAACTACTTTAAAGATATTATGATACTACTTCTGGATCTATCCTTTTTGATAATTAAAATATTCGTGACTGCTCTATTGGTAAACTTAGAAGAAGCGTAGGTTTTGTAAGCTAGGAACCTTCACTTTTCGATAATGATATAGAATATAATATAACTTATGGATCTATTGATAGTGATTACACTGATGAAGATATCTAAAAAGTTTGTGACATGTCAGGAGTTAGCGAATTTGTGTTTGATAAAAACAGATTTCCGAAGGGACTAAAAACTTTAGTTGGCTCAAAAGGAATGAAATTAAGTGGAGGTTAGAAGTAGAGAATAGCAATTGCAAGAGCTTTGATGAAAAAGCCAAAAATTTTAATACTAGATGAGGCTACTAGCTCTTTAGATGCTGAAAGTGAACATTAAGTTTAATAGTAAATAGATAAATTAGCCTAATAAGGAGATTTAACTCTTATTGTAGTTGCTCATAGATTAAGCACAATAGCGAAGAGTGATAAAATATTTGTACTTAAGCATGGAGAAATAAAAGAAGAAGGAACCCATGCTGAATTATTATCTAAAAATGGTATATATAAAAAGTTAGTTCATTACCAAATTAACTTTTAAGATAAACTCAAAAAATAAATATGAAATTTATTTATTTAATTACATTGATGACTTGTGTGTATTTTATTATTTAATCTATTTACTCCTTTAATTATTAGTTGTAAATTCAAATTAGTCTCATTTTTTAATTACAAATTAATAGTTTAGCAGTAAATAAATAAATTCAATTTATTTTAGTTAAAAGTAAAAGTATTATTTAATTTAATTTTTATTGATTTTTTTGATTAATGCAAGTTTATTTTAAAAAAATATTAATTTGATTTTTTGAGAAGATTAAATATGTTTGTTTTTTTAATTCTTTGGTTGTTTTTAAAGAATATTTAGTTATTTTTTTTTAAACAAATAAAGATAATGATTGAAAATATTTATCATATCTTGTTAAGCCTTTATAGCTCAGCTGGGAGAGCG